AGTGTCGCCTCGGGAACTTCACCTTGGGCGAATCGCCGATAGGGGCGCGAAAAAGAGGATTCGGCTGGTTGAAATCTAGAACAAGAAACACCATATGGCTGAGTTCATCATAATCACAGACCTTCTATTAGTGAGACATAAAAAATATGAGGATGAGATGCGATTTACCCGATCTCAAACGCCTCGAATTGCTGCTCGTCAGAAGGTCCCCTGGATATGGTTACTCCATGTATATACAAATCAATGCTTCGTAACTAACCAGTAATCATCTTCTTTAGTGGCCTGGTATCTACTTCTTAGGTTAAAACCAGGAAACGACCTTAGGCTGGACTAGACTGACCTTCGGCCGTTTTCTAATCGTCCCCTCGCGATCGAGGACGCAATAGAGGTGGTCTCTCTGAAGACGTACTAGAGTGAGAATACGATAGAAGGTATGCTGTAGTTGCACTCACGACTGAAAGTCCTGCGGATCTGTGCCAAAACCAGTAGCTATAGAGTAGAAGTCTGGGTCCTAGTCGAGACATGAGAATGACCGCATCAGAACATCAAACACTACTTACCACTGCGATTTTCTCCATATCTTCAGTCGATGATTTCCCAAAGACTTGGGTGAAACTATTGACGTCGGAGCAATTTGAGAAAACGGCTGGGCAAAAAATGGAGGCGGGGGAAAGTGGGATGTTGGGGCGGAGCGTGACCAACTCACGCCTATACTAGTAACAAAGAAAAAAGAAAAAAGTACCAGGCGGGGAAGGCGGGGGCTACTAGCGATTGGCCAACTGTTGACCATTCCAACAGACCCAGAGCCCAACGCGATCTGCCATGGTTTGATAGAAGTCATTGCACTTCAGCGCGGCTTAAAGCCTTGCCGATCGGGCTGCGGGGTGTCCCGGAATCATGGGAAGAGGGGCTAGCAAAGCGCAAATCTGTGCACCTAGCCACTGAAAGATCCCCGAGGCCACTGAGGGATCAGACCGCCGCCCAGAGAACCCATCATACGCGCGAGTATTATTATTTTTCCCATCTCAAATGGCCCGGCTGTGGAGCTGCTCTCTCTACACGCTAGTCAGCACTAGAAAGTGGATCTCACGCACGCGGGAGAAGGCCACGAATAGCAACCGCTGCATTAATGTAACCAGCTCCATGTCCGTGAAGTCAAAAGTCGTCACGCGTTTCCCATATCCAATGGTGGCCGTAGTATATAGCAGGGCCCGCGGACTCCCCCAAAGGCCACTCTCCCAATTCTTCCCGGTTGTTTCTTCCGCTATGGCGGTAGCCGACTTATCAGGTCAGGCTGTGACGCTCTTCTGCTGCCTCTTGAGCCTCTATGTCTTCAGGATTATCACGACATATGCTAAGTTGATGCAGTTCCGGGGGCCCTCGGGGACCGGCATTTCGAACTGGCCTCATAGCATGGCGATGCTTCGAGGCAATTGCCACGAGTGGTACGCAGAAGTCAACAAGAAACATGGTGCGAGGGATTTTCCTAGACATCTCTTATGCTTTGCATCCGGGGAGCCGCATATATTATAGCTAACATCTTCGACTTGAGCCAGGTCCGATCGCCCGTGTCGCGCCTCAAGTGCTGGTCACGTCTTCTCCCGAAGTTTGGATGCACGTAAACAACAAGCCTGGCTACAAACGCTCCAATTGGTACTACAAAGCCGCACGAATCGAGTACCGGAGGGACAATGTCTTCAGTCAGACGGATAACACGAAACACGAGCAGCGGAGGAAGCAGATGGCTCCAGGGGTATGATAGCTGCCTCGTACCTCTCTCCGAGTCTATCCCCACTCATTCATACCTGCGTGGGCTGCTAACCGGAATTGTTAAAGTATTCGGGAAGGGAGAATATCCAGCTCGAAGGGTCAATAGATGAACGACTTCAAGATTTTCTGTACCTCATCCGGTCCAAATATATCTCGTCCGACCGCCGTGTTATACCCATGGACCTAGCGAAAAAGGTTCAATATTTCACGCTCGACGTTATTAGTAGCGTGGGCCTTGGCAAGACGTTCGGTATGTTGCAGAGTGACCATGACGTGGACGACTACCTCAAATCTAGCGAGGAGGGGCTTGCTATCGGCAATACCGCCCTTGCGATGGGCTTCAGCTGGATCACCCAAATGCCCTTCATTGGCAGGTTTATTGCACCTTCGCCTAAAGATAGCAACGGCTTCGGTAAGATGATGGCCGCATGCTTCCGCCTTGTCGAAGAGCGCGCTGCGGGCTCCACCGACGAAAAATCCGATATGTTAGCCTCCTTCATGCGCCACGGTCTATCAGGTGACGAGCTACGCACTGAAGCCCTAGAACAAATAATTGCGGGCTCTGACACCACTGCTGGCGCCATCCGTGGCACCCTTCTATACCTCATAACGAACCCCCGCGTCTACCTCAAGCTACAGCACGAAATTGACGATGCCACGCGCCGCGGCTTTGCTCCGAGCAAAGACGAAGGTATTATTACTGCCGCCCAGGCCAGAAATCTTCCGTACCTCCAGGCCGTGATTCGCGAAGCTCTACGAGTCTGCCCGCCTGTTACGAACATCTTCCCGCGTGATATCCCGCCAGATGGCGACGCTCTTGTCGTCGACGGGGAGAGCGTATTTCTACCGGGCGGCGCCTGCATTGGGTACTCCGCATACGCTATGCACCAAAGCGAGAAGATCTATGGCAAGGATGCAGAGGCTTTTCGACCAGAGCGGTGGCTCGAGTCGGACCCTACCAAGCTGGCTGTCATGGTTCGGACCAACGAACTCATTTTCGGCCACGGCAGATTCCAGTGTTTAGGGAAGGCAGTGGCACAAATCGAGATCGGAAAGACGGTATTCGAGGTGAGTAGAAACAGCTCCGCATGTCTACTTTAGTCCTCTTTCTTCTCGATGACACGCTAACTGACCGCCGACCGGACACAGCTGTTGCGTAACTTCGACCTAGCACTTATCAGCCCCACGCATCCCTGGGATGCGCGGAACTACCTAGGGCTTTTTGCGATTTCAAATATGTGGGTGCAAGTGACGGAGCGAATACTCTGTTCTCCTTGACAGGATAGAAGGATTTCCCTTGTAACGTTTAGGAGCACCCTGCCATGGTAATGCTTCGCAGGCATTCTTAATGGCACTGTAAAGCTGATGCTTAATGTGTGGTGCTTATTTTGGATTTGTAACAGCAACAGAGCTCACGATTTAGTCTTTTGTAATATACATATTATACCATCCCACCATACGACGGACAGGCAAGCAGCCCAACACAACCCACAATAAAGCGAGGCTGGGAAACAACGTCCACAATTCCTAGTGATGGAAGTGTAGGCAGTCTTTGGAAGTTCCGTTTGAAATGCGCCCTCGTGCGCCGTGTGCCGAAAGGGAAGCCGGTCAACATTCCAGCACCTAGATGTGGATTCTCCACGGCAACGTAAATGAGGTCGCGGTCATCTCGGCCAAGGATCGCACCGTGACAGGGAAAGTGACCTTCCATAATGCGACCGAGCTGGAGCAGCCTGTCTTCAATGATGTGTCCCGCAAGTTCTACGTCTCGGTGCCCAGCACCGGTACCAACTCTGGCGGCGAGATCGCAGGGTTGGACGTTTCGACCTTCCAGGTCACCGACATTCTCCCGCTCAGCGAATGCGTCCCCGTCAGCATCGTCTTTGGGGCGGACCAGAACATTTTCATCTTCTGCAGCCAGACCTAAATTGACATGTACGCGTTTGCATTCAGTCAACCAGGTCGCCTACGACCCAATGCCAAGCTGTACTTTGCCTCCGTGTACCAAAACCAGGTCGGTGGGAAGAAGGATGGAGCACCAATGCCCGAGCTCGCCGTCATTGACGCGACTAGCAACACCTTAATGCAGACCTGGCGCTTCCCGCCTAGCTGAGATAAATAGTACCTTTTACCTCTGCCACATCAAAAACTAACGTGTCTCGTTGACCAATCGGAGGCATTTCCCACCCCACCTAATTATACGCTCGGGATCGTATCTCCTTTGAGCGCTAATCCTGCGCGTCGATAACCAACTACTGCAGCAGAAAATGGAGTAGTAGGGGGCTAAACTGATTCGTGCTCGTTGTGATTTAGAGGAAGATGGGGTTGTTTTTGTTTTTAAGATAATTTATAAGGCTTTGAATATGCTGAGGAGGCCCTTATGACTGGAATTCTGCTTGACTTTTCTTATGCTAAGAATTATGGGGAAAATCGCGACAAGAGGAGAAAACGGCCTCTAGGGTTGTAATTTCCACCTATAAGGAGGAATAGGGGGCGCATACTAGGGCCCCCAGTAAAAAGAATCAAAGATCGTGGCCAAGAGAGGTATAGATTGCGTTAAGGAGGTACCTAACTGGCTATAGGAGGTCACCGGGTGGATTTTAACCTCGTTAAGGGCCATTTTAGCAAATTAATAATATTACGAGCCCACTAATGCAGACCACTAGGTGCAGCCCCCTACTATTTCCACACCTTTCAGCAGGACATAGTTTCCATACCTCAAATCCTTGTCGAGATCTAGTTCTCGGCAGGCGAAATTGTTCCAGGTCGGGGAACGGACAAGATGTTACGTCAGGTTGCGATAAGAAGGGTCTTTCAAGCTGTAGGGATTTCTCCTCTCTAGAGGATAACGAGGAGGAAACGGACATAGAAAAGCAAGACATGGACAGCAGAAATGTGGACGACGGAAATGACCGACTAAAAGTGAGATGGTTCTCGGAAATCCCACGCTGCTCTATACGTCTCTTCTGTTTAATCATGGCTAGGGAAAGCCAACACTTAAGAATGAATATTGACTTTGCAATTTGAAAATTTTCGAAAACAACACTTCCAATGCTTGTATCCACGAGCTTTGAGTTGCGGCTGCTATTACTACGACTTCAATTACATATGCAGGTCGATCCCAGTTATCGCAGCGGATCAAGGCTTCGAAGCTTACATGAATTCATGCCCAGTGAATCCGGATCAACGCTGTTTGTAGCTTCCTGTCTTCTCTCTCTTCGTATCTCACCATGGCTAATTTCTATTTTTTTGAAGGGACTCTATCGCGTATCCTTGACTTTTGCGAGTTGGTCGGCGAAGATATTCAACTGCCAGAATATATGGCTCAGTTCGCGGGGTTGCATCGACGACAAGATGATCAAGTCAGTCATAGTGATGGAGGTTACTATTCCACCGCCGACGTTGAATCGAACTGGAGCGCAGAGCTACAGACTCTTGAGGGCCATTCGGATTCGGTTCAATCGGTAGTATTCTCGGCCGACGGCCGACTACTGGCTTCCGGCTCTAGTGATGAGACAGTGCGACTCTGGGACGCCGCAACAGGCGTCCTACAACAGACCTTCGAGGCCTGTCTGAACTCAGTTTGGTCAGTATCATTCTCGCCTGATGGCCGGCTAGTGGCGTCCGGCTCTATTGACGAGATAGTACGGCTCTGGGACACCGTGACCGGTGCCGTACTACATAATCTCGGGGGTCATTTAGATTCAATCCAGTCGGTAGCATTCTCCCCTAATGGCCGATTGCTAGCGTCCGGCTCTAGCGATAGAGCAGTCCGGCTCTAGGACCCCACGACCGGCGTTTTACAACAGAGTCTAGAGGGCCATTTAGATTTAATTTGGTCGGTAGCATTTTCGCCCAACAGCCGACTGCTAGCGTCCGGGTCTTATGATAGAACAATCCGGCTCTGGGATACCACGACCGGCGCGTTACAACAGAGTCTATAGGGCCATTCAGATTTAATTTGGTCGGTAGCATTCTCGCCCGACAGCCGAATGCTAGCATCCGGCTCTAGCGACGAGACAATACGGCTCTGGGACACAGCAACCGGCGTGTTACAACAGAGTCTTAAGGGCCATTCAGATTCGGTTCGGTCGGTATCATTCTCGCCCGACGGCCGACTGCTAGCATCCGGCTCTAGCGATAGGACAGTCAGACTCTGGGACACTATAGCAGACGTTATTCAACAGCCCCTCGAGGGCCATTCAGATTCGGTTCTGTTAGTGGTATTCTCACCTAACGGCCGAGTGCTAGCATCTAGCTCTTATGATAAGATGGTCGGGCTCTAGGACAGCGCGACTGGAGTATTACAACAGACTCTAAAGGGCCATTCAGATTCAGTTCGGTCGGTAGCATTCTCGCCAGATAGCCGGCTAGTGGCGTCTGGCTCTAGTGACAAGACAGTCCGGCTCTAGGACATTGCGACCGGCACTCTACAACAAACACTCGAGGGTCATTCAGGCTGGGTTGAGTCGGTAGCATTCTCACCTGACGGCCGGCTGGTGGCGTCCGGCTCCAGTGACGAGACAATCCGGCTCTGGGACAGTGCGACCGGCACTCTACTACAAACACTCGAGGGTCATTCAGGCTGGGTTCAGTCGATAGCATTCTCACCTGACGGCCGGCTGATAGCGTCTGGATCTTATGACGAGACAATCCGGCTCTGGGACATTTCGACTAACACTCTACAACAAACGCTCCAGGGTCATTTGGGTTGGATTCAATCGGTAGTATTTACGCCCGACGGCCGGCTGGTGGCGTCCAGCTCCAGAGACAAGACAGTCCGGCTATGGGACACCACGAGTGGTGCCTTGCACGAGACCGTCGGCGTCAACGGAGTAGCCACTAACCTCGAATTCCTGCAAGATGGTTTACGTTTGAGGACTAGTCTAGGATTCATCGAGTTTCAGACCAGATGTGGCAAACATGCCTCCAAATCGCCTCTGGTATCTCTGGAGATATCTACACAGCAGGGGGAATGGATAGCTCTGAATGGCGAAAGAGTACTGTGGCTTCTTTTTGAGTCTCGGCCTAGCTGTCTGGCAGTTAAAGATAGTGCACTTGCTCTAGGGCACACGTCAGGGCGAGTTGTTTTCATGGAATTTCGCCTATAATACGTCATAATGGTTTCGATTTTTTCTTATTTTTATTTTTTTATTTTGCCCATGTAAAGGCCTGGAGAAAATAGACAATTGATTTGGATCCGTCAGCACTCAGGTATTATTATGGCGACCGTATAGGGGAAGAGGTGTTAAAGTGGGTACTGCCATATTCGAGAATAGACCCCCACGGATTGTTTCCCGAACTCTAACTTGCAATACTCTATTCCTCATGCATCAAATATTTCTGTGCCGTACTAAAGATTCTTTCTGTATCGTGTTTGTAGATCCTCTAGATATATCTTTCTTGCTAACAAGCCAACCAGTCTGGGCTTCCATATACTTCAATTCAGCAGCCATATAAGTAACCTGCTAAGCCCCACTGCAAATGTAAACCAAGACTGAACGCTCTATTCTTGATACTCTTCCTTGATAACTAATTTCTCAATCTTCGGAAGTTCATTTTGAACCATTTTGACTAGCTTTTGACCATCTTCCTCTAACCTCTCGTTGTCATTCTCCTTAAGCAAGATTGATCCAACGTTCAAATTCATATCCCTGGGCTTCCATCCCTCGTTCAATCCTCGCCGAATTGCCCTTCGCCATACATCGGGGTCTGAATTTGGTCAGTGAAGTTTCACCAACACTAAAGCTGTCAAAATTTACCTGCATGGAGAAAATGAGCATTAATCGTGCCATTATTAATCCCTGTTTGCAGTCCAAAAGTGGTATTTTGGGAATTTACCTTAGATGTCATGATAGCACAACAAATTTTGGAACTCAAGAAGAACATGCGGGCGGCTCCGCCAATGTTATGGAATTCTTCATCCAACTATCACAGCAAGAATGAACTTGAAACTTACCTACCTCTATCGAGGTACGACAAAAGAGGGAAACCCTCGGTCACCAAACGGATGCTTACCGACCTAGATGCCCAGCTTGATGCAGAAAACGCCTCTGGACAGCCCTCTTTTTTAATTCTGCGCCCAACTGCCAAGATGCTAGCCCGGAAATTGAGTGCCGTTCAGTGGACCGCAGTATGCTTAATCCCTCTCTACCTCACGATCTGTGCCTAGGAAAACCCTCCCAATCTAGTCGCCGACTAAATGATTTGGAACTGTGGCAAACTACATGTATAACGGGATGGACGGGTTACTGTATGACTGGATGGGGTATGGGGCTTCGTGGACCTTAAAGGTATAAATAAAAAGCCAGATAAAAGATTACTCTTTTTCTAAGCAGTCATTTTCTAAAGAGATAGAAAAGCGAAGGAAGGAATGGAAATCGAAAACTTCGACACTTGTTATACACAAAATGCTATGAAGGAAATCCGCCCTGACGCGTGTGCTAGGGCAAGTATACTGCCGTTAATCGCATAATGGCTGGGCCGATATTCTGGAGGGAGCCAGAGTACCTTCTCGCCATTCAATTTAACCCACTGCCCGTGCTCGATGGATATCTCTGGATTCACCTTGGTCCAAGAACTGTCACACTTGGTCTGAATACCAAGGGCGCGTAGGTCGGTGCATACACATAAATCGGTTTGAAAGCACTCAAGGTTAGTTACCGTTCCATCAGCAATCCAAGTTTGCTGTAGGGTGCCTGTGGCAGTGTCCCAGAGTCGCACTATTTTATCATTAGAGCTAGACGCCAGCACCCGGCCGTTTGGCGAGAATGCTACCGAGTCCACTGAATCTGAATGGCCTTCGAGAGTGTGCTGCAAAGTGCCCGTCGCCGTGTCCCAGAGCCGCACTATTCTGTCACGGGAGCCGGACGCTACTAGTTGGCTGTCTGGCGAGAATGCCACTGAGTAAACCGGACCTGAATGGCTCTCGAGGGTCTGCCGCAGAACGCCCGTCGCCGTGTCCCAGAGCCGCACTGATCTATCACGGGAGGCAGACGCTAGCAGCCGGCTGTCTAGTGAGAATGCCACCGAGTAAACCGGACCTGAATGGCTCTCGAGGGTCCGCTGTAGAGCGCCCGTCGCCGTGTCCCAAAGCCGCACTGATCTATCACGGGAGGCAGACGCTAGCAGCCGGCTGTCTAGCGAGAATGCAACCGAGTAAACCGGACCTGAATGGCTCTCGAGGGTCTGCTGCAGCCCACCCGTCACCGTGTCCCAGAGCCGCACTGTATTATCACTAGAGCTAGATGCTAGCCGATAGCCATCGGGTGAGAATGCAACCGAGCCAACTGAATCTGAATGGCCTTCGAGAGTCTGCCGCAAAGCTCTAGTGGCCGGGTCCCAGAGCCGCACTGTTTTATCGCGAGAGCAAGACGCCAGTAGCCGGCCGTCCGGTGAGAATGCTACCGACCAAACCCAATGTGAATGGCCTTCGAGTGTCTGTAAGCAGCCTGTCGCCGTATCCCAGAGCCGGACTGTGTTATCGAAAGAGCCCGACGCCAGCAGCCGGCCGTCGGGCGAGAATGCCAACGAGTTAACTGAGCCCGAATGGCTCTCGAGAGTCTGCTGTAGGGCGCCCGTCATTGTATCCCAGAGCTGGACTGTCTTATCGCGGGGATGGGACGCTAGCAGCTGGCCATCAGATAGGAAGGCCACAGAATCAACGAGATACGAATGGCCTTTGATGTTTTGCTGGAGTGCGCCTGCTGCCGTACCCCAGGGCCAAGCCGTGGTGTCCCAAGAGCCTGACGCTAGCAACCCGCCGTCGTGCGAGAATGCCACTAAATTAACCGAATCTAATTGGCCCTTAAGAGTCTGCTGCAGCGCGCCCGTCGTTGTGTCCCAGAGCCGCACCGTTCTATCACGGGAGCCGGACGCCAGCAGCCGGCCATCTGGCGAGAATGCCACTAAGTTAACCGAATCTAAATGGCCCTTAAGCGTCTGTAGTAGAGCGCCTGTCGTTGGGTCCCAGAGCCGTACTATTCCATCACGGGAGCCTGACGCTAGTAGCCGGCCGTCGTCTGAGAAAGCCACCGAGTAAACCGGAACTGAATAGATCTCGAGAGACTGCTGTAGCGCTCCTGTCCCTATGTCCCAGAGCCGCACTGTCTTATCAAAAGAGCCAGACGCTAGTAGCCGACCGTCGGGCGAGAAAGCCACCGAGCAAACTGTACGAGAATGGCCTTCGAGAACTTGCTGGTGCGTGCCCGTCGCCGTGTCCCGGAGCCGCACTATATTATTAGAGCTAGACGCTAGCCGGTAGCCATCGGGTGAGAACGCGACCGATTCAACCGAATCTAAGGGGCCCTCAAATGTCTGCTGCAGCGCGCCCGTCACCGTGTCCCAGAGTCGCACTATTCTATCACGGGAGCTAGACACTAGTAGCCGACCGCCTGGTGAGAATGACACCGCCCAAACCCAATCTGAATGTCCTTCGAGTGTCTGTTGTAGGGTGCCTGTCGCCATGTCCCAGAGCCGGACGGTCTTATCGAAAGAGCCCGACGCCAGCAACCGGCCGTCGGGCGAAAATGACACCGAATTAACTGAGCCCGAATGACCCTGAAGTGTCTGTTGGAGGGCACCTGTCGCCGTGTCCCAGAGCCGAACTATGTCATCAAAACAGCCGGAGGCTAGCAGCCGGCCGTCTGGGGAGAAGGCCACCGAGTAAACCCCCATTGAATGGCCTTCGAAAGTCTGCCGCAGAGCGCCCGTGGCTATGTCCCAGAGTCGGACTGTCTCATCCTCGGAGCTGGATGCTAGTAGCTGGCCGTCGGGCGAGAAAGCCACCGACCAAACCCCACTCGAATGGCCCTCGAGTGTCTGTTGTAGGGCGCCGGTCGCCGTGTCCCATAGCCGGACTGTGTCATCCTCGGAGCCGGACGCCAGCAGCCGGCCGTCGGGTGAGAATGCCACCGACTGAACCGTACCCGAATGGCCCTCGAGAGTCTGCAGTTCTGAACCCCACGTTTCGTCAACCTGGGGAAACTGACATACCCAACTAGGAAGCTCTGCTGCAAAAAGCTTACGGAATACCGCTGTTCGTGGTGCAAACACAAGGCCCGAGCAGTAAAGTTGAAGAGGCGCATCATTGGCTATCTGGCGGTTCTTCAGGAGAAAGCGCTTTGCATCATAAAGAATCTCGGACATCTCGGACAGGGTAGTATCCGTGTTCCCCTATATCTGTTAGCCTAAACGCCTTATAGGATTTTCTATTGGAGCTTACATGTGTGGCTTTCTGCAAGAGACCGATGGTCTCTAAAACATCAGAGAGACGGCCAAGGATGCTCATTGCTTCCATCCAGTGTAAGCAATGAACCTGAAGGAATAACAGCGCTTTATGCATCACAGTATGTTGGTCCTTGCTCCGCACTAGGTGATGTGCCCAATAACGACAGGCGTATTGCAATTCCGGAGGAAGACATTCATTGATAGTCTGCTGATCAATTTCCACCTGTTTTGTTCCGTCACTTCGTAGCCCGCATAGATTCTTTTTTAGGTTCTGACACACGTGGAGGCATTGAGTGGCCAACCTGTAGTGTGTTTCCTTTTCATCAACCCATAATGGAGTCTTCTCACATGTTGCTGGATCAAGAAGAAAGTCTCGAAACGATAGGTGGAAGAGTTGAACCGGTAAGGCCTCATCATTTGGTACACTTAGAACTGAGTATAGTGGGTTGAGTCTGAGATGAATCAGTCTCTCTGGGAGGCAGATGAGTTTCGAAAGTGAGGTGACTGAAAGTGGGCTCTCTAGTATCACAATTGCACCGACCACTTGGTGAAATTCTTGAACCAGCTCCTTTTTCTTCTTCTCGGTTTGTCTATCAAGGAGCCGATCAAGCACAGGAAGATACGTCCCATCCAGTTTAGATCCATCCTTTTGATGATTGAGGATCTCAAGAAGACTGTCCACTGGGTCCCAATCAGGATCCTCGAATATGCGGCATATCGTAGCTGCGAAGATAAATAGCGGAGCAGATAGAGCCACTAGCTTTCGGATATTTTCGGTCCCAGGCCAGTTGATAGGCAGGGGAGGCTCTCGCTCTTTTCTTATCTCTGATAGTCGATAATTCAAAAATAATGATAAATCATGCTCAATAACTTCCTTAGGGATTTCGTGGAGAACCAAGTCTTTATGATCTTGGGTTGCAAGCTTTTTGAATCCGAGGCGGATTGGTAATTCAGGCCTACTAGTCAGCAAAATTCGTAAACGAATAGCCTTCGAATTTTGTAGCTGTGGCAGCAATTGGAGTATAAGTCGTATGTCAAGGTCTGCGTCACATTCGTCTAGCGCGTCCATGATTATAACCACGTTTGGGATCGACAGAGCGGGTGAATCCAAGTCTAGTAGAGGTTGAAGGAGTATTTTGTCAAACTGTTCCTTCAGTCCTTTATTTCCGATATCAGAGTTATTGTCGATTGCTTTGTTGATACCGGGGATCAATCGGGGAACGGTCTTCGCTAACTGTCTTGCAATCGTAGGAAAAAGTTTTATCGCATTCCCTCTATCCCCTTGGCCCCTTTTAAAGAAGAAGCTTGCTCCTAGTATCTTCTCTTCTTCGAAACGTTTAGCCACAGTGCGAGAAATCGTCGATTTCCCGGTCCCAGCCATGCCATTTAACCAGAAGATACATTTCCCCTCCGGTGACATGGCCCATTCTGCAATCTCGTTGAGAAGCTCGCTCCTAGTGCCTGGAAGACATTCATCTTGATGCTGGTTCGTATAAGAGTCAAACCCCGCGCCATACGCAATTGGTAGCCTGTCCAGAGGGTCTGAATTGGTCAGTGAAGTTCACCAACCCAAAAGCTGTCAAAATTTACCTGCATGGAGAAAATGAGCATTAATCGTGCCATTATTAATCCCAGTTTGCAGTCCAAAATTGGTATTTTGGAAAGTGACCGTAGATGTCATGATAGCACAACAAATTTTGGAACTCAAGAAGACGTGCGGGCGGGGTATACGTCGCATAAGTGGAAGTGTGTTAGCGCAGAACTATGGTCATGTGATATTTAGTCGCTATTTGGTGATGAAGATGAATTGCTTTAAACCATGCATATTCCATGCTAGCTAGTAAAATGTATGTTAAAGTCTGCAATAGCTTAGTTGATTTGTAGCAAATGCCGTTGCATTTCAATTTAGAACTGAATTGGGGCTCCGCCAAAATTATGGAATTCTTGATCCAACTATCACACCAAGAATAGACTTGAAACTTGCATTTATCACGAAAATGGGTTCGTTGAAAATGGATACAATAGTATTTAAGAACTAACAGTCTAACATGGGTATTGGATCTTTCTTATGCAGAAAGATCGAGAAACGACTGTTCACAGAAAATCAAAATCAGAATAAACATGGCTTGGAGCGTTCAGTCAGACCAAGGCGCGGTAGCTTCGCTCCGTGACCTGACTTTGATCCTCCGCAGAATGAATCCAAGTCGACAGAAGACTGAGATTAGGATCAAACAGACCTGTCCTCACTTGTGTTTCCGTCACTGTACTTCTCTGTATGTTGCGTATGAGTCTGGGAGTGAGCCTTGCTCTCCTTGTTCAAAATACTGGCGCGACGGACAGCATCATCCTCGACATCATCCAGAGTACGCAATAGTTCACCATTAGGACCATACATATGGGGCTCGGTACGGGCAACCGAAACCACGTTGAAAACGTTTGTAGTCTTGCGGAATATGCGGTCCATCTCTTCCAGCGAACGCATAGTGGTCTCCGGGAAGAAGAAGTAGACGACAGGTACGATGGCAGCGTTACTAAAACGAGTTAGCATCAAACGAGTAAGATCAATGAATCAAAACCCACATTACGGCGAAGATGACGTAGGTCTTGTAGCCAATGCTCTGGAAAGCCACAGGGGTAATCATGACAACCATGAAATTCCAAATCCAGTTGGAAGAAGTAGACAGGGCGTTGGCCGGAGCACGAATCTTCAATGGGACAATCTCGGCAGGATAGAGCCAAGTCATACCGAGCCAGCCAATGGCAAAGAAGGTATTGAACACAAACAAGAAGACTGTTTGGGCAACGCCAGCCTTGACACCGGTAGGGGTTTGCTTGTGGCTCGAGGAAATACTGTCGGAGATGGCAAGGACCGCCATGGAAAGGGACATCCCGACTGCACCAAACAGCATGAGTGATCGCCGTCCAAACTTCTCGACGGTGAACACGGCGATCCAAGAGGCAATGAAATACTCGGTTCCGTTGCAGGCAGCGATAAGACGTGAAGTTGTGGCATCCAGTCCGACATTGGATTCCAGAAGAGTTGGGATATAGTAGGTGATCAAGTTGATACCGGAGATCTGCTGGAACATTTGGTTGACGTAGGCCAACATGGTACGGTGGAAGTGACGGTCCTCGCCCATGGTGAACATATCCCGGAACGATCCCTTTGCCATCTCCAGAACGGTAGCCTTAATAGCGGTGAACTCGGTGTCGATGAACAGTTCATCAGTATCATCACCCATCAAGCATGCCAGAACTTCCTTTGCTTCCTCCTCGCGACCCTTCAAGATGAGCCAACGGGGCGATTCAGGCAAGAACATGACGAATCCCAAGATAACGGCCGCGAAGAAGATCTGGAAAGCCAATGGAAATCTCCAGGCAACTTCGTTGGGGTCGGCAAACATCAGACCGAAATCAATCCAGTAACTGATTGTAATACCGCAAGTGATCATGGCACCCTCGATCATGACCATCTGGCCTCGTCGGTGAGATTTGCAGCATTCTGATAAACATTAGCCTCTTGTTTTCTATTGCTAATCAAATTGTCCACGAGCCCGATTGGTCGGGTACTGCAGCGGTGCATAGATCAACTGTGGCGGTCGTGATTCGAAATTGACTTACCGGATTGCCATGTAGGGACTGTTGAAGTATTGATACCATTGCCTGTTGTCTATTGTTAGAGAAGGTTTGCCAGTCTTTTGCCTTGCTGACACCTACCAAACCCAGTGACCAATCGGCCGACGACCAGCTGAGCAAGCCCGTAAGAAGTACATTGAAGAATAGCACCAATACACATGATGAAAGATCCCAGGAAGATAGCCTTTCGGCGACCCAAGATGTTACCGATCCAAATCGTGGGAATTGAGCCGGCGAAACATCCCAAGTTGTATGCTGCAACTGTGATGCCTTGACGCGTCGATTGGTTGTTCTTCTCTGCCTGAGTCCAACCTTCGGTGTATGAGTCCAATGTGTTGATTGAAGGGAAATATTTGTTGAAAGATGTTAGCGTAAGCAAGCCGCCAGTTACACCTTGGTCGTAGCCGAAGAGCAGAAAGTCCATGCCCGCCAGAAAGCCAATGGCAATCTGGAGTTTGGTGCCATTAAGGCCCAAGAATCGCTTGGTCTGCATTTTAGACGCGGTTAAATGACAAGCCTCTTGTGCTATGAGAGCCCCAAAACGATACAAGACCGAACCAGTCGGAGAAAGAGAAAGAAAACAAGTTAGAGAAGATCACGAAGATCAAGAGGACAAAAAGAAGATCAACGCGGGGAACTCGACAGGTTTAAAAAGACTCGTCCGGGGTGCCTTGACCTCCAGACCGGGGGGTCCTATTATGGCTTCCTCTTGCTACCGAGCCGCTGTAACAAAGCAAACAAGATGTGATTCGGAGATTGATTTAACAGGGTCCACCCTCTCCTGATGTGACCAACGGGCCCGAGAGGGGGCTCTCATCCCGAGTCTCCAGGTTTGCACGGACAGGCTATCAACGGCCCCAGATTGCATGGAACAGGCCTGGGGCGAGGTTGCCCACGCGAGTCAGACAGGCCAATCAGCATCGTGAACGTCGGGCAAAGGCATCGGGCGACGGCTTCGGCTTCTCCAGACTGAGTTAGCTGCGCACTCGGCTGGACCTGTTCAGGTTCAGCCCCGCCGATCGCCTTTCAGTTGTACAGTAGGTGGAAACTCCCCGCGACCCCAGAGAAAAAGAATGGGTCTGGAGTTGTAATCTGGGGTTGTGAGGTCTTAATGTTTGGACTTCAGGTAGAACTGGGATTCACGCTTGGCTTTGAGGCTTGTCCATGCCAATATTGTGCCAATGTTATGCCAATTTTAGCTTGTAGACCGAATAAATTTCATTTGATTCCTAGAAGGAATAGTGTTCGACCATATGCGCCGTGAGACCAGGATGGGTAGCCAATTTGCTCCAGATCCGGTCAACCGGGGGCCGAAATGGCGCTGGAACATCTTGGCAATCACGTACTTCTCTTTGTTCGCATATTAGAACATCTCCATGCCATAGTTGAAGACGCTTAGGTACCAGGGGTAACCGCCCACTCTGTTCTTTCCCTTCTCTACTTTCTTTGTTCATAACCTACCAGACTTGGACTTCGGTGTCTGCAACTGAAAAGGCGCAACTCGCTTCTGGAAAATTCGCACTAAATGCAGCCACAGTCTCCACTACGAATAGGATCAGCCAATAACCACCTCTGCCAAGTTTACCCTGTTGTGTTTCTCTTTTCCTCCATAGCGAATCCTGGGGGATGCACAATGCAACCTGCCCCTTTAGGCAGTTCCGGTTGAACCCGCGTTGTGTCGCGTCCCCGCGACTTGGTGGCATGGGCTGCATGGCCAGGTTCTCCGATCCCCGGGTTCGAAATCCTGATCAAAAATTGCGGCCCTTGCGTCGACGGTCAGCAGCTACGCATGGCGCCTCCCGGCCGCCGCTGAAGTCAGACAGCCATCGCAAAGTTTCTAAACAGCCACGGCGTGTAGATCACCCCGAGCACTGTCTTCCGAGGCACTCTGGCCCCTGTCGCGTGTTTCCGTCGCGAAGGGACACGGCATGAGCTTGGCAAAGATTATTTTGAGCGTTAGATTTACAATCGGGCGTGCCATAGACGGCAGTGCCATTCTTCCGGATATCCATCGATCGCTTGTCTGTTTTTCGTGGGGTCGAGGGGCGAAATAGAGTACATGCTCCAGCCCTGCAAAGGCAGTTCCAATCTTTCGGGAATGCAGATGCGATGGAACTATTCCTATTCAATAATAATAGCCTCAAACAAAGCACCGGTCTTTCCACGCTGCCAAAAGTGATCCACAAGCATTTTCCCGATCTTGACAGGATCCGTACCCCATGCATGGCCCCTGCTGCCAGGAAACTGAATGCGACCGGGTTACATGTAGGTATCGACTTGCAGATGGGTGTCTAGAATTCTTTTCTTAGAATCTCTCTTCCGTTGAATAACCTTTTCTTCCTGTTAGTTGCATCTTACAGGTGCTGTGGATGCGGCTCTAGGATCCTTGCGGGTCGTCCCAAGGAGTGACCCAGGTCGGCCGGCGAGTTCGGCAATATTGACAGGACGGACGCTGGAGTTTTTCCTATATTCGATTTCAAGCAAAGTGCGAAATGGTCCTTGCGAAACATGCACTGCCGAGTCGTAATTCCAACAGCATTCAGGAGTGCTCTCCAAGCGGCCGCATTCCGGGGGAACCAAGATACTGTTAAGCTACTCCTTAACTAGGGGGCAGATGTGCACGCCCCAGGTGGTCGATATGGAAATGCTCTCTAAGCCGCAGCATACGGTGGAAACCAAGATACTGTTAAGCTACTCCTTGACCAGGGGGTAGATGTGAACTCCCAAGGGGGTCAACATGGCATTGCTTTCCAAGCCGCAGTATTCATTGGAAGCTATACAATTGTCAAGCTGCTCCTTGACCAGGGTGCGAATATTGGCCTTCGTACAGTTGATTTTCAGGGCGCATCATTGCTACATGTTGCTGTCGCTTGCAAGGACAGAAATACTCTGAAGTTACTTCTTGAAGCTGGGGCATACATCTACATGGCCGACACTGATGCTTTCAACCAGACGCCGCTTCATATTGCTGTTATTTTACTACTATCCAGAGGACTTTCAAATCCTGGAGAGTTCGTTGATCTAGCCGTCAAGGAGAGGGGGACGCATGGACCCTCCTCCACGCTGCTATTAACGAAGGAGATATGGATGGGTGTACACCTTTGCACCGTGCTGTTGAGAATCACGCTTTTGAAGCTGCAGAATGGCTAATCACTCATGATGCTAAGGTTGAAATTGAAGATTTTAACAAGATCACTCCGTTTCAGTCAGCTGGATGATTTCAGAATGATGAGTCGCCTTTTCCCTTATGTCACCAAAGGTCTTATAATGGCAACAGACTGGCGAGCTTGCGTCCCCTTGAAAGCGAAAAGGAATATCGTTCGGATCATCTATAGACCCGGTTTCATGCAGTATTCGTAAGATATTTGTGACACTATACAACTGTTACGAAAAGGAGGATAGCTAAAGCAATAACTCTGGATCTCTCTATTGATAAGCTCTGAACGAAGAAGCTAGCTAAAGATGGTGGTCTGGTCTATCACCTAACCTAACCTGTAACTGCGACCGTGACAACCGCTCTCCCGATTATACAATTCAGTATCCCCATGGTTTGTTCTCAGCGTCAAGGAATTTCGCCTGTAGGCGTTCTTGCTTCTCTATAGGACGTTGTTTCTCTAGAGACTTTTGGGAGTACTGAGAACCTCGACGAGGGACTGGAACGCGCCACGCGGGAAGCACACCCTGATGTTGTGGCCATACTGTTTGACGCTGGCGCTCGTGCAACCTCTGCGAAGGACTGCCTCAATGGGACACAACCTCAGATGCCAGGCATCATTCGCCAGTTCTTTGACCATGGCCTTGATCCTAATACGTCCCTAGCTAACGGCGAACCTTTTTTATGGTAAAGTGCCCACTTAAGAGACAAATATTCAGAGCTGACTTCTAATAACAGCATGCTACAAAACCCTGCATCCGCCCGCGAATTTCTCTTGCGAGGCGCTGACCCAAACTGTTGCAGCCCCAGGGCGAGGTTCCTCTTCGCGACTGGAGAGTCCCCCCTCGCCCGTGCCCTTAAGAGCGCCAGTGGAGAAGATCTATCTATGGTTGAGCTACTTCTTGCATATGGGGCCAAGCTAGAATCACAACTCCTCTTTAGAGTTATAGCTCGGCGCGTGAGGGAAATGGAATTCAAGACCAAGTTTCTTCTAGCCAATGGCCTCGATCCCAATACAACACATGAGATATCGGGCTCTCCTCTACACCGCGCTATTGATCTTGGCTTGACGAATATCATGAAAGTGCTGCTAGACGCAGGCGCAGACCGCACTGCTCGACCAGCGGGCACGCCACACCATGATGACTCCCCCTTGCAGCTCGCTGAGAGGTCAAAAAGACCTCAGAAAGAGGCTATGCTTGATATCCTTCGGTCTGAGTAGACTTACAGGTGGGCCACATGGCGGGTGCAAACTACTGATAACAATATGATGATACTTTGTGTGCTTTGACTTTCACAATCAGCCAGGGGTCCTGTATTTATTCTGGAAATAGACTACTTCACTCTGGATGACTTTCCTACAAATTGGAAGTCACATAGACTATACATTAATTCACGTCCACTATGGTATCTCTGGTCCTGGGCACATGAACCAACTACCCCTCAATATCCGCGCAGTAAAACACCTTTACTACGAGTTATACGGCACCATTTAACAGGTGTACTCCGCCTTCGCTCGTTGCCTTAATTTTGATATATCTTATCACTCTGTATATACTTTGTAGTCCTTAAGAGAATCTGTGTATTTTATATATGGTTTCACAGGTAAATGTAATAGTGAGACGATTGCTAGATGATTTATACGCTTCATTTGTCACTTACGAAGGAAAAATATAGGTTAATGCGGCTTTTTGCCCGCAAAAAAAACCCCTGTTGGCGCGATGGTTTTAGGGTTTTCCAGTTTTTTCAGACATCACGTATAACGTAAAAGTCCCATCATAAATATTATCGACTCTAAGAATACAGAGTTTATTGGAAGATTGTAGTTCCATACGGTACTGTATATGATAACTGGTTACAAGAAATATTAGCGTCCTTAGTCTCGCTCCTAAAAATGCGTAGGTGGAGAGCGCCCGGTACCGACTATGCCGACGCCTAATAATACTCATCCTTCGGTAGCATATACAAGAACGCTAGTACTAGTCACTAATTTCCCTAGCTATTATTATCATTTTCTGCCATACCGGGCCCTAAACAGAGACAAGCCAAAGGACGTCTCTGCCCATTGCAGAAATATATCCGGCTGGTGTAATTTACAGTCAGTATAAGTTAAACCATTTTGGCAACCGAATTTTGAAAACCACTTTTGTCGCCATCCCAACGAAACACATCGTCTTATGTGCCTACCTCAGACCTTCTGCCAGTGACCCGATTACAGATTTTCATCTATGATGAAGCTGCTATCTCTCGTAGTATGGCTGGCCTTTGCAATCTCTGCAACTGCACTCATCACCGGCATGCCAACTCCCCTTTAAATGCAAAAATGCTGTAGTTTGTGACAATGCTGACATTATATCATATGGTTCAGATGGCCTGGTATTGGAGACGAACACCTCAAGCATTATCAAGCGATCTGGTCGACCTGTGTGCGAGCCTAACCTGGCACCTGAGAATACCAGCAAGCGCAATGTAGGGTTCACCTACTTTGATCGCAATATCACGGCCTGAGTAAAAGGATGGTGCTGCCCGGGGACAGTATGCCTGCCTTCTATGAATCACAGCTTCCGCTTGTGACAAAAAAGTTTATCCCACGCGATAAGGCGAGTGTTTCACAGTATCTGAGAAATGCATGGCCCGCGCAATAGAGCAGGTTACGTGCAGGATTACAGTGGAGCACGGGAACGGAACTCCTATCGGGCTGCACGACGCTGTATATCATCAGCCGAACAGGGGTGTATGCTGCCCACAATTTTGAAAAAGTTTCCTTCGAATCTGACCCCTTCTGGCGGACGGGCGATCACACCACGAATGACCGACTGTTCCAATACACCGTCATTGACGTTTTGAGAAACGGAGGAAGATATCACCCCAGACTAAATGCAGCCCGCATTGAAGACGACTCGATCCGGGCTTACCTCATATACACTGCCCAGACCTCGGCAGAAACTGCGGATGATGTCGGCTACTCTGTGCGGAATGAGCAAATCCGGACTACCGTCGGTGAGATTGTACCAACGCTGCAAGATGAATCACGCTGGATAAACACCCCGTACCAGGCGACAGATGATCAAGGCCTTCTCCACAATTCAGCTCTTACAATGCTTGACTGCAAATCTGAAGCTGAAGCTGAGTCATGTCAAAATAGCGATTGCGAGTCCCGGGGTAGAGGCACGGCCTTATAGGCTGAATCTCCCATATCGGGAACTACATCAACGCGGTAATCTTGGTTAATATAATGAAATTCAAGTTTTTAGAATGTAAAATTCAGTGGGTGCAAATTGTCTGGCAAACAGATCAGATATAGCAAACTATTACATATACAACCAATAATCCATGTGTTTCTTCTTGAGAAACCTTCAAAGCCTTACCAAGAACCACCCGTAGATCAAACAACTTTTGCACGTCCGTAGCGCTCCATAATAAGCTGCGTCTTCAGCGAGTCCTGTGCGAGAAACCAATTCTTGCTTTGCAAGTAGGCGACCAAGTTGCCTCCTTCAACCGAGGCTGTCGAGCGGCTGTCCGTCTTGAAAGACGCCTCGATGATGTACTCAATGCCCGTACGATCGGAATTGAGCAGGGGCCAGACCTCAAGATTTAGCGGCATGTCGTTCCACTTGCCAACGAAGCGCGTGACGAGGACCGGACCAAAAATGCATGAGATCGCCAATGCGCTGGTACCCCATTTGTTGGGATACCAGTTGTCAAACTTATCCGGCGCTTCATCGATCAGCAATTTACGCGACTTGCTTTCTCCTGGCAAATCGGTTCCGCTATCCCTAGAATTCTTTATATTTTTCTTGCGGCTGATAGAAAGCGTCTGCTTCTGGTATCCCCATTCAACTTGCGCTTCATATTTTTTATCACCGTCGTCAAAATCATCTTCTTTAGCCGTTGTAAGAGCGGCGTCAATTTCGCCACCCGAGATGGCATACCGCTTCTTATACGTCAGCTCCAAGTCATCATTTTCGGCCTTGCGTATACGGGCGCTCCAGCCGGCTATATAGATATCCTTGGAGCACGTGTCGAGGAACTGGACATTCATCTTGGTGGTTGAGGCCACATGAAAAGTCGATAGGACAGTGTCTGCTAGCTCGGGTTTAGAGCTGAGCACCGCATCCGGGTCGAGCAAGAGCCTGACCTCGTAGTTGGGCGTCATATTTGTCACTGTCTCTGCTGGAGGGGCGATCGTGGAAGTAATAGTAAATTATCAACTCGGGAAGAGATGTATGGTTGCTAAAAGCTTTGGGGCAGGGCGTGGACGAAGCGATCCGGGAAATAAAAGAATTGTAACTACACGAGCAGACCAAGATTGTGCTTGAAGATTGCTATTGGACCAAGTCTTAGTACTCTGGTCTACCTAAAAGCTTTTATAGCGACGAAGCAAACAGTACCAGTTCTACGTAGAATGCAGTTTTCAGCGGAACAAATCATCTAGAATCCTTGTCGCCAAAATTTATGATGATATGATTTCGTATTCCGGGCACACTCTCGTCACCCAAGCACGACACCCCAATTTTTAGACATCAGTCTCCCGCCATATTTCTCAATTAATTATGTTCCGATTGAGAACCCGTGACATGAAATAATGCTGCACTGAGTCTCGATGCGACAAGTTCACTATCATTATGATAGAGCACGGTTTATATACGCGTAAATCTGCGAATTATCAAATAATCTTAAACATGGACTTCCACAGCAGTAGTTTCAAGACTATGCTAATAGTATTTGGAACGTTTTATCGGATATTTCTTTCAGTCTAGAACTCGATATCCATAAACGGTAATTCCATAGCAAACTTTTGGCCAATTTCAAGCACAAATTCACTTTCGCTTGGCACAATTATAGAGGTAGGAATAGCTTTTGACGTCCCGTAACCGGATACGCTGGCCCGGGCATCTAATTTTTGTTAGCATAGCCTAATTTTGAGCTTGTGACCAGTTGATACCGATTGGGTAAATGTAAGTCTTTGACAGTGAGGAGAAACCTCGGATAACCGAACATCAGACGAAGTCAGTACAAGGTTGCGGGCTCAGATGATCGACATAAACTGGCGGCAGCCATCCGCTTTGGGCGCTCATTACTAAATTTACCTCTATTTAGCTCAGTGGCAAAAATCAGATTAATTTGTCCCTTTGTGTTAACATGTTTGTATTTTTGCTGCCCCACCGCAATTGAATTCGTAATCCCAAGGGTATTGGATTGGCTGCTGTTTAAGGGTTGGTTAGGGTGCCCAAAGATATCACTATTGTGTCTGTCTATAGTGAATTCTTACGAACTGTGTGGGTGAATTGCTCTGGCTAGGAATTCGATACAACCACACCAACAAAATTGGATTTATCTTTGGAGAAGCGCGTTCTTAGTCCGTGCGCATCGTACGTCATTTTATTTGCGAGTTGAACTCACAGTCTATTAGTATACCACCGGGTCGCTGTTTCTGGCCGTTTACTTTGAACCAGAAAAATTCGGTTCTTTGGAACAAGGAAAAACACATTTTCCAGTGGTCACCATCAACCTAAAAGTTTGATTTTACTAGACAAGCACAAGATGAATCCTTATGGTCTCCGGTAGCAAGCCTAAAAGTAATGCCTTTTGTGGGAGATCACACGACTAACGCGGCCGCATGCGGCATGATCTGCCGTACAGACAACGCGACTGAAATTAGAGTTCTACCGGCTCATCCGAGCCTTGGTTGGTTTGTTACATACATTATTGTAGTCAAACCTTTAGTAATCCTGTCACAAGTTAAGATTTCTCACATCGCTCATTATCTGTGCTGAACTGTGCTGGGGAATACGAGGTAACTTACTCAACATTGAATCCACCGAATAAACTATCGCCTTAATACAAGGGTCTAGGCCAAGCCTACGCTAGGTTAAAGTAGAAGCTGAATGGCTAACACTGACCCAGGCTTTCCGAAAATAAAAAGCCACCTTGCGGACAGTCAATGTCCTTTCCCCCTTACCTTTCCCGAACGATCCAGATTCGTTCCGTTATGACACAACAAATGCCTAAGCTGGCAAGCTACAAGCGCATAATCCTTTGCGCCGACGGGACATGGCTGGCGTCTGACCAGGGCGACAAGTCCGTGCCTTCGAACGTCGCGAAGATCGCTCGAGCAATTGCGACCAGTGGCCCCGATTCCGACGGCAACATCGTGAAGCAGATCGTGTCGTACCATTCCGGCCAGGGATCTGGAGACCTTCCGTTCCAGAAAGCCATATATGGTGAGTACTTAGCTCGAATAAGCCGATGACTATTTATTGAACGAGTGTGACTTATGTACTGCTTGCCTTATAGGCGGTATCGGCTGGGGCTTAGAGGTCGACGTGTGCCAGATCTATGATTTCATCTCTAATAACTACGAACCTGGCGACGAGTTATTCTTCTTCGGCTTCTCGCGTGGAGCTTTCACGGTGCGGTCAGTCGCTGGCCTAGTAGGCGACGTCGGTGTGCTCTCTGCAGTGCATATGTCGCACTTTGCAGAGATGTGGAAGGCCTACTGCGGCAATACGGACGGGGAGCCCTTCAAGAAGACACCGTGGTATCAGCAGAACAAGGACAAGCTGCGCTTGACAGAAGATCTTAGGATTAAAGTTGTTGGGGTTTGGGACACCGTTGGTGCTCTGGTATGCAAGATGAGAGATGGTTCGTGGATATACTCATGAGACTGACCTCACATTGCTAGGGAATCCCTGAATGGCCGCTGGTTAGATACGCCGTAAAAGCTGGCGTCGCAATCAATAAACAGTACGCATTTCACAACACGAACCTATCAAAAAGTGAGTGATCGCAAGTATCTTACTATATCGGCGCTAAACAGCGGTTCCCATCAGATCTGGACTATGCCTTCCAAGCCCTTGCCATTGACGAGAACCGGCTAACCTTCCCTCCTACCCTCTGGCATAAGACCCCTAACGCCCCAGCCAAGGATCTACAACAATGCTGGTTTCCCGGCGTCCACGGCAACATCGGTGGCCAAGCAGAGGATCCACGTACCGCTGGTGACCATGAAGAGATCGGTAACATTACATTTGCGTGGATGGTAAAACCCGCCCTATCCTCCTAAATCACGATTGTAGTTTACTAAATACCCTTCGCAATTTAGGTAGACAATCTCTCAGGCATGCTGACCTTTGAAGGAGCCGCGATCAACGTACTCATCCAGCAACACCAGCACGCACTGGCCGAGAACAACACCAAAAATAACGTCACAAACGGCTGGGGTTGCGGGCCCCTCGTTTCTAATTTCTCTGGGCTACAAGGCGCGTTCTTCCGTATTCTTGGCAAACAACACCGAACGCCGGGCAACTACCCGCAGGCCCCGGGCGACGGAATTGGTGGTGCCACGAACGAGTATTTTCATCCTATCGCCCGAATCCGGAAGAGCAAACTCTCCAATTACAACCCAATGTCGCTTTACGGGTATTCCCTCGAGGAGCCCGATGGCGATGCCGGCTGGAAGTGGGTCAAAAAGGGCGGACAGGAGGTGCCCGAGTATGTGATGCGCCCGGAGAAGAAGATGAGCGTGGTGCACGAGGGAGGTTATAAGACTACACGTAGCTTGTCAAGGTTGCTATGTCCGACGATCCTTCTGGCAGATCTTGATAGGGATAATGGCGTGCCTCCTGAGTGATTATGGGTTGGGAATGTAGTGTCTCACGTGAATGAATGGCTAATTGACACTATATTTTGGCGTGTGGATATTTTATTTGTGCACCCAATGCAAATAGCACAAAAGTATGTTCCTATTCTTCTGTATCTATTCTTCCTTCCGTTCTCAATTTGCGTTAATATATACGTTGCCAGTAATTTCTACTCGTTGGCTCTTACCCCAATCGTGACAAACTTCGACGAAAGCATCTTCTTCATATCGTTTCGCTTGGTTAGGATTGCAGCGATTCTTTGCATCTTGTGCAATTTTGGCTTATGGCCAACGTGGTCCCATTTCATTTTAATCAACCACTCGTTCCTGATTTGTTATTTTACCACCAACTCACCAAGCCTTTCCAAACTGCTGCTTGGTTTGCTTGCGATATATTTGTCCGCAATGTACGACAATCACGGTTGATGTGGTCACGTCGGATGGAATGCACGTTGGTTCTGGAAATTCCAGAGAAGAGCCCGGAGTTGTGTATTGTCAGGTGTACTAGCAGTAAATGATGTCTTTGCAATAGCTGGGCAGATTTATTGATATACCCTGTAAGAACAAACCCATCAAAGGCATACGCAGGCTAATACATGGCTGGCTTTGGTAACTTCAAATGATTCATTCCTGAGAAGTAGCGCAGGCAAGTCGCGTAGGAAACTGGATCACGGCAGCAGAACAAGCATAGTCTTATTCTAGACTACACTATATCTTCGGTATATATTTAAGCTTGTTAATATTGGGAAGGTGGTTGAGATTAAGACCCTAATCTTGTGGTTATTTTTGGATAGGGTGTGACTGACGGATCTTAATACAGTACCCCGTACGTGCGATTACCCACTTATATTAGCACCACAATTCTTGCAGCATGTGTATGATGGTTGTATTGTTATGGAGCTCTGTGGGTCATGACCCAGTGTTGTAGATACAGGTCTAACCCTAATGCATGAGTAGTGCGTATCAGGGTAACAGGACAATACCATTAGTACAGTGGATCCAACACAAAGCACCACCATTTTCGGGTACGCCACACGACGCGCGTCGATCACCCGAGCCCGCAACCTAGTGCTAAAATCGACCGTGGTTCGGCCATCCGCGGTTCCTCATCACTGTCATAGTCACACTCACGCTTGCATGCAACCAATAGGTATCAACTGGGTACGAGTTTATGAGAGCAGTGTGCTTGGCAAACTTACACTTGCTTTTCGAATAGTTGCTAGATGTATCATAGATACGTATTGCCTCTAGAAATGGGCAGAGCTTAACGTTAGGACTATTTGGACTCATTGTTTGTCTAAGAGAGCCACCGAAGGTTTTGTTAGCCATGTTAATATCAACTACTTTCTTTTGCAACGGGTGTGTTTGCAAAGCGTGAAAAGAGCTGGAAAAAAGCTTGGCTCTATCTTATAGGTTACTTCCACCTATTTCTCAACGATATTCGGAGAACTTTATGTCTTCATTGCGGTTGGGTTGGATATGCAGATGAGTCCATAACTTGGGAAACTCATTTTCCTGGCCAAGTATCCGACGTAGGCTCCTCTAGGCCCTTCGGCTAGGTTACTCATCAGCAATTCTCTCGCCGGAGAGGCTACCATGAGCTCTATTTCTTGCATTTTAGGTGTTGTGTCGTGATACGCTTGGATCCCTTGGAGCTATAATGAGAAGAAAGCGATGACGTCTGACGACTTCATCTGAGAACCAGTAGAATTGACGCATTGTTGTTCTAACTAGCAACGCGGTGGTTTAAACGAATTCATGCGAGTATTATAATATCCCCATTCGGTTATTTTTCAATTCTTTCTTTACTGGTGGGAAAAAGGAAATAATAAGCCCAGTGGATTGTTATTGATGTTTGATGTCTATCCCCGGAAAGCAGGTATAAAATGCTGCCTATACGGTCACATATGATGACCAATAAAGTTGATAACACCGTCAATGGTTGCTTCTTACAAGCCGTACACGAAGTTGAATATGATTAGTTACGCGAAATACGAGATGACCCTACCTACTGTTATCACAGCTTTCCCTATCGCTCTTGCCCGGGTATATAAATGTTTTGCGTAAGTCCAGGAAGAACGAGCGAAAGGCACGGGGCCTTTAGACATGGCTTCTCTCGCCAATATCTTCAAGGATCACATCGGATGCCTTCTCACTAATCATGTAGATGGGAACGACGATAAAGAAACCGGGAATGCGAGGAAAGACGGACGCATCCACGACGCGTAGGCTGCTCACATCTCGAACACGAAAACGGGAATCCAGAACGGCTTTGGGGTCTCAATCCCCCCCATATCGGGCAGCTACAGGACGCGTGATGACCCCAGGCTTCATTTCTGATGAATTCTTTAACTTGCTCAGAAGAGGCCACCTGACGACCAGGCGATGCCTCTTCCAGGGAACCAGTGAAGATCGGTAGGACACCGTCCATAATGCGGCGCGCAAATTCAAGGCCTTCGGTGATGGCACCAAGATCACGGTCCGATTCCTGAGCCTCGTCCGGGGTCGTAGTAAAGTAATTGAAATCGATATCGGGCACGTCTCGCGGATCGGCTGAGGTGAGTATGATCGTTCCGTCCTGGTTATGCGTGTGAGCCTTGAGGACCGCCCAGGTGAAGTGTTTCTTGTCTAAGGTGGTGAGTTCTGAGTATCCAGGATAGTAACCCCGAAAGAACGCTGGACCACCGAAGATGAAGAGATCAGGGTCAATATCGGATTGACTGGATTTTTTCACGATCCCAATAGTGAGCCCATTCGATAGGTAAGGCCCACGCTGCCGGTACCAGTCTTCTAGGCATGGGTCTCCCGGTCTCCCGAACGTGCAATTGGCTATGACCGGGAAGTCATCTTGTATCTTGGTAACGACAGGAATCTTGTTGCGGTCCTGGAGATTGGTTCCAACGCCCGGTAGATCTCTCACGACACGAATCCCAAACTTTTGCAACTCGTCTTCAGGACCGACACCGCTCAACTTGAGAAGCTGCGGGGTGCCGAAAGCTCCCGCTGCGAGTATGACCTCTCGAGAGACGAAAACGCAACGTTTGGTCCCGGTGGCGGATGAACTGGACCGAGGATCGGCCTTATATAAACTGCTCCCTTCGAGGAACTTGACCCCAATCGCTCTCGGAGGGGCGTTGGTGCTACCGCCCTCTTCAAACCGTACACGGGTAGCAAGACAGCATGTCCTAATTTCCAGCGGAAACTCCTTGGCTGTATTCAGAACCAAGTCCCGAGTACCACTTCGCTTAGCGCGACTCACGGCCAGGGGGAGCTGGTAGATGCCCTCAGTCATATCCCGGCGAGCATCAACGGAATTAACGTCCCGCAGTAGGAGTCCGAGCTGGGAAACCTTCTCGTGGATCACGCTCAGGATACGATTGCCCATGGCTGCAGCCGCTGCACCGATGATAGAGAGGATCTTGAAGTCTTTCAGTGCCAATTTGAGATCAGCACGATTAGTACCGAGCCAGCCATCAAAGCCATGACCAGGGGCATCGGTCGGAAGATACTCACAGCGCTCCAGGCGCTTGAAATATTGGCGCATATTCTTCGGCTCCCACGAAGTATCGCCGGTGAGTTGGGCAACGTTAGCTCAATCATTCTCATGCGGATAGATGGTGATCATAGCATTATGTGAAGTACAGCCACCCAGTTTTCCAGCACGTGGATAGAGGATCCCTTTAGGTTTTGATCCACTCGGTGGATTCAATCCGACATACAGGGTTCCTGTGGGTGTCTGCCAGGTCATTTTCGAGTCCTTTCGCGCGATAGTCTCATCTGCGAATGTTTGACGAAGTAATCCCAGCGCATGTTCTCGTCCTCTGTGGATCTGAAATGGAAGGCGGGAACCTGCTGGTTGAGATTGGAGCCCTGATCATCTCCGGCCTCCAGGAGGAGAACTTTATGGCCTTTATGGGCCAGATTGGCGGCCAAGGGGCCCCCGCCGGCGCCTGAGCCGACTACTACATACTCATAACCCTCTAAATTGTCGAATTCCACCTCCTTGGTACCCATGGAGTTGATAGTTACCTCTGGCACGTCGGTTGCTGACGATTGGCTCATGGCGGAATGCGGGAGTTCGGGTCTTTGTGTTTGACAAAGGGTCAGATAAAGTTATTGTCACTTTTCTCTTCAGGTTTCATCTGTGATGTGCTTTTGTACCGTACACTTGTGGCCAACTTACGAACAAAGGCCGGCGATCTAGACGCGTGACGTGACCAACACCCAATGACCTAGCTGAAAACACCCTCTGTAAAAAATGTATATATACATATTAAAATTGAATAAAATTAAGGTTAAAAAAAATTAAAAAAACATGTGGAAAATATGAGGCGGAATGACATAGTGGTCTCCAATGGTGGTAGTGAGCCTCGGGTCAATAGTTTCCAACCTGTCCAAGGTTCTCTGCGACACGTTGTGGCCTGTCTCCTCCCTGTTCCCCAAGCTTTGCTTGTGATGCTTGCTGGTTCTTTTGCCCATCGGGCGAAACTTCTTCTCTTTCCATCTGTGTGCCCAGAGGCAAATTCCCTATGTTTGGTCCGGCAGACTGCTCCACCCGGCAGCACAAAGCTACCCATTCTTGCTCATACGTTTGTTGCTGACCAACGCGATCGAGGCTAGGCGGCGGTGCTTCCTCGGCTGAGAACATGTTATCCGGCATGCTCTGTTCGGGAGCGCATTCCGAGGCAACGGCACCAGGTGGAGTATAATGAGCTGCGTTTTTGGAATTATTCAACCGTACATCTTTGTTTGCGGAGGTCATTTTTCTGCTCTCTGGAATCTGTGACTGAGTACGTCGTAATCGAGGTTGCTCCAGCGGTGAATGCTCACTTGGGGTAACTTTTCGACCTGAGCGTGCACTTCCGCTTCGACCCGGGTGAGGCACCTGTTCCTGGGATGCGCTCAGAGCCCTTCATTCGCAATGTCCTGTCTAGGTACTGCTTGGGATTCGCTTAACTCTATATCACTCGGCCGAAAACATGGTAGGGGAACAAAATTGCCATCCTCGCGATCTTTTGGGTCAAGATGTGGAAGATTACTCGGTGCCAGATGCCATGCGGGTACTTCTATGTTTGACCGCGAGATCGTTTGTTGAAGCAATTCGACGATTCTGTGGGCCGAGGAGATGGTAGGGACTTGCGACGCGTTGAAAATACGAGTGTCGCGCGAAGATCTTTTCCCGCGCTTCCTAAAAGGACTATTTCCTGTGAGGTAATACAACCTGGCCTCAATAGCAGAAAAAACTCCATTTTTGCTTGTTTTTTGGTTGAAGGCTTTTGCGATCTCTTCCTGTGATAGATTTTTCTGGACTTGGTGTTCGAACCAATCAGAAAGCTACTTCAATAGTTTTAATTGGATATCGTACGCGCCCAAACCCAATGTCAAGATGGAAGATCTAATATCCAATCATTTTGCGCTCAGTCTGAGTCGTCCATGCTCATGTACTCCTGTTGAGATCACATGACCTGGTTGGTCGTATGACCCTGGATGGTCCTGAGAGTAGTTCGATAGTCCTCGGAGCGTCGGAGCCTCTCTCCTTCCCCGTCCTTTTCTCCACCAATAATATTGACCTATTATTGCTTCCTTCTCCCTTTGTCTAGATATTCTATTGTACCTCCTTAATTTTCCCAATACAAATTTTGACTTCGTTCCCATGACCCTGACAACCGCTAGTCTACATGCACGATAAAACCTTCCAGATCTGCCAAAATCACCTGGAAATGATCTCATGTACATTCCTCGGGATATTTCTCACTTACGTCGTCAATTGTTCATTAAGCAGGATTCCCCAGTGATTTGCCGGTCCCAAGGATCTGTTATTGCTGAGGGGCGCCCCCTTCATCCCTTTGAAAAAGCCTAGGTATCAGAAAATACTTCCTATTGCCGAGTCCCACGGTAGTCAGATGTATTTCCCGAGTTCAATATGTGGCCATTCAGCACCCAAGGTGAATTCCTTATCATTCCAAAGTTTAGTACCCTCAATGAGACCATATACTTCGAAGCGTGGTCAATGTGATCATGTTTGCTGGGGGTTAAAACTCTTCTACTGGAGTCGTGCAGAACCTTCCTGCTGCTAACGTATCTTTAAGGGGCCCGTATTGGGGTGGTTAGATGGCCTTACTAATTAACCAAGTCTCTATTCTATCTACACTATACTCCGACTAACAACTTTCTTGCTTCCACCCCCTCGAATGTCATCCCGTCACTTGATTCATATGAAGCTTTTCTTCAAGCGAAGTGTGACCTGGCCGGAACCCCTTCCGGACGACTGAAATCTTGGTAGTACATAACCTGGGCCGCACTTAGCGTGAGCGGGCCCCTGCATCACAGCGCTTTTCTTATGCGTAAAACATCGATTAAGCTCACTATAATAACATGGACTGACTGCAGACATGATTCACAGATAAGCTTGCTCTCAGTGCATCTTGAGAGTCATGTTAGATTGTAATTATATTCTTGACTATCTTGGGGTAGCACATCGGCTCAGATCATGAGTCCCAAGGTCACATTGCGACCAAGCCAAAGTGTTGATGTGACTTATTCCGGATGTCTGCGCCGTAAATAATACAATCACTGCATAGCTCAAGGACAATTAGTGGGGATCGTGACCTGTATGCTTCTGATTGCTTTGGAGCTTGATGCCATAGGTGTATCCAATCTTAATGACGAAGCGCCCTCAATGATAGCACCGGTTCTAACAAAATTTAATAACCTTTCAATCCACCATAAATGGAGATTGCAGCATGCACCCAGTCTCTCGCGAGGTTGCAGTGTCTCTGGAATGCAGGGGTTTGATGTTGATAAAGTTGGATGTGATCGGCATGACACTGAACAACGTTGAATTGTCTCTGCTTTGGACTGACTGACCTTTTAAAGTGAACTGGTCTATGGAGTTGTGCAACTTCTACATGCAAGCTTAAGCGAAGAGACATACCCTGACTGCTGGGACATTTCGTGATAGAAGCTACAGCATACCAAGTAGCCTGGAAAGAATGCCGGGAAGAAAAAGATCCCAAGCACAAATAAAGCTGTATCCCTTGCATAACTTGATTGGTTACAACCAGCAGTAAACATGCAGTTAGCTGTCCTACAGAAAACCTATATACGTCTTCCGATTAATTAGCCGGAGATTTTACTTTGCAGCAACAAACACTCTGCAAACTGCATTTTGGATCGAATGCTTCACAACAAGCAAATTTCCATGAGCCCCCACAGTTTGGACAAGAACTGGGGGAAACAAAATTTCGTTTCATGGCAGACAGTTTAAGCTTGAGAGACAGTCGGGATGAAGTCTGTTCGAACCGAGATGACATCCCGTTGAACGAGTCAGGGAGTGACCACAGCATCGAGGACGAGAAACAGGAGTATCCACCGACATCGAAACTTGCTCCGATCCTCATAGGACTGTGTTTTCAGTCTTTCTGCATTGCCCTGGTAAGACTTGGAACGGGTCATTTTTGTTTGACCAGCAGTTATTGCTCTTATCATCGCTAACATCGATGCTTTTCAATCTAGGACAATACAATCCTTTCAACCGCTGTCCCCAAAATTACCGAGCAATTCAACTCAATAAGCGACATATCCTGGTATGCTAGCGCTTACCTCGTGACGACATGTGCTGTCACCCTCCCGTTTGGCAAGATCTACACCTATTATTCCACCAAATGGACATATATGATCGCCCTGGCCTTGTTTGAGATTGGATCCTTGATATGCGCAGTGACTCCAACTTCGAAAGGCTTAATCCTAGGGAGGGCAATCGCTGGTATTGGGTCAGGTGGCCTATCCCCGGGTGCTTTGCTGGTACTTGCGAACAGCGTGCCCCTTCATCGTCGTGCACTTTATTATGGCATCATCGGCAGCACCAGTGGAATTGCAACCATTACAGGACCTCTGTAAGAGATTATCCCGAGAAGATATTCTCAGAGCGACAGCTAACTTTGCGACAGGCTAGGTGGAGTATTGACTGACCATGTCAGTTGGAGATGGTGCTTCTGGATAAACATACCTTTCGGTGCCCTCACTGGGCTTGTGATAATCTTTTGCTTCAAAGACCCGATGAAAATAAAGCCCGAGCTGGACACACTTGGGCAATTGAAAAGAATGGATCCACTTGGTATCCTTGCCTTCATACCCGCAATAGTCTCAATACTACTGGGCTTGCAATGGGCTGGGACCAAATATGATTGGGATAATGCACGGATAATTGCGCTCTTTGCCCTATTCGGGGTCTTCGGTTCCTTGTGGTGCTACATCCAGGTTTGGAAACAGGATGAAGCTACGGTACCGCCGCGTCTTCTCAAGAATCGCAATGTGCTTGGTGCAGTGATACACGCCACCTTCCTTGGGGGTTCCTTTTTTGTGTTTGGATACTATGTGAGCCCTGAGAACATTCATTCTACTTTCTCCGCTAATATTGCTCTAGCTCCCCATTTGGTTCCAAGCAATCAAGGAAGATTCCGCATCCGAGTCTGGAATCAACAATCTTCCGATGGTCGTGGCGATGATTGTTTGTTCCGCTTTAGGAGGTCTCCTGGTGAACATTATTGGGTACTATACGCCCCTAATGTTTGTGGGAAGCGTATTTCTCACAATTGGCTCTGGCTTGTGCACGACCTTTGAGATCCATACCGGACATGCGAAATGGATTGGCTATCAAGTGATCATCGGAGTGGGCGCAGGACTCGGCTTCCAACAGTGCATCAATGCTCTCCAGACTGTATTATCCTTGGATGATATACCAACTGGAATTGCCATCATTACTTTTGCACAGAGTCTGAGTGGTGCGATATTCATCTCAGTTGCTCAGACTGTATTCGAAAATCGTCTTGTGGCAAGCATTTCCACATATGCCCCGAAAGTCAACCCAAGTGCGTTGATAGAAGGCGGCGCAGCCAACCTGTCGCAACGTCTATCCAAAGAGGTCCTTCCATCTGTGCTCTATGCTTACAATATTGCTGCCACCCAGACATTTTATGTGTCTGTAATTGCTGCATTACTATCCTTCGTCGGCGCTGGGCTTGTTCAATGGATATCGATGAAGGAACCACAGAAACGGGACCCCGAAGATTGAAATTTTTGATTACTAGGAGTTGGCGGATTCTTTTGAGCGTTAAGCTTTGTAGTTTATGTTCTGTGGTGTTGTTCACGACCATTCTCATATGAGACCATATGTAAATAAATCTGTTGGAGAGTTTAGCAATTGAAAACAAACCGTCTCATACCAAATTCTGCAAGGCTCAAGCTGCTTTAAGTCTACCAAGATGGATAGATTGCAATAGGAAAATTGTCGAGATCACATGACCAACCAAGTCATGTGACCCCTGGATGGTCCTGAGAGCTCGGACGGTCGGAGCTTCTCTCCTTCCAGATTCTGTGTTCTGCTCTCGTTCCCCGTCCGTTTCTCAACGAATCAACTATCGTTTATTGCTTGCTTCTTTTTCCTTTATCAAGACACTTGTACCTCAATCCAAGGTTCAACTTCGCGAACGATATGCAGGCTACAACAACTGTGTAAATACATGTTTGTTTGATCAACTGAGATTGGTTCAAGCTTCCTGAATGGTGAAATTTGAGCCTCACCTGATAAGGCCTGTGATAGTTTCCACTCTAACCTGATAGTATGGATGCAGGGGCTATTACGTGAAATTTACGAGTACGGTTCTTTCAAAACATCAATACAGAAAGTGTGTTTTACACGTATAGGAAACAATCAGTTGTCGAATGCATGGTCACTAAGTAGCCTAAATCCTAGTGTAACTCACGCAAATTAGAGAACCAAATATAGCGATGCGTGCACAAGATGAGACAAACAGATATTGTAAAGATAAATGCATCATGTTTCGATAGCACGATCCGCCGTTTCCCATTCTAGCAGCGTCTTTCATTGGAGATAGTGTGAGGATGAGCGGGGCCTAAAACTCGTTGCTGATTGACCACGCAGGTTCGAAGTAAATCGATTGCTTTCGCATGCTGACCTGTAGATTCCCAGGTGAAAGCTAAATTGGCCATGCTCGTCGGCGTGGAGGGATAGTCCGCGCCGAGCTTCGTCTTACGAGTCTCCATGACCTACACAAAGAGCTGCTCGGCCTCCTCCCATCGACCTTGGTTCCTATACGTCGACGCCAGGTTAGCCATACTTGTTAGTGAAGACGGATGGTCCTCACCGAGCTTTATCTTACGACTCTCTATCACCTACGCGTCAAGGTGTCTAGCCTCCTCCCACCGACCCTATTTCCGATACGTTGATAATAGATTGGCTATGCTCGATAGCGTGTTAGGATGGTCATAACCGAGCTTGATGCTGCTGTTAGTCGATAAAACCTGAACCCATCACCAACGCTGTGAGGAACTTACCCGCGCCAAGATTCATCACCCCATTGTTGATGCCCACCTGGGAACCTGAATTTCTATCGCCAGACTTTATGGAGTTCATATTCAACACACGCTGCACACCGTTGATAGTATTTCGAGTAGAACAAAGATGACAGGCTTCACAATCATAGATGCCATCCTCAGCCTCACTATTAGGTGACTTTGTGGGCGGTAAGCATTCGCCCTTCGTTGACCCAACACGCTCATCAAAGTAGATTTCTAGCCTAATACAATTTTTTTATCAACTGACAGGAACAGCCATTGTCGTGTCACTTGACCCAGTTAATTTTATCCGGAAATCACCCCGCAGATTACTGTGATGGTATACATAGCTCACCGCGATGCGACGAGCTGGCCTTGAATCACTCTCACTCCGCCCTATCACAACGGCGTAAGAAAATCTCCGTTCATTTCAGTTATAGTGCAGGATTGAGGCTGAAATCTAATTATATCATTCTGTAGAGACATTTGACCTCATTAATACATCATGAACACCAAAAGCGCCTAAAAGGAGAGCCTGACGCCCAATTACTTAGCGCCCTGACCCTTGCTTTGCGCTATCACGCGCTATCTTGCATAACGCTAAACGTATCAAGCTAGATATACATGTACAACACGTTCTGTCACTGCTAGCTGCTCGGCCTACTACTGGATCCCCCGCTCAGTCCTAGGTTCTACTAGCACGGTTTCCTAGGAACTTGTTGACACCCCTCCACCCGCCCAACATACAGAATGTACGGCTATAGCTTTTTCTTAGAATTTGCCCTGTGGCGAATGAAGGATTATTTAGACTAGCTGTTGGCGACTTTTTACGCGAGACAAGGACAAAACTATGGGCGCTAGGAAACATTGCCAGTCGCTATCTTGGTTGGTGGGGTAGGCATATCTATACTTATGGCGACGAATTGGAGCTTCTGTGTAGGTGATTGCATATGCGTGGCAGATGCATCTAATTCACCAGATTTGTTCCAGCCGTTGAAAACAGGGACAGAGTATCCCAGTCTCTAATACACTATGCGGATCCCGCATATTATTGCTCCGGACTATTTCCTACTCCTAGGAGTTGTATTCTACCTATATTGACTCCTAGGAGCGTCTTTAATTCTCCTAGGAGACTTATTCCTATATGCTCGTTCCTAGGAGTCAGACATACTCTTAAATTTCACTCCTAGGAGTGTCAACCCATGGTAATAATAAATTTGTTTAAATGTATATTACTGCCTAAGAGCTTATCTATTTCTTGCTAGAAGCCTTGCGTCTATATACGCTTCTAGGAACCCCTCTTATACTACCTTTCGTACGTAGGAGACTCAAAGCTTAGTTTCCTAGAGTTGTTCCTAGGAGACTAATTTTTTGCCTACCGGCGTTCTATATCCGCTAATGCCTTCCTTCATAATAGTACATAGACACTAGGTAAAGGCTTTTCTATCTATAGATTTAAGACAAAGAAAAGAAGATGCCCTCGTATAGTATTTGTAAGAACGGGCAACTCGAAGAAGCCTAGACTTACCTACTATTAAGACGTATTGCTCCTAGGATCATTCAATTATATAGCATAGCTCGCTCTAGCGGGCTATATAGCAAAATAGGCTAGCTGATAGAGCCCTAAGTTTACAGAGCTAGGAAATTAGCCGAGCTCAGCCTTATAAGGAATAAAGCTAGACTAGAACGATAAGTCTTTCTTTTTTTTTTTCTTCTTTATCATTCCTTATTATATCCTTCTTTCTATAAGCATCGAAGCAATTACTTAAACATAACTTGCCTAAATGACCTTGCGCTCTATGATGTCTACTAAATACACAATTAGGATACGCCTTACTATTGCCTTCCTCGCTATCATAGGGCTAGCCTTTGCCAGTCTTAACTCGGCCATAGCGCGCTTCGCGGTTATTCTACGGGACCGAGCGAAAGCCGATATTATCACTCCTAATAGATCTATTTTAGACAACACGTTTAGAAATCTAATAGACAATGTCCTCGTCGACGTCCTAATTGCAGCCGTTATATCCACCTCGTTTGCTATTACGGGAGCTATGCTTATAGGCCACTAGACTTCCGCAGAGCCCACAAAGCCCAAAGCCTAACCCAACCCAACCCCCTGATGGGTTGGGCGTTGGGCCTAGTTCTCGGGCCCACGATGGGCTTTGGGCTTTTCGGATGGGCCCAAGGCCCATCTTGTGCTAAACAATACAAATATGCTATTTTCCCGTGACTGTATAAGTAATGCATTTTTTGGTAGTAATTTTGAGTAATCCTCTTACAGCTTTGACCAATAAATATATCATTTTTACTATATTTTTCTCAACTAACTCATAGATATTAACGGAATATATTATATTGCAATTTATTTATATACTAGTAATGCTCAAATTCATTATCCTCCCTACTTTTTCTTTTCCTTCCTGACATCCGTAACTAGGTGGTGTTCTCTGGTAGTTGCGGCTCAGCATCATCATCCATCGCTATCAAATTATCAGACCTTTCGTCCTATTCTTCTGTATCACTAATTGCCTCTATCTCAATATCATTAGGCTTCTTATCTTTCTCTTCCCTTAGAGCTTCAATCTCATCTAGAGAGAAGAACTGCTTAAGCTCCTTTGCCTCCTGCTCTTCAAGATCAAATCTTGATGTACAAAGAAACATCATAAGCTCTTGAATAGTTTCTAACTTCATACGACCGCGGCGATAATGATAGATATCGTGTGCGGTGTTAAAAAGCCGTTCTACACTAGCACCTATTGCTAGGATAGAGAGAATATCCCTTGCAAGTAAAGCGATTACAGGAAAACGGCATTGGTTCTCTCTCCAAAATGGAAGCGGCTCATTATCAGTGATATCTAAAAGAAAGTCAGCTTTAGATAGTATAAGAGTAGGTTTAGAACATACCACCATTAAGATACTAGGTTATTTCATCTCCGACCGGTTTTGCTTAGGGTTTATGCCTATTTAGTAACTTATTAAGTCTTAAACTTAGTCTTGCTTTAGTAGAGGAGTTCCTAGGGCCTTGAGCACGCTTAAGACGTTCTTGGTAAGGAGCTAGAGTCTATTAAAAGGAGGCCCAGTATAGATCACGCTATTCTTTCTCCTAGTCGTCTAAAAGAAAGAATTAGAACCTACTATTAGGGGATAGCATAGTACTAATTGCAAAGATATATCCTCGAACATTATCCGTCTACGAGTAGTACTTAACTAGCTTTGATCGGCTAGCTTCAAGAGAATTAAGCATCTACTTTTTCTATAAAACACGCTTCCGCCGGAGCTAGTTTATTGACTTCTCTAGATACTTAAACAGTGCATTATAAATGCGAAATACAAGATGTGCTGTCATATCTCGGGTCTTTGAAAGTGTAAGTGTATAATCAAAGAAAGGCTCAGTGATATAGAGGAGGTAATCAATTTGGCGCTATTCTTCATCATTTAGGGATATCTCCTCGTAGTTAAAATCCGCACAAAAAGGTCCAAATAAGTCACGAAGTCGTTTTGCTCAGCGAAGCATAAGAAACGTTAAGTTCTACCGAGTCCTTATATCCTAAATCGGCATAAGCTTTTGCTCCTAACTTTGTAGCTTAATGAAAGCCTCACGGCGCTAAGGACTTACGCGGATATAGACTACGAGATACCGGACCTTATTTAAGGTATAAGAGATCTCCCGATTCTGAAATTGTGCATTTACCTTTGCTAAGGTTGACTGGCGGTCTATCTATTTTGTCTCCGTGGTATTATTTAGCGGAACTGCTTTTAGACGATTAAGAAGCTGGTTTAGGCTAAGTTAGATAACGTGAGCAAGATAGGGAGAGCGGATAAGATTAATATCATTAGATAAAGCCTACTGGAGGGAATTAACCAGTGTCTTGTTATTTGATGCGTTATCTATAGTTATCCTAAACACTCGGTCCTAAATCCTATGATCCACTAGTGTCTCTAAAAGAACACTACTTATATTAGCACCGGTATAAGATCCATGAAGAGGTTTAAAGCTAAGAAGCACCTCACGGTATACCTAATCAATATCAATAAAGTAACCAGTGATAGCTAGGAAAGCTTATAAGAATGGAGACGTCTAACAATCTAGCGTAATTGATATCTTTGAGCCTACTGGAAGCATCCGAAGAGTATTCTATTGTCGGTCTAAAACTCGAATCGATAGTCGACGGCGAATAGTATCGGCAGAAGGGATAGTTAGAGGGTTTGGGGCAGAGTGAGCTCGCGAGATCAGGCTTTGGAATATTCGATGCTCAATAAGATGAAATGGAAGCCGGTTTATAGTGATGAATTGTAAGAGGTCGTCTTCCCAGCCTTCTTGTGAGAAAGGATTGTCGGTCGGAGTACGGTCCTAGTAGAATAGTAATTAATAACTAGAAATAGAAGGTTAGAAGTTAAACATACCGTTTTTTGAAGGAATTTAGTTAACTCTCCCTTCTGTTAGTTTATGCCTACAGACCTTACGCAGGCAGTAGTCTTAAGATGCCTCGTCATAGTTGTCGTACTATGACGCCCAACCTTCCTATTAGCATCCTTCTTAGTGGTGTAAGGGTGCTCAAGGATCGCGCAGCAACGCTTACACATAACTTTCGCTGCGCCATCTGCACTATGCGCAACCTGAAAGTAGTCCTTCCAAATCCCTGAAACGTGGGTTACATCCCAACTGATCTTACTCTTAGATCCATAATCAGTCTGTAACCACCAGTCCACCCAGTCACTGTGACTCATTTTGTCGTAGAGCACGTATGCCTTTCTCCTATCAGGCCCAACGCGTTTAAAGGTAGAAGGAATTGTAGGCGGAATAGCCGGTCGGAGAAACGAAGGATCAAAGGCGTTAAATGTCTACTGGCTCCTAGATGGTGTAGCTAGGTGATTTGAAGGGGTAAGGTATATCAGATTATCTAACTCTATATCATATAGAGATGACATAAAGTCGGATTGCTGGCTTTAGGACATTTCAATGTAAGTATAGAACACAATAGCAAGGTATAAAGAAGGAGTAAGAAAAGGGAATGAGATACATTATAGGAGGTTAATATTACTATAGTAGTACAGTAGGTCAACAACTCCTTTGATAGATCTAACGGAAATATTAGGTAGTTACTAATTGGATAGATATTATAGTTTAAGTGGGCCAGGCCCACTAAAGCCCACTAAAGCCCACCAAAAACCCACCAAAGCCCATGAAAGCCCATGAAAGCCTATGAAAGCCTATAAAAGCCTACCAAAGCTTACCAAAGCCTATGAAAGCCTATGAAAGCCCATGAAAGGCCCATGATTTATTAAGGGTTAGCGGAGGGACTTTCTCGACGCTTAAACCGTGGCTTTGATCATGCTTTTCAGGGACCTGATCCGTTTAACCGCTAGTTTGGGGATCATTGGTAGAGACTTAACGGGTTCCTTGGGAGCCGCAATAACAAAGTCGAGCGTCTCAATGGAGCAATCGCTGTCGGGCTTTCCACGATACTCATAGACTTTTAGGCCACTATGTCTGGCTTCACTCTCGTGCCAAGTAGAAGACTTCTCATTGCTGATATGTGCTGCTTGGGCACTTGCATTGTCATCAACAAAAGTGCCCTAGTTATCATCTCGCTTCGCTGATATCGTGGTCTTAGGCATATTGTGCTAGGAAGAATATAGTTAGCAAAGAGTTACTATTTGTGTCTATCAGCTGCCCACTTACCGAGATCAGAAGAAGGGAGGCATAGAACTCTGTAGCCTATGCGGCGAATCCCGTAATTCCACGCTTATTGAGGTGGCTTCAAAACGTGTAAGAGAATATTTCCATGGTCTTTTTCTTGTCGCAAGAGAAGAAACGATAAAGGCAGCACAAGACTTGACGCATATGAATATCCTATCGCAACGTTGGCCGGCGAGGCTCTTTTGGGGCCTCTATCCCCAGGACCATGCGGAAAGGATAAGAAGATATATGTATAAGGAAAGAGAGAGAAGGCAGCGCTTTATATATATATATATATATAAGGAAGGGGCTATAGAGAAGCGAGCATAAAGAGTGAGTATAAGGAAGTGAGTGTAAGGAAGTAAGTGTAAGGAAGTGAGTGAAAGGTGCAATATATATATTTCTGCAGGTTCACCATTGCATAGTCACTATGCAATGGCGATGTTTGATATACCAACCTAAACAGTTGTAAAAAACGGTAATTTATGTTGATTAGTTAGCAGCGTTATGACCGCCAAGACTAGGATTTTATGCAAGAATGGGCTTTCGTGGGGGCCCATTGGGCCCCCACTGTGGGCTGGGGGTTGGGCTTGGGCCTAAAAGTTCGACCCCCAGCCCACGGTGGGTTGGGCTTTGGGCCCGAGGTCCGGGCCCAACGGTGGGCTTTGCGGAAGTCTATAGGCCACCCTAGATGGCTACAAGAGCAAGACAAAACCTAGATATACGTAGGGTGCTTTCAATGCATCCTAAGCCTAGTCATTCTATCCACCGGGGGTTATCTAGCCGACCACGTGTATAGCTTCCAAACCTCCTTTAAAAGGTTTAGCGGTAATGACAACTTTTAGTATTATAATATTATATACTATAGAGGGGTTGGTTAGGCGGCTTATAGGTCTCTAGTGATATTTATAGCTATTGTATCCTTTGCCGCTTTTTTGATCTCTAACCGCCACGAAAGAAACATTTAGCCGATCGAAGCAACACGGCAATTAGAGTAGTATTAGTGAGGGTAGGTCCTCTTAGGTTTAGTGTGTTCCTAAGGAAGGTAGTAGGGGCAAAAATAAGGTGGTTATAGTGAGATAAAGCTATCGGCTTTAATAGATAGAAGGCTTAAGTAGATATAGATCATGCATGATTAGATCATTAAAAAACTGTGGCAGATAGTGGCAGATAGTAGCCTATAAAAAGGGAGGGCTTAATTGCTTTTGCACGGCGAGACGTTTTATTTGTCCTAACGTACTATATTAGTTTTATGTATTATCGAATATCACAAGCAACGTTTGGTAGCGATTATCTTTTTTAGGTAAGACTACGAGGGTAGAGCCGAACCATGATAGATACTATCGAAGGCGGCTTTGAACAGCCTTTACCCCTTATTGAACGGGAACCATATCTCCTATCCATAAAGGGAGTTTACTGCCACTTCACAATTACATCTTTATTTTCCTGCGCATACGCCTCTAGGGAAGCTTTCTTTAGCCACAATATGACATCGCTACTTCCTGATCAAATCAAACTGTCTTTTATTAGAGCGATAGGCGATCCCCGGCTTCGTCCGCAGTGTATCTAGGTTAGCGAAAATGGGTAGGTCTGCCCTAATGATGTTTCGATGGACAGTCGCAACCTCGCTAGCACCGAGCTATCTGCGTTGCAGGGTAATATCTCTATACCCACTCGGAAGAATCTTAAGGATCGCTAGTTTTCTATTGTGTGAAGATTGCAAGGTTCATAAGATCCAATGTCCAGAAATCGTTCGACGGCTCGGTAAAAAGTATTAATAACCACGCCGCTCCTTGTTCCCTTGTTACAGTCGTCTATACCACTACAGTATCAGGGAAAAACAGCGGCTAGTTTTTAAACAGGGTTCTCCGGCAAGGCTTCCAACGAGATATATAAATCCCGCACAAGCAGACGATAATAGCTAGGAAGGGTTGGAAGAGTTTGAATAAATAAAATGATGTACTATAGCTCAAAGAAGATTAAATCTTTGTCCAGAAAAAGAGATTTGACGTCGTGTTTCAAATAGTTAAGGCATAGACTTGACTTATTAGACCTTTGATAGCTAGGAAGGCCTCTATAGATGCAAGGCCACGTGATATACCTAAGACTATTGCAATATCCTTATATAGCTCCCGGGCCACCCTTCTAGAAACAATGTATTTACTGGCCACATTCACCGAAAAAAGCACATCGCCATTCGTTCTAAGTTAAAAAAACGAGGCCCTTTGTAAGTGCTATGGGATCAGTTTGACTGCCGGGTTGATATGTTCTTCGCCTCGTGCCTCACTCTCGCGGAGCAACTCAAGCCACTCTTCAAATGGCAAAACCTGAAATTGAAATCCGCTTCGTTGGAGGGTCGCCAGCAGCTCCGACCAAGAAAACATGCCCGAGTTACACACGTTGTAGATTGAGTCGTCAACATAGGCAACCCCGGAGATGTCAGACGCGCGGCTTGGCCCAGCGTCGCGGTCAGGCGCAGAGCATGACTCGGCCAACTCGAGCATTACTGTGGCCAGCTTGTCCACGGGAACCCACGAGCAGGTCCGACGTAGTTCAGGCAGGGCCCGCAAAGTCAGTGCCGATCGGATCATCGAAGGGATTGCCTCGGAGTCGTTCCACAGGCCTTTTTTCGAATGTCCTGAAACTTGACCAATTCTGAGAGAGTACGCTCTTGCCCCTGACCGGCGTGCAAGGCTGACCATCCTTTCTCCCACCAGCTTGGACTGACCGTAGCCCATCAGCGCGCTGTTGAGATCGACTGCTTCCTCTTCGATCGTGGCCCAGGAGGCCCCCAGCGCCGTAGGAATGGAAGAGCAAAACAACATGACCGCAGGTTCAAGTCTTCGGACCGAAAGTGAAAACATAATGAGGTGGTATAGTCCCCGGAGGTGTGGCTCGAATTGAGCGAGGGGGAGGTTAAAGTTGACTGGCCATGCAGTATGGATGACTAGAGACACAGAGTCTAGCATACGGTGAAAGGTCTTCCCCACTGGGTCCAGACAAAAGTCAGGCCGGTCCAGTGCGCCGTTTAGTGCCACAACCTTTGATGTCTGTTCTGGCGAAAGCAACAGGCCCCTTTCGAACAGGCTGCCGCGCACCGCCTTTAACGGAGATGCCCTCCGCGTGAGACAGTAAACGGTCGACACCGAGTCATCGTTCAGCAATTCGAACAGCACGTGTGCACCCACTGAGCCAGTGGCTCCTGTCAACAGCTTTGCGATGTCAGGTTGATGATTCGGTGTCAAAATTGCATGTACTTACCACGCTCCTTGTCCCCCGTGGAGTTTCCGGGCAAGGCAGGTGTTTCCGAAATGAGGAGTATTTCTTGACCAGGTTGTCCATCAGTAAGATACTGTCGTCGGCCGTCGAGAGGCTATCTCCGCTCTGCAGCGCGCAGATGTAGAGGGGTAGCTGCGAGACAGTGCCCATTTCAAACACCGAGTTGGGACTCGGAGAGTGGCAGGGGTCAAACCTGAACTGCTGCAGAATCAAGCGGCGGAGGTGCATTGCTTTCAGGCTGTCGACACCTTCGGAAAAGAGATCGGCATCTATGCTTGAGATAGAGATCCCGAGTTTATCCCAACACAGCTTGTCGTTCTATGCGGCCGGGGAGAAGAACAACAAGTATCAAACACCCACAAAGGTCTCATGCTCGTTTTGTCGTACACCTATTTGGACGAAGGACGCAGTATGTGTCTGTTAGTCCCGCAGTTGATTGACTTTTCCGACTCGCCGGACGAGCAGCGGCACCGAGTGCAAACGTTCATGCCAACGTAGGTTATGTACCTTGACACCAGCGAATATTTGCAGTGACTAACCGTAACCACTAGGTGCCACATTTTCTACGAAAATCGTTTGAGAGACATCCACGATGGAATTACCAAGTGGTCGGGAATGGACGAGCAGAGCCAGAGACTAGATGATGCTGGCCAGCTACTCGAGCAATAGTGGGATGATAACTTTGTATGAATTAGGGGTTAGGGTTCTCTTCCTGTGCACCGGAGCGAAAAGTGCCGAACTATGATTTATGGCTATATATATCCAGACAGATGGCCATGTGTATATACAAAATAAATGTGAACTACCCACCATTGGGTGATCTCTCGACACCCACCTCTGCTGTCCGCATAGCAAGGTGGTCTTATGCAACTCTCCATGCAACTCTTTTCAAGTCTACGTCCAAGGCGCTCTGATAATTTCATCCCCTTTGATTCAGTACTAAACTTATCACGGTACGAACATACATAGAATAAGTGGACACTATAAGGCAGACAGTGCCTACAGAGAGCCTTTTACTACCACATCATTGTCAGTTGTAGCAGAGGATCAAGGGAAGAAAGACGTGCTCTTAGCTAGCTGTTCAAAGTGTCTGTTCTATTCGGATATCTTTCTCCGTTATAGCAGTGCGACTAAGCCGATCCACTATTGGTTCCGCCCTTAGATCTATCTAAGATCAAAGCGCGATTGTTCATGCCGCAGGTATATAAATTGAGCGTAGCTCTATCTAAGAGTAACACTGAGCACAAGGCGATTTTACTAGATACGTACGCATGACCACTATCACGAGCATAAGGACTACAATGCTCTTCTGTTTCTTTCCTGACATTAATGGCTGTCCCGAGATCTTGACAGCCGGTATACATGAATTACCAAATAGTCGGCAACCTAGTAGTCAGGGGTTGACATTGAACTGCTGACAGTATACTAGAGTGGCCCCGGAAGATCTAGCATGGCCGCCTGTGCTCCGCGCAAAGCCATGGCCAACGCATTTGGTCTAGCCCCTTCTTTTTACAAGATACAGGATCCCCTACTTGAAACACTATCAATACCAGGAGGCGTAGACATCCAATTGCTAGATCCGTTGTGCAGAAGCTTGACATGTTTATTTCTCACGGCAAGGTTAAAGTGATCTGTCAAGCCGTTTCTTGCGCGGGGTTCGAATATTTCATACCAAAAGTTGTTCCCAGGCACGCGAACATTATTACTTACATAATATTGTCGAATGAAGAGGGGCCTTACGTTACTAGCTTGCCGAGTTTTGCAGCACCCATTTGCTTACTCATTTGCTACGTTATAGATAGCTTCTTGCCAAGCTGCTTGCCAAGCATTTCATGCTTTGGTAAGCCCACATTGGGTCCAATACTCGCTGCCTGAGTCAGTCCTAGCAATTACACTCATTCTATGCTATTAGGCCGACCATTGGTCTATTGTAGAACTAGCGCGTACCGTATCTCTTGGAATCGACATGTTTCTCTAGGGGTGTTTGCATATTTCGCCTGTTCGTGTTTGCACCGTTTGTTGTTTTTGATTGTGCGCCCCATCCAAATCATCTCGGACCCCTGTCTCCACCGCATCTCCCATTAGGCCCATCCTCGAGCAACCATGTATCACATACTACTTAATATAGACTTTTATAGTAGATATATTTAAATTATAGACCTTTTAATGTAGATAAATACTAATGGAAATTTTTCTACTCCCATGGGAGTGGGTCTGGTGGGACTAGACCGTGAAAATTCCCATGGGACCAGATTTTGGCTAGTCCCATGGGGAATGTCAAGGTCTAATCCAAACCTCCTTCTATATCTCAATACACATTTGCCTTGATGGTACTGTCGTGAAAGCTGCTGTCTTCATTGTAGAAATATACCTCGTTAGGTAGAGACATATACGCATGCGGCATTTCTAATCGCGGCCCGATTCTACTACGAATTGCCTAGTAATATTGGGCAATCCACTTTGCAACAGAGCAGTTCTCTTTGAAAGTTTGTATATACTTTTCTACTACCCCATGTATCCCGATTCTCATTGGGCTACATGACCGAACATCCTCCTACCTAAGCAAATATGTCTGGCTGATTTGACAGCAATTCTATCTCATCCTCCAGACAGCCCAGCTTCAAATTCATCAACCCACTGATATTAGTGGGCAGTGGACGAGTTGTGCGCCAGCCGATCATCTTCTGGGCCAGAGGCGTCATGGTCTCAACAATTGAGCGAGGTGCGGACATGAAGGTTTCAGTATGTGCCAGCTGGCAAGACGCCATCTGGGTAAGAAGGAGCCGCCGGGCTTCTTCACCTCGATGGACCCCACCCCCATGCACCATTCCCTGATTCATGAGCAGAGAATCTCCGGCCTTCATGGTCGCCTGTACAGTGAGCTCCTCTAGGGGGTCGCCCTTTTCGGCCCATTTGTGGCTTCCGAGGATCAGTCGGGTAGCTCCGTTCTCCTCGGTGAAATCCGTCACAGCCGTGATCCAGCTAATAGAGAGCAAAGGTGCACCAAGCGGCATATGGCGGATCACCGGATGAGTGGCTTCATCACGGTGTAGGACCTGCCCGTCGTCGCCTGGATGATCTTCCATCGCCGTCCCGGTGATCATCCAGTAGTCTCCAGTCTCCTTGAACGCAGTTTCGCACACGCGGTGGAGAGTGGTATTGTTGAGGATGTCGTGGCGGAAGGTCTTGGAGAGTATGGGGAGATAACTCATCCATCTCAAGGTCTTGGGCATTGGGTCGTCGAAATATAGAAACTTTCTTCCCGTGGGCACGACCTTAGCGATCCCGTCGAGGTCTTGATTGAATCGTTGCAAAGTGTTAGGGGATAGGAAGCCCTCGATGATGACCGCGCCGTCTTCCTCGACAATGTTCCATATTGCCTCAGGGTCGGTTGTGTTTGGGACCCGTCTGATCTGAGGCTTAGAAGTCGAAGGGATGGTCATCTTGGCTTAAATTGGAACGAATAAAACCCTCTTAGAATGGAGGAGTGAGAAAGAAGAACTAGAGTCCGGCTGTCCAGGTGAATGCGAAAAGATAGGAGATCCGGTTTTATACAGGTAAGGGATGCCCAAACCAGTCCAGTCGGTACGGAAACGTCGAGGCACAAGTTTTATGGGGCGCCCTAAATGATGGACCACGGGGAGACATAGGCCTTCTCCAAGTAGGAGTTGCGGTAAAAAGGAACACTTCATGACTACGGACCTCTCGCAGGAAGTCTGCGCCCAGCATGCATTCAGCTGGTGTCCCAGGAGGAATGTGCATCCAACAAGGAGTTCATGTCGGCAAGAAGACTCCGCCGCTGGAGTTTCGAAAGACCCCTCGACCATATTGTGTTTTAGTCATATTAAAGAGCCTTGAGACATGTAGAGCGATCTGTAATTGATCCCCTGCTTTGCGTATAATTGAATGTTAATCAATCAACAGACCCGGCGTATATCCTACGGTGCCCAATTAAGACCTGCCTTCAATTAATGAATGCATGGTGCACAATGCAGCATTCTCAAGAAAGTTGAACAATCAAGTTTCGATTGGGCTTGTCTTACACATATGCTGTTCGAATACCTGAGGCCTGCTGAGTGTCGATCTTTCCAATTGCTTTTTCCTGGTCACGACGTGATAAAGACTTTGGCATGGAAATTTTAGAAGTCCCAATCAAAGAAGTCCCAATCAAAGCTCCACAGCCCCAACTGGATCATGATATTTTGATTCGGGCAAGACAAAAAGTCGGTAGCTAGTGTTGACTCACTTCTTCACATTAATGTCATTCTATATACGACGGGACTCGGTTCCTGTGACGGAATACATTCAAGCGGAGACTTAATGGCTTTTTGTGACATACCAACCAGAAATAGCCACTTGGCATACTGATATGCATGGGGCGGGCATGTGAACAGCAAAATTTGAAAGAAGCATAGTCCCTACAAGTGGACCCCTCCGTATGCAGTGACCATATGCACACTAGATGCGACAGCACATAGGGCATCACCAATGAAATACAGGATTCTTGTCAGGTCTTCCCACGCCAAGCTGATAGCTCCGCATGTTGGAGGCGGGGGATACGTGTTCATGCAGCCGTAACGAAGGTGGTCCAGGTTGTCGATCCCGATGGGATAGATTTGGCAAAGGAAGTCTTTTGCTTATTCTCTCAGCTTTTATCACATTCCTCGGTTGCTCAAAATGAGCTATCACCTGCCATGTCCATATTGTATTGATCACATATCCTTGTTGAACACGGAACCCCCTCGGATTAGTATTTAAGGTGTCTGGTTTCCGATAGTAAATGGTGGGTGCGAGTGTTCTCTATTTACCAGCATCCACTAAATTTTTGCTCTACTGTGATAACTTTCTCGCATTGATTCTTCCTCCTTCTTATTCTCACAGACCTTTACCATCTATGCTGTCAGTATGACTATCCCCTCACACACCAATCCACAAATCAAGCGGTTCTCCGTGGTGGCAGACCCCGATACCATCTTTCAGGCCTATCAGGATGATGGGGTGGTGATCATAGAAGGCTTTCTCAACGCTGAGCAGCTGGCCAACTTCAACCGGGAAGTGAATCCTCACCTAGAGCGCCTACGGCACGGGAATCAGCCATCAAAGGCAAAGCTTATGGAAGGGTCCTTAGCATCGCTTCTGCCACCGCAGCAAAAACGCGTGCACAATCTCGTGGGATTTTCCAAGGTCTTCCGTCACGATGTTCTCAATCATGACTTAATGCACGAGCTCTGTCGGCGGGCATTCAGCGTGACCGGCGACTACTGGCTTGCTTCCGGGGCCGTGATTGACAATGGCCCAGGAACACCGAAGCAGATCTGGCATCGAGATCAGCCTTCCTACCCAGTTATACAGGTGGGTCCTGGCAGCGCAGAGGGCCTGGTGAACTTTTTCACTGCACTGACGGACTTCACCGCAAAAGCAGGTGCCACTCAGTTTCTGTGGCATAGTCACAAGGTGGATGGAATCCCGGATGGAGATTCAAATCATCCAATGGTCATAGCTGAGGTCAAGGCTGGTGACTCTATTCTTCTTAGTGGCAAGATGGTCCATCGGGGTGGAGACAATAGTACACCGAACTTTGTTCGTCGCTCCCTGTCTCTTGCTATTTCCCCTTCGGTGCTCACGCCATATGAGTCCACCGTTCATCTCCCAAGGCCATTGGTCGAGAGTATGACACCGCTAGCCCAACGCATGATTGCATGGCGATCGGCTAATGTTCCACCCCCGTTCCAAATCGGCATGTGGACACTGAATATGAATGAGGTGGGAGAGGAGATAGGCTTGAAATGCAACCAGCCATACGAAGAGGATGAAGAATATTAGGCTATTGTTCCGTTTGTGACAAACCACGTCATATAGGGGGCATATGATCGTTTCAATCGTTTTCTTATTATCCAGCTTCTTGACCCTTATGTACTGTTATCTCATGGCCTGGCAATTTGTAGAATATTCATTTCGTAGTTTGCTCGCTATAAAATCAACCTATATTCGGACATCTGATACAATACGATTCACCCATTCGTCCTGTAGCCTCGGTGTCTGTCTCTCCATTATTCTTAGAGACAGGAACGTTTACTGTCTCCATCGAGTCGATATCCCGTTTGGAGCAGCCGCAAACTTGGTTAGATGCTACGTATTACCTGCACTATTCTGGTGGAAGATTTATGACTTTCCGGTCCTCAATCTGGATTATGACGGGCGCTTTGGGGTGTGCGAAGCCAGCAGGCGCCGGTAAGGGCACGGAGATATTGAAAGTTGCTATCCGATAGGGAACTGTAGCGGGCCAGAGCCCGAGAGTAAAACTATGTGCCATGGCCTTGGGTACTTCCCTCGACGGACGACGTTTTTTGGAAGCATGGACACCGCCTTCGGCAGAAAGGCCTATCTCGTTTCATCATCAAAGCGGGGCCGATCACGCTTCCTTTCTTCAAGATTGTTGTAGCACCCCAACCAAAACGCGTCATTTAATTAGACCTTTCTTCTTTAATAACCCATAAAGCCACCAATTCGCTCTCAAAGCTCTCAAAAACTTACGGAGCAAGAATATGGGATCTTATTAGAAACGGACGGGGAAGAAGAGAAGCTTCGACCCACTGAGGACTAACTACTCTCAGGACCATCCAGGGTCACATGACCTGGTTGGTCATGTGATTCCAACACTAACGCTACAAGATTACCTAACGCTCGCTCAGAGTTGGAATAAAACAATAACACCAACATGGGGAAGGAGAGCGACTGGCTATAAATCACCTAGGTTTTACTACACGACAAAAATTTGGAGGGACACGCACTATCCACAGACTCCACTTAGCAATAGGGTAAAAATCAGGGTTGCATTGTTCAAAGTAGTTTATCTAGCAACTCCTAAATTCTTCCCTTTTGCTCGCTTTGGACCAGAAGATGACAATATCAACAGACAGGACCGACCACCTCATCAGGAGAAGCCAAGAACCGCACAAGGACCTCATTGAATTTAGTTAGCAGCCCCTCTGCTAAATTCCTCTCTAGTGCCCCTGTTCTTGTGATAAAGAAGGTCATCATGCTCTCCGAACCTGGCCAAGTAATTAATAGGTGTCGCTTCGATCCTACAGGCTTGAAGATGGGCTCATTAATTTGTGCTGTAGCATTTCCAAGGGAAATCTCAGGCAAACTGGGAAAGTTCTCATGCAGTACGACGGTATCAAGATCAGTATCAGCCGGCCAAGAGGTGCTTTGTGCCACCATGTCAAACCAATCAATGGTTTCGTGCTCAAGTGATTTGACGTGTTGTTGCTGGATCATCGCGAGAAGATCACTAACTCGGATAGTTGGTTCGACTTGAACTCGAACAGGCGTCGTGTTCAGACACATGCCGATAATCTCCTGTCCTGCTCCTGGCTGGATGCCCCGGCAATTTGTGACCTGCCCAAATAGCACATCGGTTTTCCCAGTCTCTCGCGCAAGGACGTAAGCCCAGGCTGCCTTAATGGCCGTCGCCATCGTGATTCCCGCTGGCGGAGGCGCAGGTGCGCATTCCCCCGAGTAGATAGCTGGGACCACCTCGCCAACGCACAATCGTGGGAATCTAGTCACTTCGCTCCCCGCCAAAATGGATTTCCAATAGTCAAGGGCTTGGGGTGTCCGTAGACGTGCGCAGATTCGCCGGTAGCTGGTGCAATCTGCTTCTGGGCGCCGCTGTGAGGAGCGTCCCGGATCTGCATAGATCGCCTCAAGCTGCTGAAACAAGGGTTTCAAACAAACACCGTCGTATTGGGCATGTGAAAGACGGATGACGAATGCGGATTTGCCGGACTCGTTGTAAATCAGCGTGAAATTAACTGTAAGTTGAGTCATTGGTGGTGCTCGTTCTCGATCCTGCATTACCCAAGAGCGCGTCCATTCCATCAGATCCGTATCAGAAGGAGCAGTATATTCCGCCCAGGAAATATCAGCCTGGCGCAAGACTACCTGCATTATTTGACTTTTGAAAGTAATGAAGATCGACCGCAAAGCTGGCTGGATGTCCATCAATACCTGACACGCATGTCGAAGTTGATGGGCATTCACAACACCATGGATCTCCATGGGGAAGTAATCGAGGACGCCATATTCCACCAGGTGTGACTGCATCTCCAAAGTAGGAAATGCGTCCTCCACATTCTTTGCATCAAGCTCTGCCGGCAATACCTGGAGCAATTCTCTTTTTATACTCTCAAAGGGATTCTCATCTTCGTTTGCAGTCTCCGATCTAGAATCACATTTGATGTAACATCTCGCCAATGCTGCCAAAGTTGGTTGGTCAAACACATCAGATACCGTGATATGGAAACCATGCAAACGGGACGCCGAAACCAGCTGTCGTGCCGTGAGAGAATCGCCTCCAATATGGAAGAAATTGTCGTCAAGTCCCACCTTGGAAGAAGGCAGATGGAGTACCTTCTCGCAGACCGACTGTAGCACACGCTCTTCGTGTGTGTCGGCTGGCCGAAATGCTACACGCTCCTCATCAATGCAGAGAATCTCATCTACCGCTCGCTCTGCGGCCCAGTCACGTAGGGCCCTTCGATTGATCTTCCCAGAGGCTGTGCGTGGCAAGTGCCGCAAGTTCACAATTGCACTAGGAATCATATATGGTGGTAACAATTGTCGGAGCTCAGCCAAAGCTTTGCGATTGTGGGCGCTGGATTCAGCTGTTGATTCTATCTCGAGTCCAAAGGCTGTAGCCGGCGGCTGTAACTCCGAACACGTGAATGCAATCAAGATTGGAGCAGATTGTTCACTCTCACCTTCAGCAGCTGCGAGCGTTACAACCTCGGCGACGATTTGAGCAGACGGGTAAGAAATCCGAAGACAGCTTTCGACCTCACCAAGTTCGACCCGTTGGCCTCTGATCTTGGTTTGTGTTCCCTTGCGACCAACCAACTGGATTGACCCATCCAATGAATTATATTTGACAAGGTCTCCCGTCAACAACCATCGTCGCCTAGGCTGATCGCCATGGTCCGATTCAAGGCTCCAAACAGGCCGCTTCACGAATGTTGCTGCAGTCTGCTCATGATTTCCAAGATAGCACACCCCCAATGCGGTGCTTTCAAGAAGCAACTCGCCCTCAATTCCGACGGGACACAGTCGCTGATGGTCCGTCGGGTCCACTACCCAGCATTTACCGGTCGTAAGGGCGCCAAGGTTATCGGCCTCATAGACTGAGCCATGTACTTGACGTAGAAGCAAAGTGCTAGCTGTCTCGGACTGACCGTACATGCTGTAAAGTGTTGTGAAGTCTTCCCATTGCTTGACATCCGCGACAGAGATCGGCTCACCAGCGAGGATCAAACTCTCCAACACAGGAAACTCGCTGGGTATGAGGGTCCGCGCCACCGTCGGGGTCATGGTGACCCAATTAGCTTTGCATTGAGCCAGGGTGGCTTCCATATCATTCTGCAGCTGTTCCTCCGACGGAATGCAGATACAAGCACCAGTGGCCAGTCCAATAAGTTGCTCGAGGATGCTGACCACAAATGCGTACGAGACTGACTGGAATATCCGTGAGTTCGGTCCAAGTTTTGTCTTTGCACAAAATTCAGCGACCCCAGGCCCGAATGATTCTCGATTTATTTGGACGCCTTTAGGTTCGCCCGTTGATCCAGATGTAAAGACTGCATATAGAGGGCCGGACTGGATATCGCTCTCAAATGGCTCTCCTTCCTCTGTTGAAGCTGGTTGTACATCAACTTGGGTGACAGGGACGCCTAGCTCAGCAGCTTTATCCTGGTGACCAGAAATCGTGAGTATGCGATGCACTCCAGCGATTCGACACATGGTTCGCAGCCTCTCAACGGGCAATGATGGAGTCAAAAAGACAAAGGCAGCTCCGGCTTTGATCACACTCAGCATAGCTACCACAGTCGTCACTGATTTAGGAATCATGAGGCCAATGAATTGGCCCGGTTGAACGCCGACTTTGTCAAAAACAATACGGCGCGACATGCAGGATGCCCATTGATTGAGCTCGGCGTAGGTCAAGCTTCCATCCCAGGCAGACACCGCAAGTGAAGATGGACGTCCCAGCATTTGTACATTGATAAGTTGATGGACACGCACATCGTCGTCGTCAGCCGTTCCTGCCCTGTTGCGAGAGACATGCCAATGCTGCATCTGGGCTAATCCTTTTCTGCCTACTGTTTGAAGATCCGAAATAGTCGAATTGACGTTGTCAATTGACGCTTGCACAAAATCAGCCACTTGGATGAGCAACGTGCGAAGCACATGTGAGGAGAGAACCAAGGGATCAAAACACGCCTGGACAGTGGCGCCACGCGCATACAAGCTGAGCGGGTACTGCTCCTCAACAACCTCCGCACGTAAGTCTCGAAGATTGTCGCCGATGACCAGTAAACTGCGGAAATTGGAGAGCACGATGTTGCCTGGGTTCAACACGCTGAACTTTTCCAGACCCATATACTCGTATTTCCGCATCCGATCATCATAATGCGCTGCAGCCGTAATTGCATCGCCCAAGGTCTCGTTAGGAGATATTCTCAGACGAAATGGAAGAATGGCTTGACAGTCCATGGCCGTTTTTCGACCACGGTAAGCAAGACCAAAAATGACCTCCTCGCTATCCTTGTAACGAGCTAAAACAGCACCCCAAGCAACTGGTAGAAGGTATGGGGAACCGAGTCCCATGCAATGAGGCTCTAGATCATCCAGAAGATCTATGCTCAGCATTTCCCGTTGGGACGGGTCAGTCTTGTAGGGTCCCTGGGGCAATGGAGGGAATGGACGAATTGTTGACTCATTTGCACCAGTTTTCGCTACGTTGGACGCTTGGGACGTATCGGGGATAGTCATCTTCGAAATTGAGTCGTCTAAAGTACCACAGTTATCACTGATGAAGGACGCAATCGATTAGTTGTTATGGGACCACCTTTGGAAAACCTCGACTGGAAAAGGTGGAAGTATGCGCAAACATGGAAGGTCGTGCCTTGTGCTGATTTCACGGACTTTGTATCCACTTTCGAGCAGACGATTGAGCAATCCAACGCCATCGATCACACTAATGCCGCTACATGCTTGTGACACGACTGTGTTTCCGACTTAGGAAATGAAGCGATTAGCGATACGGTCCGTCAGAGCATAATTACGTATTAAATTTTCCTGCATATGCCGAAGCTTTGAGCTAATGTGCAAGAACAACCTATTGGCTGTGTAGGAGAGCTCAGAAGCACGTCGCATTTCAGACTCAATAGTCTGACCGGATGCGTAACCCCTCGCATGATTGACGTGTCCAGGTCTTGCAGCCCAAGCCGCGGTGAGAGAATTTCATGTCGTTATTTTAGGACATATTCGACTTCTGCACTCGCATAGACCCTGGCCAAATCAGAAAGCACTAAAATCCTAGCACTTTCCAAATATATTGCTACACTTGTTCGATAAAAAGCAAAGTAAAAACTGAAAAAGCAGATTCAACATAAACAGGCGAATTCAAGTCCATCAGGACCATGACCATTCTGTAACTCAGCAGACGCATTTTCGTTACAAACACTGAACACCGATGCGTAATTATCGTTCCTTGAGTACTAGCCTCCCATAAAATATCTTAATAATGAAATTGAGAGTGAGCGAGTAACTCGTGCGATGGCTTTGTGCTGCTTCCCATCTGTATCTATTCGAAGAGACCTCTGAGAAAACTTAGCGGTAGAGCAAGCCCCTCTCTCTTTCCCACGAATATCATGCATACTGGTGTATCGGTATGCTATGGCACCGGAAAAATGAAGGGTAAGCCTCTGTGCCCTAATTGATCGTGATCACTGTAAACAACAATATATGAAATCTCGGTAACAATAAACCCAAAAGCCGAACGGTGAACAAATCCAGATCTTTCAACGTCCAACCAAGTAATTAACATATTTCTTCATTAGTTCGCAGTCAAATACTGGGCATTCCAAGCCACCAGGATAGTTTTCCAGAGCCCGCATAGTGTTAGTGTTGTCATATGTGGGCATATTCTCATACAGCTCCCATCGAGTTAATCCCTGATGCACCTTCTCCGCCAGCATCGGAATTAAAGGCTGCAGGGAGACATTTGCACTAGATAAGAGCCGCTCGATCCACTCCCCGTAGCTTACGCGCTGAATGGAAGCGCCTTGTGTCTTCCCAAGTAGCGCCATGACATCGTCCATACCAATGGAAGCATCGCGATGAGGTAGCAAATGAAAGGCATGACCAGAGGCAAAGATGTTGGATGCGATATGGAGCATCGCATTCACCACGTAGCCGACAGTAATGAATTCTTTGCGCTGGTTTGGCAGATGGGGGTAGCAACCCAATTCTAAGCTGGCGCGAATCAACCGGCTAAAAAAGTCATCTGGGTTGCACGCGCCAGTTTTCTGGTCCCCTGTGATGAAGCCCGGCCGATATACGGTGATAGGGTAACCACGGCCAATGAGACGCTGGAGCAGTTCGTCGGCGGCCCATTGGCTTTGAGCGTATCCATGGTCGAACGTAAGGGCGTCGACATGTGGTAGGAGAGGCTCATCCTCGTAGACGATTTTGGCGCCAGTCACGAAGCCTGTAGGGCCAAAGCAGGAGATGCTGGAGCAGTAATGCATGCCCTTAAGGCGGCCAGTAGTGGCCAACCGAGCTACATTCACCGTGCCAATGATGTTAGCCGAACGGTGGAGCGAGTATGGCTGGGTGTAGTTGACCTTAGCCCCGAGATGGAAAATGACACTGGCCCAGTCTGCAATCTGCTCAAATCTTTGTTTGCCTAGGCCCAGCCAATGACATTCTAGCTGACCGCAAAGAGGTAAAAGCTTTGTTAGAAAGGCATCTTGCCAGAGACTGTATTTGACCAATGCTGCCTTCAAACGCTCCCGACCCGTGACGGGATCAGCCGCGCGCACCAGACAGCCAACCTGATGCACACCTGGTATACCCAGCAAATGGGCCAGCAAATAAGATCCCAAAAAGCCAGTTGCACCCGTCAGGAACACTCGGCCTTCGGTATCTAGGCGCCAATCAACGACCAGTCCAGTTGGAAGCGGTAGGTCATCCCCAAGCAAGGTATCGGCTACCCAAGTGTCACGCTCGTTACGGATCGTTGGCATAGAGGCCCCTTGATTGGAATCAATGATAGAAACTAGCTTTCCCAGAGTTGAGTTCTCATAGAGTGTGAGTAGGGAGATCTCGGTTTTGAGTTGCTGGCGGATGCGACTTATCAACAACGATGCCTGAAGGGAAGTGGCTCCATGTTCGAAGAAGTCATCGTCATCCGAGTAGTGAGGAACTGGGGTGGCCAATATGGTTGTCCATAGCCCGACGACGTGGGCCCTTGTGCTCAACCTCGCATCGCCACACGTGTCACGCAAATGCTTAGCCCGCTTGTGGTACATTTCATTCAGCTTCCGGCGGTCCACCTTAGCGTGGGCATTGAGCGGTAAATCGGCAACCACCTCAATGTGTGGTACCATATAATCCGGTAGTGTTGCCCGTAGCGTTTTCAACGCGTCTGACACGGCGTGAGGTCCAGCGGTTGGCTGAAGAACGACGAATGCCACGAGGGTCGCTCCAGACCCTTCCTCCTTTTCATCTATCCGCATGGCAAACCCATTCGAGAAATGGCCTGTGTTCATGACTGCCGCATCAACGGCGCTGAGCTCGATTCGGAATCCACGGATTTTCACCTGGTGATCCCGACGCCCAAGGAAATCATGCTGGCCGTCACTTCGGCGTCGTACTATGTCTCCGGTTCGATACATACGGTAGGGCTCACCAGTGTCGGGGTTCTCCATGCCATCGACAAAGGTGAATGCTTGAGAATCCTTGTCAGGCTGATTAACGTAACCAATCGACACGCCTGGTCCCCCCACCAGCAACTCGCCTTCTTCGCCATCAGGGACAATTTGGCCTCCATCGTTACACACACAGCAAACATTGTGACCAATAGGCTTGCCAATGCTAACGCTACCCGCATCTATGTCTGCCATAGTGATCTCATGGGCCAGGCAATAGACGCAGCATTCCGTAGGTCCATAAGCGTTCATGAGATGCTGCGGGGGCCCCGCCTCCAGGATTGCCTTCATGGCGACAAGGTTGACCGCTTCTCCGCCCATCAGGATCACTCGAAGAGGTGCGAAAGTTGCTGGAGCGGTGGTCGCCACCAAGTTTACCAATGGCGTTGTGATAGCCATGATGGTAATGCCGAGCTGACGGATGACCGTTCCCAGATTGGATATATCTAGTAGCGTCGATTTGTTGAGTACGCCAATCGCTGCACCGCGAATGAGCGCCCCCCAGATATCGAAGAGAGCCACGTCAAAGCTCGTGCTGTTGCCGTGGCCCACGACGTCTGTTTTCTGGACGGGATCATAAGGGGCGTGGTGTGACACATGGAGGATAGAGGCACCTCTAACCTGCACAGCCTTTGGTTCACTGGTTGTGCCGGATGTATGGATAAGGTGAGTGCAATGCCCCAAACTTGTGGCCACGGGAAGAGAGCTGTCCTTTGTATCTGCTAGCTTGTCGTCGCTTGGGGGAAATTCGCCGGTTGCGAGGAGATCAAATGGGAGCGCCCGCGTGCTGTTGGGTTCATCTACAATGATGTAACGAGCGCCCAGCCGTTGTAGGCGACTGATGATTTGTTGATCGGGCAAGAGGGGGTTCAGAGGTACACAGGTTCCTCCGGCGTAGATAATGGCCACCTGGGTCACGGCATCCCAGAGTCCATGGTGGACAAGAATGCCAACAGGTTCTTCGGCCACAAAATCTTGTTCGTGGAGACCTTGCGCCAATATCAGGGCTGCCCGATGAAGGGCTCCGTAAGTCAGACGCCTGCCGTCCTCGTCAATAATTGCCAGGGCGGAAGGGTCCTCCAGCATCTGCTGGTAGAATAGTCCGCCCAAACCCTCGTCTGAGGAGACAGCAACTTCGTACTCGGATGCTGGGAGCTTGGCTGATCCCATTTTATTATGTTGAATTAGAATGAGAGGTGAGTTGGATCTTTCGTCAAAGGAAATATAGAGTAGCAAACGTCTTTATGCACTTCAAGCAGCCGAAAAACCGACGCTATTCAGCTCCACATCATCTGTAAGCATGTATTATTTCATTTCCCACTCATCGGCTTTGTGCTACAATCTAGAGCAGAGGGAATGAATCAGAGTAGGCCCACTCTCCATGCACAGGAGATTACGGGGCTTGGACAATATCCATCATGCAGACTGGGTCTCAACACACTGCTTGAACAGTAATGTAGAGGCAACCTGAACTCAGTTTACTCATGCTCTGCATTAGCGAATTGTATTTCTCTTACAAGATAATCAAATTATATGGCTATTCCTACTGGAAGATTTCAAACATAAGATTTCACGGTGTTCTTTATATTGACACATAAGGGTAGTGAGTAATTACATATCTAAGCCCGCAATTCGCCTACTTCTACCCTCTCAATAATTGACTTAATCATGCTATCACGTTAAAAGAATGCCCTTTTATTGACTAGGGGTAATAACGCCACCGATCGACTTCCAAAGCTACTCTACCTGGCGGCCTAAACAGGATATATGTGAATCTCGAAAATGGAGAAGGGAACGAGAGCCTCGCATGATGCATGTACTGTGACTCTCATGAAAATATATGTCTCCAAAGCATAGAGAATATGAGACGTGCGACCATATTAGGAAAATCACCTTGCATGAGAGTGTCTTGGAAGTATTGCATCACTAGTGGGTGGGGATTGGACATCTCCCAGGCTCTAACTAATCATAATAGTATGATATTCCGAATGCCCAGCCTCACGCCATATAGACTCTTCTCGACACCGCAACTCATGAGGCTGAGGATACCCTGCAATCTCAGGCTTTTATTGACCTTGCCGCTGTATGATTGCTCAATATTGATGTAACTGATTGCATATAAGCGCTCCACCATAAAGCTGAGGTTTTCGGAAGGACTATCCCTGCTGCCGGGCTGGACGGATGTGACCTAGTAGACTAAAAGGGCCTCTTTTGTTTTTATTGCAACTCATCTGGCCCATCTGAGGCTCTCGTTCACGGACGTAGTCCGTGCTGCCCAGTTGGTTACCACTATGCCAACTTGCAATCATTTTAATCAGATTTCCGTACCCTCTTTACTTAGCCTTGTATGTTGTTTGGCGCTAAATTCCAAGGCTACATTTGCATTGTTAATGCGCCAGAGAGCCTCTCCAAGACTGGGTGCTTCCTCCATTGGTTGCCAGTTCTCCCTAAAGTCAGGTGTGTAGCTCACAAGCATGACTTGGCTTGATTATGTTGACATTGGCATTTTCAGGGACGGGCCGATTAGGTTACAAGGATGGCACGGAAGTGCCTGGTCGCTAGTGCGCCACATCTTACTTTTTTTTCAAGTTTTGACCGCTGTTCACACCCCAAATTTACATCATTTGTAATTATCGACAATTACCAGTATGTATGTATATATCCTTTCTTAGCTCCAATTGCGATCGTACACAATGTAGATCCCGATCGACCCTCTCCATATCTTTTTCCTCTATCCTTTTTTTGTTTTCCTTTCTTTTTGTCAAATATCCCTTCCTTGTTTTGAACACGGGGTGCTGCCCTTCTCCCGCTTTGCATGCGCATATGAATGTTGCTCTCTCACATCCCTTGCGCCTCAGTGTGGAAGATCAGCAACGCCATGCAGCACGCATCTGGATGCCAGGAAAAAAAGAAAGTATCAGACGAAGAAAAAAACGAGAGGGAAAATATGTAACATTCTCACAGGCCAATGGCTGACGGAACCATGCCCTCTATGTTCTCAATTATCTCAATCTTCCCTCTATCGTTCTTTGGTTCACAATCAGCTACATTCCCATAACTCTGATACCCATTACCCAATTTCGTTTTTGTTTCGTTTGAGGCACTAACTACATCGCGGAAATGACCGTTACCACTCCTCTGATAACCGTATTCGGCGCTACCGGCAACCAAGGTGGTGCTGTCGCTCGCTCATTGCTGAAAAATCCTTCCTTCAAGGTTCGAGCACTCACTCGAAACCCCAGCTCCGATGCTAGTCAGGCACTGGTATCTCAAGGTGCCGAGGTTCAACAGGCGGATGGATTTGATAAAGAGTCTATGCTCTCCGCATTTGCCGGTTCGTGGGGCGCTTTTGTCAATATCAACTCGGACGACAAGGTAAGAAACTGTTTGCACTTGAGGATACTTTAAGACGGCCCGGCTAAAAGACATACAGTCAATCAAGGAAAAAGGTCTGACCGAATTTGATATGGGCAAGACCATTGTGGATGCAGCAGCGGAAGCTGGAGTGCGTCATTTCGTCTTCAGCTCCGGGCCTAACAGCCTTGAGCTTACTGGTGGGAAGGTCAAAATGAATGCCGCGCAGGGTAAATCGATTTATGATTAAGATCTGGCCTTGATACTAATTTTTTTCGATAGCGAAATACGACATCGAGCAGTATGCGCGAGGTATCGACCGCTTTGAAACAGTCGGTTTCATCTGTGTGGCATGGTTCTTGGAGAATTTTTCTATCAAAGAGATTGCACCTATCTTCGGCGGATTCCCTCACCTGCCCGATCCCGAGGGATATTTGACCTTTGTCGCACCAAAATGGGGTGGCAAAGAAGATGTGCCCTTCCTCAGCATATCGGAGGACCTCGGAGACATTGTGCAGGGTATGTTCCTTGATCCTTTGCGGTGGAATGGCAAGGTTGTTCATGGCTGCAGCGATATCTGCAGCATGGACGATGTTGTCTCACAGTTCGAAAAGGTGACTGGACGCAAATCCCGGTTCCAGCCGCTTGAATCTTGGCAAGCATTTAATACCCATGGTGTTGCCGAGCTAGAGGACACCAAGATGATGTTTGGAATGACGCAGGGTAGTGGAGGACGGTACTTTGGACCCGAGGCCTCCGAGAAGAAAACTGCCTTGGAACTCAAGCGAAACACCGCATTGGCTCTGGGTATGTCCAAGAAGGAACAGGAGTTGACGACGGTCGAGTCTTGGTTCCGTAAGCACTCTCCCTCGTGGTAATCTATAGTCGCCCTTTGGCTCCGTTGGAGAGCGAGGTAGACAGATGACACACCCATAGTATATGTAGCTAGCTCAATACGAGTAACATGAATATCAATTATTAAAATTTTTGAAATATTCTTATGTATGCCAAAAGATGTCCATAAAATTCGTAGATGGGAGAGTTCGCTCGCGACAGGTCGCCAGCACCTGTTCAAGATATTTTTTCTTTTTGTGAAATATGTTTCCTATTTGGAAAGGGAGGTAAGCCCAGATCCTGCACGATAGCTCACCTGTACTGTGCGTGGGTGTGTGATTTGACTCCGGCCACTGCGCAAGGTACATATACCAGATCAGATTCTGCACGTCCTCTCACACGGACTCCTGCATTAATTGATCGACGACCTACCCATCATCAGCCCGAGATCGTAAATTCCAAGCCCTATTGCCGATCACGCTTCCTATTCTTGCACCTTGTAGTATCATTTGATTTGATCTTTTAATCCGGTCTTGCCTCACGAGTATTGATCGTGTCGATCATTGCTGCCCGCACAGTTCGAAAGATTGTGGTCAATCTGTCTATCGAACGGCCACTCAAATATATCTGGACTTGGATTCCTATGCACCACCGCAAAATCATGACTCTCACGGAAAGTGTTACTAGTGTCCTTATCGTTGGAGCTGTAAGTGTCGTGTTCCCCAGTCGTCGTTTTGGGAAACAAAAGATTGAATAATTGGCGGTGAAATAATAGGGCCCATCAGGGTAAGAACTCGAATATCACTTCATATATACTAATTACTGTATTCGGGATGAACCGCAAGACTTATGATTTCCTTTTTGCCCTATTAGGTTGAGTGCTGCACTATGGCTGGCGCAATTGGGAATCGACTTCCGAATTGTGGACAGACGATCAGACCAAACAAGAAAAGGGCAAGCAGATGGGTGAGCGCTTTCTGTGAATGACAGCTAATGAGCCATACATCGCTGACGAAGTCACTACAGGCTTAACCCAAAGACCATGGAGATTTTGGAAACGTTTGGCATCCATAACAAAGTCACCAAACGCTGGCAGCCTGCGACCGATGAAATGCTCTGGCTACGAGGTAAAGATGAGAGACTGATAAGAACGGAAAGACTCCGCAATAAGCCTCCAAATGGGGTCCGGTGCGTATCAACACGTTAATTGAGAGGATTTCCTACTGAAGCATATGTGCAGGTGGACTCATGGCGCACTACAGCAGGGCGACGTCGAAGAAATAATGAAGAGGCGAGTCAAAAGTCTCTCAGGTGTCACTGTACATTACGACACCTCTCTTTGCGCACTGGATATCGACACTTCTCAACTCTCTTCCCCCGATGCCTACCCATGCAACGTTTCTCTTCAACAAACACGTGAGGGTAGCACACAAATTGAACGAGTACGATCTCGATATGTTATTGGAGCGGATGGGGGCAAATCCACAACCAGAAACCTCCTGGGCTTTGACATGCTGGGCGATCAAGGCTCTTCAGTCTGGGGTGTTATGGACTTTAAGGGGACATCTGACTTCCCAGAGTGAGTGACTCACAGGCTTCAATACACATGGAATTAAGCTAATAATCATGATTAAACTAGTTTTGGTGCGACATCAATTATCCGAAGTGATGTAGACGGAGCGGTGGACTTCGTTCGGCGGGAGGACGGCTTGGTCCGCATGTATGTTGAGCTCAACAAGGGGCCCGGATGGGAAAAGCTCAAGAGAGTGGAAATCACCCCTGAGCTTATTTCCAATAAGTGCCGATATTTACTGCGTCCTTACACGGTAGGTTATCCATGTGGTCGTTGATTTCCAATCCACCAGCCTTGCTAATATCTCTTTTCTTTGGTTGGTTTAGTTGGAAGTCAATGAGTGTGTCTGGTAAGCCTCTAAAGCAAAAATGCAAGCTGTTCTGAGTACTAACTCCCTGGAGGTGGTCGGCCTTTACGGCAACACAGCGACTCAGCAGTGGAACGAGTAAGCATCGCCGTGCCTTTCTTGTCGGGGATGCGATCCACACACACTCTCCTCTCATTGGAATGGGAATGAACATAAGTATACAGTAAGTTTATGAAGCCTAGGTCTCATATTGAATGCAAAATAACCAATAAGGGACTCGTACAATCTCGCATGGAAACTTGCTGGTGTCATCAAACGTCAGCTCAAGCCAGAGGTTCTCGACACCTACGACACCGAACGAGGTCTCGTGGCACGGAAACTACTCGAAGCTGACCGAACGTGCTTGGACCTGTTTGCGACTCCCTTCGGCTCAGAGACTTCTTCCATTCTGGAGAGAGCGAAAGAGCTGATGACATTTCTCGCGGGCCGTGGTATCCGCTATTCGGACCCGCTCTTGACGTCGCCTTCTCTTCAAGGGATGGGGGTTTTCAAAGCCGGTGAAACCCTCCCAGATGAGATCATCACAAATCACGCTACTGGACGAGCTGTATCTTTACACAACTGTATCAAGGCTGACGGAGGTTGGTGTCTGATTATTTTTGCGGGCGACGTATCCTGCCCCAGTCAAATAGAGCGTATCCACACATGGGCGGGAGAGCTGAACGCAGCGCAAAAGGACCCCATGCTCAAGTTTTTCGGGCTCCTGGACATGTTTCTGGTGCACTGTGCACCATGGAACCAGATCAATTTGGCGGACTTTCCTCCGATCTTCTTGCCCTTGCGTGAAGTGACCGGTCGAGACTATGACAAGATCTGCCTTGATGAAGGGAACATCTATGAAGAGGCTGGTCTGGACCGGAAGAGTGGTGGAATTGTTCTCGTGCGTCCAGACCGCCACATTGGTTGGGTTGGCACGCTAGATGGCTTCGGTTGCCTCGAGAAATATCTTTCGAGAATTTTCGAGGTTGGGGTGAAAAACTAAGACATGTAACTTCATGTGTGGATACTACAATGCAGCCACCTCAACACATTTCTTTTTTTTTTTTCTCAGTATGATTCGATGCACTGCAATGAACTAAGTCTTCGGGTCTGGTATAGCAATAAAAGGGCAAACGTGCATACGTAGCGGATACTGTTTGCGTGTAGGGCAACTGCCTATTTTACTCAGTAAGCCTGAGCAGCCCTGTTTCTTGGCGTTAGGGATTCACGAGTGATAGTTTACAGGGCAGCTAACTATACAACGCCGTATCAAAAAGGGACTACAGAATTTAAAGGATAAGAAAGCGCACGCGATTGGTATAAATTGCAGTTAAATGGTTTTGGAGCTCTTTCCACGAAGCTCTTGGATTTTACGCCAGACTTTGACAGGAATCCAAACTCATGCGATAGAAAATGCGCAGTGAAAACACTGACAAAAGTACCTACATGATTTTGTCAATAATTATAGCACTCTCTGGGCATAAAATGCGACAGCTTAATTAATTCAAGATCAAATGAGTAGGTATACTTCAAACGGTCGCATTATGGCATGATCTAATGGCAAAGTGTCCAGAATTTACATATTTTATCTTGGGGTTTGGCAGGGCAGCCTTCCACTATTACTCACCCGCCATTCGAACTGATGATAGAGACCGAGGCAGAAAACATAAAACATCGATAGGAAAGTTAACGGAGGTACAAAGGAGCGAAAGCGGCCACACTGGCAAGATCCACCTATTCAATCTTCACAGGTACGTCATAAGGCCTTTTTTATATGGGGTGCGCCAATCTGTCTTTCTCTTGACAGGGGGAAAGAAACAAGCAATAACGATAGTTCATTGGTTGAGAAACGAACCGGGAAGAAGAAAAGCTTCGACCCTTCGAGGACTATCTAACTACTCTCAGGACCATCCAGGGTCAAATGACCAACCAGGTCATGTGATCTCAACACTTTCTCTATACAACTAGAGATACAAAATGCACTTGGATCAACGAGTACACCGCCACCTGGAACGATTCATTCAAGTCAACGACTGTGGATATGATTGATGCCTTGATTGGCTCCGCAACTGTCTAAATACTCAATTAGTCGATTACGGGGATGGCGGTGATTGCAACATGGCGGAATGGAGAATACAGATATAGGAGGTCATCTGACGTCTCATATTGTCACCGAAAAGAACATACTGGAAAAAACAGCCTCAGTCAGAAAAGCTGAAGATTCTATTCCAACTGGACAATTATAGTACCTTACAGGCTACAATAATACAGTAAAGAAACTGTATGTGAAGTGCGAAAATAAAAATTGCCCACATGTACTTATTCAAATATAGGAAAATATATATATTTGTGCTTTGTATCCTCAGGCATCATTACCATAGATATTATTCTATAGAATTCAATAACATTTATGTTGAAATTTGAATGGAGAATACGATGAATGATGCTAGGAAGCTCTTGCCAAGAACCAACGAGGTGGTTTAAGTCTGATCTCTCCTTCATGAAGGAGAGATCCTATTTAATGTGAAGCATTTCCCCTGAACTATCCTATACATGGTAGGTTGAATGCTGATCATGAGCTTCATGCTTTGGCGAAGCGGGCATTTAATGCCTGGAGATGCCTGAGCAAGCCATGAATCTCAACAATTTACCGTCTTTTAGCTAGGTAGATAAGTTTCTTAGTTTAAATCGAAATATATAGGATGTTTCTTATAAATCGAGTAAACTATATATGTGCAGTTTGACACTAGGCGCGAGGGTATTCTCGGAGGATCCGTGGTTATTGACACGGCCTTGAATTGCTGAGAAACGATGGCGTAGAAATTAATGGCATGTTATTATGAATTGGTGACAATCCTCAACTAAGCAAGCCACTCTTCAGACTAGCGACATGCTGCATGAAATCCGACTCCATACTGGTTCCAGTGTCCTGCAGGCTCATCACCAGTGGCGCCCTATAAATTGATGTAAGAATATAAATATAGGTGTCTCATCCCTTGGCAGTAGATAACGAATAAGATGAATTCCGCTGTAGATCAGATGCAAGTGCATGTAATTATCGACTATGTTGTTTTGCTGATCTCCACTTGCTGGATCTGCAAGAGGCGCAATAGCTCCACTTGTTGAACAACCAATTAAGACAACCCAGAAGCAAAGACATAATTCAAATGGAGGTGAATACACTTGCACTGCATTTCTTTAGCATGCTGTTACTCGGGGAACACACGCAAGGTCGCCAATTCATATCTCTACAAATTGAACCTTCCAATGTTGCATTCTCTCCTATACTAGTCACTCAAGTCGAGTACCATCGAAACCTTTTCGTTCCGCTTGTTCTGTGAGAGGAAAGTTCTGTCAAATGTTGTATACTTGGATTTTTTGGGTTCTAGCCATATGGAACAAGACCTGCACCCCCGCTACTAGAGTCGTTCGTCGCGAATGGTCAGTTCTCATAGTTCCCGTCTGTGCATGAATCGCGGATAAATGAAGTGCTAGTCGATATGTTCAAGCAGTTCATGCTATCAGGAATTCAAAACTAACTCTCGAACCAGGGGGTCTTTGTCAAGAGGCGAGCGTCTTGACTATATCGATGCCGTTCATTGCATGCGACAGAAACTGCCCATTCTGCCAATAGAAGAATACCCAGGTGTTCGGCATCGGATGGATGATTTTGCAGCGTACGCCTCACACAAAAGCTGATGAGACTAAAACTGACTCTTGCCAGTACCCATATCAACTATACCCTAAATATTCACATCAGTGGGATCTTTTTTGCCTGGCATCGCCAATTTGTCTGGTTGTGGGAGAAGGCGCTTCGAGAAGAATGTGGTTACAATGGCTACCAACCGTGAGTTAACTCTCCTTCTCTTATGTGATCAGTAATAACCATTTTTATAGATACTGGAACTGGGCACTGTCTGCAAGCGACTTACCCGCAAGCCCGCTCTTTGACGGGAGTGAAACATCCCTCTCTGGCGACGGAGATCCTCCCGATAACCTCGAACCGATAATCCCTTTGCTGCCCAGCAACGTGAGCATTCCCAATGGAAGGGGAGGCGGATGCGTGACAAATGGTCCATTTGCGAACATGACCCTCAACCTACCTGACTTGGACGCCGCACCAGGCGACGTGTTTCCTGATAATGCCTTTGCCTACACCCCACGTTGCCTGACGCGCAACCTGAACTCATTCATGTCGCAGTCCTTCACGAGCCAAAAAGATGTTGATCGTCTGCTATCCTCCCCAAACATCACCACCCTGCAACGCAACATTGATGTGAGTGTTTGGCCGGCACTCAGTAAGGCAGGCATTATGGGACCTCATGCGGCCGCACATATGCAGCTAGGTCGGGCGATGGATGATTTTTGGACAGCGCCACAGGAACCAACCTTCATGTTACATCACGCGATGGTCGACCGTATCTGGACCCTCTGGCAGGAACAAGATCTGAAAAATCGCCAGTATGCGTTGAACGGGACTAGTACTATCATGAATGCTCCTACCACGCCCGAGGTTGACTTGAATACTGAGCTGGCATGGGGCCCGCTGAGCGTAACCAAGAGGCTGCGGGAACTGATGAGTACCAAGGCGTATGATTTCTGCTACGTGTACGGAGATTGAGTTAATTTCTTATTGTGATCTATCACATTATTTGCTTGGCGATTGTATGGGAAACCTGACCGCTATTTGCAGCTACCAATACATAAAAAACGGACCGAGCTCAGTAGATGTAATCCACACAAACACCTAAGCCCACACGTAGGTTGTTGAAATGATAAATAAACGCAATGGCATCCGGGGAGGAAATATATTTCACTATTGGCACTTCCTCCGAATTGGAACTTTATTTTCTCCCCTCATCCCTCGCTACTCCACTCAATCGCGATGACGAAAGACCCCCTGTTCAATGGCTTCGAGCTCACGCCGGCCGATTACACGTTCCCCATGTTCTATTCGGCAAGCGCATTGTCTTTTCGGTCAATGGCCTCTAAGAATGGCATTCCCATACTACAGGAAGGAATAGAACGACTGGTCGCCCACCACCCTTTTCTCGCGGGTGTTGTCATCCCTTCGGTGGACAAGCCAGGGACTTTTCGAGTGGTTCCTGCTAGTAAACACTTACCACCCGCCGCACCCATCTGCACAGTGCAGCAGCTCCTACAGCAGCGGATCCCTTCATCCAAGACCGCCTCTCCACCAATGGTTGCCTACGACCGCAACAAACTTTTGATTATAGTGCCGGCCCACGTTGCTGAGTCATCTGCCGAGCCCCCTGTGATACGCTTCCAAATCAATGTATTGGCGAACGGCCTCATTTTGGGGATATTTGCCAACCATATGGTAATCGATGGCACAGGGATCGGCACGTTGATTCAATCACTCGCCATTTGCTGCCGGGAACTTCACATGTCTGGCCCCGCTACCCGCCTTCCGAGTGACTCTAGCTATGAGGCATCTTCAAGAGCAATCCTTGCCACAATCGGTCAGGATACCAAGGCAACCAAAACCCAGGACGTCCAACCTGAGCCCACAATTGCGACCAATGAAAACTCAGCCAGCGACGAAACAATACATGATGTCTCTCTGCTTGATTACGACTTTTATCTGTCAGCGGCGAAGATCGAGCGGATGTTACAGTGGACCCGAGAACAGACACCGAAGGAAGTATCACACGGTCAGGCCCCTGTTTCTGCGGATGATATCATCACTGCGGTCCTTTGGAAATGTCTCAGTCAGTTCCGCGGTCACACAGTTGAAGGAAGTCCAAACTGTGCTCTTCAGCGAGTGCTAAATGCCCGTCGCCGCATCCAGCCACCGCTGTCTGCCAATTACCTGGGAAATTGCTTCATTTTCCTTGACTATTCCAAATCCAGGGAAGAACTGAACCCTATCGACAAAGGAGAGGTTGATACAGAGGAAAGCTTCATGCGACAGATCGGCTCCATCGCCTGCTTCCTGCGGTCAAATTTAAACACGATCGACGATCAGTTTGTGCGGGACCACTTCTCGGGATTTATGACGGCCATCACCTGGTCTGACACGACAATCCATATTCCGGATGTGGTGGTATCGAGTGTTCGTCGTCTGCCAATCCACGAGCAGAACTTTGGTGACGTGCTAGGGCAAGTGGCAGATTTCGAGATTCTCCCCTATATGGTCCCCGAGGGTGTTTGTACGATCAAGCCGCGTCGTGATGCGGAGTCGTGGGAAGTCAGCGTGACATTGGGGAGCGCGGAGATGAATCTCCTTAGAAATAATCCGATGTTTGGTTGGTTGGTCGACAAAGAGGCTCCCACGTGTATTTTTGAGGCTGCATGGTAAATCAAAAGATCGCGGTATTCACAATTTTGGTGCTAGAATTCATCAAGTTTCCTGGTCTGATGTATTTCGTACTTTGTTTCATAATCTCATAGGAACCAGTCAGCTACGCCATCAATGTGGCAATGTGACTCCTGCAGACCACGTACATGTGATATGACCTGTGCATGTTTTATGCATCTCTTCTAGTCTGCTGCATTGCGTCTGCTTAATATGCGCATTATTGCGTATGCTGTTTCAAGGTCCGAGAAATTGCGCCATGCAAAATATGTTGAAATCATTTATTGTAATAACGCATGGTGTTTGTTCACTGGATCGTTGCTTGCGGTGGCGGAAGGGGTAGTTAACGAGACACTATCAAGTCCCCCAATATGTTTGCTTAGGATCCCACAAGTCATCTGCTGCAGTACCTCCGTTAGGTAAGCCTAATGTGGAAGCCTTTCTCTTTAGTGAATCTCAATATCTCAACGTAAATGGCGGGTCTTTCAGATGCCCACTCTTGCGTCTTTCCTTTATCCTACATGGGCAATCTCAAATATAGCAAGTTACTGGGACTCAAAAGGCATTGGAGATTACTGTAAGAGGGAGCAAATTCCCGTGCATTTCCTGTTTTACCTTTACCATCTCTCACATGAGGTCAATTGGCTCTTTGTTGTACTATTTAGCGTAGTTTTCACTTCCACATAATCTGAGTCACTCCATTGAAAATTGGGATCATGATTGTGGTCACGCGGGGCTCAGATGCCGCATAGCTGTTGAATGCGTTCATCTTGTCTGCAATAGCTAAATAAGGCTCTTGGATCTCCTCGGGAAAATTTTTCGCAATTGATTGATCCACGACCAGGCCTTCCAAAAGGACTACACCAGGTATTAATATGATACTTGACTAAGCCTTGATTGGACTCACCATCATCCACCAGAATCACTCCCCGGGAAGAAAGCAGTTTGTTGTCTAGAATGTACCTAGTGTAGGCCTCATATTCCTCCTCTGCAGCATCGATGTAGATCAGATCGAATTGACCTGTCAATGTTGGAAGCCTGTCATTTGGTTCAAGAATGAGTGATTTATCCGCAAAGCGACTGACACATAGTATGGGACGAGTACGAACGTTTCAAGGCAGGGGCCTTGGATGGTACTAATGCGATCAGTAGCACCATGACGACGGAATGCTTCCTCGGCATATTTGAGGTATTTCTCCGACATATCCATGCTCACAATTTCCGCCAGGTTCTTCTTCGTAGCCTCATAGAAGGCGAGGGCGCTGACTCCGGTGAAGGTACCCAGTTCGAGGACTGATCAAAACATCTTCAGTTTCTTTTCTTTCTTCGGGAATGAACGTAACCTACTTCGATTGGGTGCCAGCGATTGGGTGAAGCCCATCAACCACGAGCACTGCGATAGAGACGGCGCCATGACGACCTCATCTTTAGAGAGCTTGTCGGTGAAGTGGATTTGTTCCAGGATTGACGTTGGCAATTTCGAGCTGTAGGTCTCACAGTAATCACCAGTGGTGACTATCTGCTTCTCGGTAAATGGTAACATACAAGCGTGTCTCATCTTAGCGGTAATGGATTGATGGCGATGCGTGATAGCAGAGAAATGCAATGACTTTGGAGACTTTTTACAGTTTGCTGAGACTCATTAATGGATTGCCCTGGAATGGAACTTCGTGATCTGCAGGTTATTGTCATCATTCGATACAGCAAAGCGCATATACATCTGAAGACCTACTGGTCATATCGTGTTTGTGTACCTGTGCTTTGCAGAATTGTTCGTACATTGCAGACGAGACGACTATTGCCCATCCACATACCGTGCATATCGTATAATATTTATTGAGTGATGCAGCACGCAGGGGAATTTGGTCTTGTCTTCATGTACCTCGTATATCATCATTTCTTTCCGTCAGTATCCACTTTTCAACGCTTGATGTGTCAATACCGTCTGCTTTGGATATTCTGTTATATATATTTCGAGATAATTGTTTTCTTTTCTCCTTCCCCTTTCGAGATGTGTGATCCCCTTGCACATGAGTGAACCGAATGAAGCATTAATATATTTATATCTTGCCGAGGCACAAAACAGAGATCATGCACGTGCGGTGTGGATCGTATACATTTGGAACTTGATCTAACTCTGGCCGATACCTTACTTAGGCATTGAGTGCGGACACAAAAAGAAAAGGATTTTACGTATTTATGTATTTTACCGCTAGGCGAATAGGGTGCATACTTTCCTACCTAGCGGCTGACAAGGGTGTAATCCGGCAGATATTTTCTGCCGACCTTCTGCAAATTTGGATTTTGGTTTACAAGGTAGGTAATACTGTATTTTACATTTTACACAGAGTTCTTCATGAATCATGCTATTTTAGTACTAGCCCTCTGCATTTGCGACACGGCCTCGCCCCCTGCTCCTTTTCATTCTCTGTGTTCTATACCTGGCATTTATTGATTTGTGTTGAGAGTAGTTAGTTAGTCCTCGGAGGTTCGGAGCTTCTCTCCTTCCCTGTCCGTCTCTCAACCAATGAAATATCGTTATTGCTTGTTTCTTTTCCCCTGTCAAGAATTTGATTGCACCTATCAACAAATTTGTATTTGCTTTTCACTTTGTCTTAGTGGACTGCATGAAGCAGTACAAAATATTTGTTTTCGCCGCCACAAGCTGAAATGCACTTAGATCCACATAGATGCGCGCTTTGTAAACACAGACCGGGCTCCTGCAATATATACCCGCTTGATCGCGCCTATCGACAACCAATGTATACTTGTTTTACTCTTCACACACAGTGGGACCATCAAATTTTTTCTTTTTTTCTTTTTTTCCTTTTAATATTTTTTTTAGAAAACGAACCACTGAAAATTTACCCCCTCGCATTTCCTATGCATTGCAGCGATGATGCACTAGCCTAAGAACCCGCAAACGTAGACACTAGGAAATTGTATCCATATCTGTTTCTTCTTATGCGCCATCTGATGGCGACTAGCGAGGTGTGGCTTCATGATGTGTACAAATGCCGATCACTCGTTAGCGGCCGATATCACAGAAGGTGGGTTTTGTCCCTTACTAGCTGGCCAGTGGAACGAGCGCTAGCTATCATTCTCCGAATGTGAGCCCCAGGGCCACAGAGCACACCGACTATCCTTTTCAATTTCCAAAGTTCTCGTTGTAGAAAGGGTAGACGGATATCGCCCACTTGAGCTCCCTGAATTGCAATTGCCTCTCCAGCTGAAAGCAATGGGAAGCCCCACATCTTGGAGTGAGACTTCACAACAGCCCTTCAAATTCTTTGGGCCTTGGCTTCTATTATGGTTCATTGTGGCAATCACAGTGCATAGAACCGTTTATCGTCTTTTCTTCCATCCCCTCCGTCATATCCCTGGGCCATGGAGCACAAGACTTTGCAGTTGGTATGAGTTTTACACCAACATCTGGCTGGATGGTCAGTGGTGTAAGACATATCCGGATTTACACAAGAAATACCGTACGTCGCAAGTTGGATACTTTGGTAAATCGGGAAATGCTTACTCGTCTTAACAGGTTCACCCGTCGTCCGAGTCGGACCTGACCATGTTCACATCAAAGACATTGATGCATACGAAAAGTCTGTCCCCACAAATGGTACTGTGCCTAGATCTTTCCTGACCTTCACCAGAGTATTTCGCAATGGCACCAACTTCGAGAAGGACCATGTGTTCTACACATGTGCCGACAATGATGGCTCCATCTTCTCTCTCAGTAATCGGGATGAGCACAGAGCGCGAAGAAAAGCCCTCAGTCCACGCTTTTCCAAAAAGGCAGCCGAGGCGGATGCTCCTGCAATTCTAAATCAGATTCGACTCTTGGAGGGATTTATAATTCAACATTCGAGCTTGGAAAAGAGCTGCAACGTCAGCGATCTCTTCCGTGTATTTGGAGTGAGTTGTCACTCCTTGATCGAACATCAAGTAGACATGGACTAAAACTCAGGAAGATCAATATAGTGGCAAAGACTCTGCTAGGTGACTGCCATGATCTGGTTCAATATGAAGAGGCCAAGCCTGAGCTTCTTGAAACGGTAGACGGGCTCTCAGTCATGCTTCCCATATGTGAGTACTCAAACATCAGGAGCATATGTAGTCTCCTGGCCTTTTCTAATATGGTTGCATAGTGAGATTTTTCCCCTACATGGGAACTATAAGCAACATTATGCCATCCTTTATCGCAGAACAATTAACCCCAGCCGGTGTGCTGAGCTTCAAGAAGGTTTGCAGCCCACTTCCTGATAGCATGTAGGCATTTATCAATATGTGACTAACCATAATCCGGGTCTATCTTCCAGACATGCGAAGATTACACACAATCCATGATGGACAAACCCATTCGCAGCGACGTTGAGTCCAGCCGCTCATCAGTGATGGAAATCCTCATGGCCCATAGTCTAGAAACTACAGGAAAACTCCCGAAGCTGAATTATCTGACTGCAGAGGCTTTCACTTTCATCGATGCGGGTGTCGATACCACAGGGCGAACGCTGGCGGCAGCAGTATACTATGTACTTCGAACCCCAAGCGTGGAGAAGAAGCTCCAAGAAGAGCTGGATAGCTTGTCACTTTGGGGTTCTGAGAACACTGAAGACATCGTGCGGAATGTAGGAAAGTTACCTTACCTGGTGAGTCCTTGCCCACAGTATAGGCCGCGTGTATCTCTGCCGCTGACGATGGTTCCAGAATGCGGTCATCAAAGAGGCGCATCGTATATGGCCATCTCTTCCTGGGCCATTACCTCGCGTCGTTCCCTCGGAGGGGTTGCAAGTCGGGTCCTACTTCATTCCACAGGGTGTATGTTAAATCCTTCCTTTCAGCCTGGCCAAGATTCTGATTTCTTCGAGACAATTGTATCCGCAACTCATCATTCTATGCACTTTGATGAGGACATTTTCCCGGAACCGAAAACATTTAAACCTGAGCGTTGGTTGCGCGATGATAGTACGGAGCTTAATCGGTATCTAACTCCCTACAGCCGTGGAAGTCGGGCTTGCATCGGGATTAAGTAAGGGCCCGAACCAAGAAAGCTTGTTACCATACTAACCTAGTTAAACCTAGTTTGGCTCAAATGGAACTCCAATTGTGCTTGGCTAGTTTGTTCTATCGCCTGAGCATGGAACTCTGTGAGCCCATTCCTTCAACGTTGGATTGGAAAGACCATTTCGTCGCAGAGCCCACAAGTCAAGTTCTGGTGCGCGCGAAGCCAAGAAACTTATCTCTGTAGCGATGGGAATGGGAATATGAATGAGGATGGATATGAATGAGGATGGGTACGATCAGCCATTATCCTAGTTGAATGCCAAAAATTGTCCTCATCCGACTGGACAGGTGAGCCATTTTGTCTGATCATAGAATAATCTGGTTCATTTACCAATACTGTTTTCCTTCCTACTGTTTTATAGGCCACTTTGATTAGGCTTGGTAGGTTGCAGAAATAGAACAGAGGGCGGAATCTGTCATAGAGGACAGTCAATGATTCATACTCTTAAGATACTACAACCAGGTGAAATGGCGGCAGTTATTAAGACTAGTAAGATATAACTATAGATCCCTGACTATCTAGAAGCGGTTTCATCTCCCATACTCTTCATTCATATAGTTTCTTTGCCTTCGAACCACCCATGAATCAATGAGTATTTAGGGTGTTCGTAGTGGAAAACTATGTTATATCCAAAATTACTATGGCATTCGGATCCCCTCGTTCACGATCACTTCTATATTACATGCTTCCCTTTCTGTGGCCTAAGATAACCTCTATTAACTGAGACCTATGTGTCCAGCACAAAAGGTCAAGCCAAGTGCGACAGTCGTTACTATTGAGTACCACGACGTTTTGGTTCCATACAATGCCGATATTAAATATATGCGAGATTTGATACTAAGATTTACTTCACGACTATACAGGCTTTGAAATAACAAATTCTGCTGCAAAAAGTTTCATTTTAGTGTGCATATTGCTTAATCCAAAAAGGAAACAGAATTGGGTATGAATTTCCTGCTCATAATGAGTAAGACAGCCTGAAAGGTTCTGATAATGCCGCAGACTCAAAATCATAAATAAATTGTCATCACAATCCAAACTCCTATCAGCATCCACAATCGTTCGTACACACTCATCTCGACCCTCCTAGTATCTTCAGATCTCTTCCTCATCGGCATTCCATCGGCACCATACCTCTCCGGAAGATCCATGGCCGGAGGCACAGTCCATAGGAAATGGGCAATCTCTGCCCTCTCCGCGGAATCGTACCAGCATGCCCCCAGTCAATGACAGACAACACATTATACTTGCTAACGAGAACATTGCAATCCAGGTATCGATATGTCTCAGCAAAAAAAGAACTTCGTTCCTAATCGTGATGTTGAATCGCTCTTCTGAAACACCGCGCGGTTTCTACCTTTGTTTATAAGGCAAATTTCCCTCTTTCATATTTTTAATTATAACACATGAATCCATAGAAGCAACATTACTCCAAGGCTGAGAGTTCTAGCATGCAAGCATGGTTAGCTGGTCTACTGGCACAGAATTTGGATCAGACCCAGGTTATGACAAACATGTCTTTGTGTACTCTATTTCCTCGTATAGCTATTCAGAATACCTGCGGGTTCATTTCTCACAATCGCATGTCTCGCGCCAGTATCCTTGTTAACAACACAAGAATCAACCGGCGTATGAATTTTCTCCGGTGCGCTTTATGTTGGCCAATACGGAAATTCACCTTCGACAGGATCTGCTTGTATTGTTCTTGAAAGAAAGGGTTCTGCCAATGCCGGTAGTCAGAACGCCATTTCCACGAGACCTTCATGTCTCCTGGCTTCGGTTCGTACTGTCGGTGTAGGTGCCCCCAAGGATGACGAAGGCAGTGTCTGGTCGAAGCTGGTCGACGTATGCTTCCGAGCCTCCGCCGTTAAAAGTGGTAGGCACAACGCTTAGTTGCTAAAGCCGGCGTGCGAGCTTCTCGAATCCGCCTCGAAGTGCGCCCCTAACACGGGGTTGAAGCAGGTCGGCAAATCGAAGATAAAGATGAGCTTCATCACTAATGGCGGCAGGAGGGGATCTGAAGGGATCGGATGCGATCTGCTTCGAGTTCAAAATGCCGCCATATCGTTGAATACTCGTTGCATAATTGAACTCTGGCCAATTCGATGACCTGGGAGATGTCTTCCGCACCATAGCTGGATTTCGGTGTATTCCACGATGGGGCAGGAACTTGAATAGGAATTCCCGGGAAGGGCAATGGAAGACACTGCAGAAGAGATTGGTTGTTCATATTGTTGTGGCACATTACCACACCCGGTGAATAGGTTTTAGGAGTTAAGGCCCCAGGTGGTGGATAGCTATTGGTAGCTGATCGTGAATATAGGCAAGAAGAATGATGATAGAGAAATAACATGAAGGGCTCGGGAGAAAACTAATTGGAAAATACAGGGAGCAAGTCCGTTTCAAAATTACACTATATCTGATAGGCAAGCAATGTCGAGATTTTAGGATATAATTGATTGGTGTTATTGAAACGATGCAAATTGATACATCTGACATGTGGCCATAACAGTCACTTCAACACTTTCTTTCCCCTTTCCCGCCAGCCTTGTTTCGCCTCTTTCCCCTCATTTTTCCCACATGCAGCGCAGCCCTTGTCTTCGCCCACCAGTATAATACAGAAGGTTCTATTTATGCGGTGAAGAGCTGAACATGATAGGGAAGGTTGTTTTTATCTATCTCAACAGATTTTACTATCTTTTGCGCTCTGTTCCTCCCAGCCAGCTAACATGGGTTTTACAAAAATTATGATTACTCTGAGAGATGAGCCAAAGCCACCTTGATGTATCTCATTACAGATCAGATGCAAATGCATGGTCATTATCGACTATTTATGCCGATCGCCACTTGCTGGATTTGTGGAGATGCAATAGATCCACTTGTTGATCTACCCATCAGACAATCCGACTGTAAAAACATAATGAAAATGAAGAAAATATACCTTTGCGCCGCACTATTTTGGCATGATGTTACTCGGGAAACACGGTGGGATGTAATCTTACCATTTGAATACCAGTGCACGTTAACCCGTCAAATACGAAACACTCTACCTTGTCTTCTATACTAGCCTCCCAAGAGTCAGGTTACTTCTGAGCTTTTTTTCTTCCGCCTGCTCCACGAGAGGAGATTTCTGTTTGGGAGGATCGGCATCGTTCCGGGCAAAACGTCAATTCACTTGTGGAAACAATATGTGTTCTCACGCTCAAATGCACCGTTAAAGGTTCCGACATGCTAGATGAGTCGACTCCCCACGTTCAGCTATGCTAACCTCTGCTCCAATCTCACAGCCCCAACTTATGCTTCTTAATCCTTGCACCCACCCCAGAGAGAATCAACACAATGGCTACAAGCACACTCCAGAGAGGAATGTGTATCGCCATCACGTTGTACGTGGTCTGTATCGCCGCCACGACAGTTGCCATCTCCAGCAGTAGCAAAACATGGCCGCTCCAGCGATGATACTTGTAAATCCGCTTGCCAGCGTCGACACTGCCGAGCAAGATAGTAGGCAAAAAGTACTGGATCACCCCGACCACGGCTTGCAGTGCGATAGTAATGTAAGTTATTAGGCCAAGGATGCCGTGTAGGGAAACGAAGTGAGGATAGGAGCCCTTGTTAACCTCGATAATGACAAAGGCGGATATAAAAAGGACGATGCTGAGTAGTTGAATGAGGTAGTGGAGGCGGGTACCCGTTAGCTTCTGTTGCGGGGTGGCGGTGGGTTGTACGATGAGCGTTGCTTGGACTTGAAGGAGAAGTGCAGAGACGCTGAGTAGCTGAAATGAATAATTCCAGTCAGGGGTCGTCTTATTAGATTCCTTCCCATGTTTGCTTACTGGATGCGGGGTGAACCACGATAGCGGATGGGATAAGATCCCATTCCAGACAAGCGCTGCTAGCTGTGAGAGCATGTCAGTTCTCTGATGGGGAGATAGCTGCTTGAGACCTCACAATCCAGATTCCTGTTTGCGCAATACTTGCTGTCCCTATGTCCGGAGTCAGTTGTGTATATCGATCAGCGGAGGCTTCAAATTTACCCGTGAAAAGGTTCCAATAAATGCTCTCGCCGGGCTTTTGTGTGATATCTCCTAGATGACCTAATAGTGGCTCGTCGTCTCGCGCTTGAATCGTCACTGGGTAATCTTGAGAGATTCCCGTTGCCGAGACCATTATGATAGGTTTTATGAGGAGTTATACAATATGAAGATTGGAACTGACTAGAGAGGCAAACGGAAACCAGGGCTAAGCGGTGATAGCCCCTTGTTAAAAGAGCATGAACATAGCTTTCACTATAAATAATTTACCACGTCAGAGATATTGAATCCCCTTACATATGACTATCATACACCTCGAATCAATATACCCTGAATCAATACGCACACCGCCACTTGAGACTATTAATACTTAAATTAACGAGTTGGATAAGCGTTATGCGATTATTGGCTCCTGGTTGTTAAAAAAAACCATCAATTAGCGGATTCCTGAGATGGCGGTGTTCGCAACATCGCGGAGCTGAGAATCTAGATCCTGGAGATTTTCTGGCATCTCACAGAAAACAAGTTATTGAAAAAAAGGCTTAATCTGAAGAGCTGAAGACTTTCTTCCTGGTGGACATGCAGAGTCTACTGGCTAGGGCAAGCCACTGTTCAGACTAACGACATGCTGCATGATATCCTTACTGGAGTCCCATACTCATTCCACCATCCTGCAGCTCATCACCAGTGGCGCCATATAAATTGATGTAAAACTACATTTGAGTGCATCATCCCCTGCCAGCGGCAAATAGCGTTTCAGGTAGATTCGGCCTGCGGTTATGCATTGCAGATCAACCGCAAATTTTATGGTCATTATCGACTAGTGGTGCCGATCGCCACTTGGTGGAGCTGTGAGAGATGTAAAAGAACTTTTGCCTGAACTTCCAAGACAATCTTGGAGTAGAAATACAATTAAGATGAAGTGAATACATTGATGCAGCATGTTCTCGGCATGCTGTTACTCGGGGAACACAGTGGGATGCAAGCTTTCTAATTGAATATCAGTGCACATTGACCCTTCAAATACGAAACATTCTAGGTTTTCTTTTATACTCCCTCTCTTCCAGACGTGTAGATGCCTCTGAGTAACCTCTTAAGTAATCAGTGAGAATGACTGTGTAAAAAAATTGTTTGCTTTGTAATTAACTGACCAGCTTCAATCAATCAATCAATCAAAGTCCTATTAACTTGTTGGAGCCTAACTAGTATCGTAATGGCTATGCAGGGGCTTCTTTCCAGTTGAAGCAAGAAAACGTGCCCGTACGCCTGATCATGATCCAGTATAAAAAGTGAGGCTGGTTCTCAAACAGGAAGCAGCAGCGCATTACATGTAAGCCAAAACCATAAAACCCATAAAACCTGCAGTATAAATGAGAAATTCAATGCCCGCAATGCATTGAATACAAAAATGAGCGTGTGAATACACATCCACCTCTCCAATGTCCTCTTCCTCTCAATAGACATGTACACACCTCCGCATAAAAAACCTTACCCAGTAAGCACTGAGCAGGATCAGGCCCGTTCTCCAAGACCCTCACTTCATCCTCAGTTGGGTGTTCTGTTGATCCACGCCATTCAGAGCATCTGGCCAGTCAGACACCGTGTATTCGAATAGCTGAATGAGGCTCTCTCCTTCCTCAAACGTAGTAGCAAGCATTGGGTAGTGCCTAGCGTCTTCGGGATTCTGCTCCATGACCTCGAGGTTGAGGTCTTCAGCTTCATCATCGGATTCTTCTTGCTCATGTATGGTGAAACTGAGCAAGTAGGCCGGTTTGGTGCATGTATTTGGCAACGTAGCGGATTGCCAGCGGGTTCGAAACAATGCTGTCATAATTAGACGTATCAAATGGGCCAATTTCTCGATGCAATTGGTCAAACAGACGCTTTCTTAAGTCTCCGAAGGTCTGGCATTGAAGCGAGACATGCTTCGGGGTCTGAGATGAGCCCTCTCCACAGGGGCATTTATCGGAATCCACTTCCTTGCTCCTGTATAAAAAGTGTCTTAGCGAAATGCGCATTGACCTCATTTGTATCATGATGGATGACCGTTGTTTCGACAAGCATTCGTACAAACGTAAGACCCTCTTGTTCGGCCATTCCACTACGCGCTTTGTGGGCCGAGCGGTCCCCTCGCTCTCCCACTGCTTCTTCCAGCGCTCCTGGATGCGCTCTCGGACCATCCGTTTTGCCGCGGCTGCAAGCCGGATGATCGGTTTTATCCGCTCCGCTGGTCGCACCTTCCGCAACTTCGAGGGCCGCGCATTTCGCACTACCGTCGGCAGGCTCATTGCCAGACACCCCGGCATGTGCGGGGATCCAATGGAGGGTAACATTTGTCGAGTATCGCGATCGAAGGGTCCGTACGTGTTTGTATATGTTCGTAAGGGCGTACTGACCCGACGGTCGCTGTGGGCTCTGGACTGCTTGAATAGCAGCCTGGCTGTCAGAGAAAAGAATCACTTCTCGAGCCTTTGTGGGTGTTGGCATGTCCTTGTTGTCGCTGGTGGCCCTAGCCAATGCTATCTCGATGCCGCTGAGCTCGGTAGCGTACACCGTGGACTGGCTCTCCGTCCGAGATGTCTGCGGTCGGAGATAACGGTATCACCGTCGTGGATGTTGACGGCAGCTGCACCAATGTGGCCTTCGAAGCCACTGCCATCGGTGTATATCAAGGAAGCCGTGTCTTTCTGGGTCCTCTTATCTTTGAGAATAGATTCATGGGTTGCAAATGCAGCCTTCGAGGGTTCAATGAAACACGAGACGCGTCTCACCCATGTGGCAGTACAAATGCAACCCTTGATTCCCATTTCTCCGCACAGCCCATTTTCAGTGGTCCCTTCATCCACACCAATGCTTCCAAGGGTGTCCGCCCTCCAGCGTGCCGTTCGTTCGGTTTCCTAGCCACTTTGGCCGATCAGGGGCAGGCCCGAAAGCTTTCCAAGGGGATCAGGTCTCTACCGATAATCGCCACTGGTTCTTGGCATTCCGATATAACGAGTACTTTTAGACGGGGAGCCACCTTATGATCAGATCAGACCATGTCCGAGTAGAAAAATTAGCATCTAACGACCTCATGCAGACATGGAAATACTTAAGATCATTAGAACAGAAAGAAGAGAATCATATTGCGGTTGTGTGAAAGACAATTTAGGGATATCACCACAACAATCAGGTCCACAAGTATGAAATTTTCTGATTTTTTTGATTAGGCCCAGGTGCTTGAAGTAGCTTTGATAGAGCTAAAGAGGTTATCTTTCTCATTCGACAACCAGAGAGGAAACTTAAATCTGTAAATTTAAACTGACAGTCAATGTGATCCAGTAGATGGCGCAAACGTAGGAATCGAACTTTCCGCTGCCGTGTATCGAGCAGGAATAAAGTCGGATAATGTGTCAGCCCAAGTTTGTCAAGCTTGTTAAATCGTTGTATGCATCTGCGAAGACTAGCCGAAAAGGATTCGGCATCGGACTCTAGGAGACTAGAGCTGTCTGCAATTACGGCTTGATATATAGCATGACGAGCCTCTAGTGGCCGGAAACCCTTAGAAGACACGGTATAGCTCGACATAGAGACTTTATCCCAATTGGAACCCTCAGAAACGGTGGATATCATCCATAACTCTTAAACTCGTTGCCCGACACCCGATTCAGTGAGAGCTTCTAGCTCACGAAGGCTCTCGCCAGTCACAATAAAGCGAACACTTTTGAGATAACGACTGCAGAATTCCTCGAAAGATAATTTATGTAATACGTGACATGTGAGTCTAAGCGCTTGCCATTCTAAAAACGGCAAATGATTGCAGATCCCACATATCTATTCGACTGGAAGGGACGCGATTAACATTTTGAATAGCTCCGGGGGGAGGACAAGAAGTTGAAAGGGGTGCCGTGAAAGTAGCTTATTCCGATATTTGCTATCGTGAAAATGGGTGTCAATGTCAGAGAAGAAACTCAGTAGCCATTGTAGTCACGTTCTTTTTGATGCACCTTGCAATCAGACGAGTTAGTGATTTTTGGCAACAAAAGTTCTACCAGTTTAAGTGCTGGGGGTATAGCATGAGTGTTACGGTTACAGTTAGGCCTCAATTTTCATTTCCGACCAGGGTCGATGGGAAAAGACAGGGGTAACTGCAACTGACAATCCTAGTAGTAGGGTCTATGGTAGCCTATTGCTGCCACCGGGTCAAAACAATAGCCTGCCGCAAGGGTCGGATATCTTACTTCATATGCAGAGCCCGCATAAACCAAACACATCACATTTGACACTTGTCTGCTCTCGGGAGCAAGCGAAAACTAAATCATTACATTGAGACTAGTATAGAAAATCGACTGTTTCGGATTGGAAGGATCAAGGTCAAATTCTGAAGCGACAGCCTTGCAGGTCAATAATATGCTGCCCGAAAAGGTTTATGCTGAAGACACTGCGCGCATATATAAGCCATGTCTTCCCTTGTATGCTCGGGGACCGGAACCCTTCTGATTCGCTATCAACTGCTTTGAAGGGATGAAACACCCGTATGTATCTTATACCACACGCTAACGGCGAGAAGCTGCATGATGGTGGAATAATTGCATATTCAGCAAGGTATCATGCAGCATATTACTAGTTTGAACAGCGGCTTGCCACCATTACTGGACTTCAAGTGTCCAGGTGGAAAAGTAATCTTCAACTTTTTAGGATTTGACCTTTTCCGATGGATTCTTTTCTAAGCTTTTTCAAGATCTCAGATGATATTAGATCTAGATTTCAATCTCACGATGTTGAGATAGAAACTATTTCTGTAACCCCCTAATTGGTTTCTTTGACAATTGGGAGCCAATAAACGCATTGACCATATTTAAAGCCGTCAATTTGAGTTAATTATCTCGGGTGGCGTTGCATTTATTGACCCGATCGTATGTTTGGACAGAAAAGACAGATAGGTCAGATCTGCTTTATAATTACCTCTGAATATGTGAAAGAGGGAAGAGAACCCACACATACATATTTTCTTCATTCTTGATCAAACTCTATCATATCATCTTGGATATTTGAAACATCGCACTACAATGATTGAAAGCCTCGTGACCTCTGGGGGTTCTTATACCGCCCCTTTGCCTGTTTCGTCAAGTCCAGCTCCTCATAGGGATGAGACTCTGCATTCGTGGGCTAAGATAGAGGCTTTGATTGGAAAAGGAGCCGTGGCTGTTGATGGGGAAACTCTGGATATCGCTAGTGTGGTCGCTGTTGCTCGGTTGTACCCCTATCTATTTTTCTACAGAGGAAATATTGCAGTACAGTGACTAACCAAAAAAAACTCTGTATTCTAGTGAGGGCTGCGGCGCACAAGTATCCAGTGATACTAAGGTTTCCAAGAGAGTGCAAGCGGGAATCGAGACATTCAACGACTACCTTGACAAAGGCTACTGCATATATGGTACGAAACCCCTTCAAATTGAATCTCGTCCCTAAAAGGGAACCGCGTTAATATCTTCATTTAGGCGTCAACACCGGTTTTGGAGGCAGCGCAGATACCCGTACATCAGATGTTATCCGACTGCAGCAGTCGCTCCTCCAACTGACTCAGTCAGGAATTCTCACAGGGAGCGACTTTGCTCCGCGGATAGGTGACTACAACCTAGCCTCACACGCTATGCCAGTAACATGGGTGAGGGCCACAATGCTCGTGCGCTGCAACCATCTGCTCCGTGGTCACTCCGGCGTCCGGCTTGAGATCATCGATACAGTGTTGAGATTGCTTCGCGTAGGCCTTACCCCGATCATCCCATTGCGCGGCTCCATTTCTGCGTCTGGTGATCTAATGCCCCTCTCGTATCTGGTTGGCATCTTGGAAGGAAATCCAGATATCAAGGTGTACTGGGATCGCCCGCCGAAGCCTGAGATTGTGTCGGCAAACAAAGCACTAGAGATTATTGGAATCCCGCCTTTCATTTTGAGACCGAAAGAAGGTCTGAGTTTGATCAATGGCTCAGCTGCTTCTGCGGCTGTTGCATCTTTGGCGGCACATGAAGCCAGTCAATTGGTATTACTAGCGCAAGGTCTTACTGCGTTGACGTGTGAGGCTATGATAGGTAATGCAGAGAATTACCATGAGTTCCCAGCTAAGATTAGACCTCATCCTGGTCAAATTGAGGTCGCGGCCAATATCCGCATGGGAATCATCAACTCGAAGTTGATTGAAACTTCCGGAACGAAAGATCGCCTACGCCAGGGACTGATCCAAGACCGATATGCCCTCCGTGGTGCGTCACAATGGCTTGGACCGGTAGTCGAGGACCTCAGACTAGCCATCCAGCAACTTACCACGGAGTTAAATTCCACGCAAGACAACCCAGTGATAGACTCCGTGTCAGGAGAAGTATATTTCTGCTCCAACTTCCAAGCAGCATCCGTCTCTATAGCCATGGAAAAGACTCGCGTAGGTCTCCAGATGATTGGCAAACTCTTATTCAGCTACTCGTCCGAGCTCATCAACCCGGACCTGAACAAAGGTCTCCCAGCAAATCTCGCGGCAGATGATCCTAGCTTGTCATTCACGATGAAGGGTGTCGACATCAACATGGCGGCTTATATGTCCGAGCTTAGCTACCTCGCCAACTCGGTGACATCGCATGTACAGTCAGCTGAGATGAATAACCAGCCCATCAATTCACTTGCTCTGATCTCAGCGCGGTATACGCTGCAGGCCATCGAGCTAGTCTCTATGATGAGTGCCGCCCTTTTGTATGTGACATGCCAGGCGGTGGATCTGCGCATCCTTCATGAAGCCTTCCTGGATGGTCTAAACAATGTGGTGTATATGGCATTTGAATCCGTGCATAGCCCGCTGGAGAATGACTCGGCGATAATAACCGAGCTCCTCCAGGCTTTACGCGACTCGTGGAGGCACTCTGCGCGTGATGACCTCTCTGTCAGGATCCAGGCCCTGTCCACAGCCATGGCGCCGGTCCTACTAGCAAACGTCAAAGAGCTGAAAGCCAAAGACCCTGTTGCAGCAATTGAGTCTTTGCAGCAGGAGATTTGCAAAAGGGCACGGTCATCATTTATGGTACTACGAGCGCAGTCATTTTCTGGCAAGCTCAACGCAGAGTCATCCCTAGGACCTGCTGCTAAAGCCCTCTACTGCTTTGTGCGAAGGGATCTGACCATTCCCTTCCACTGCGGCATTGGAGAACACCCAACTTGCGATACGGAAGCTGCGGCGGATGTTCCTCCACGCCCGCGGAAAACAGTCGGGTCGTGGATCTCGATCATATATGACGCTGTTCGGGATGGGAGGATTCGCCAGCCGCTGAGAGCTGATTGGAGTCGTTGCAATTGCTTTTAGGCTTCTTGAGATACGCCTTTATTTCTTAGGTTTCTTGCTTGAGATCTCCATCTCATTAGTTTGAATGATTGGGTGATAGACTACCCTAAGACAGAAGATATATTTTCGGATAATTTGCCATTAGATCACGTCATATAGCAGTTGAATTTTACTTACGCTTTCTTTCAACCCTGCTAGAAAGCGAGAAGGCTTTAGTCAAATGACATATTCGCAATTTGGTTTAAGATACAAACAATCAAATCGACCTCCCCCGGAGGCAATCTAATATACATGACTGGGAAAACACATATCTCAACGCGAATCTAATTTTTGAAATTGCAAAGTCTCAAGTCTATACACGAGCTTACTGCGGACCTGCTACGGAACCCCATGGGTGCTGACTGGCGGCGGGAGTTCGCAGAGATGAAAGAGGAAATCATGGAACTCCGTAAGGAACTATATGGTGTCCGAATCGCGACTGCGGCAAGCAAGACCGCTGAATCAGGACCCCGAGTCCGCTCGTACGTTGCGGCCCTCAGGCGTGGTACAACGGCACCCGCCCACTTCCTCTCCGCTCACGGTTCCAACAGCACCCAGGCGGCCAGCCCCTCCGAGCGTTTAAAGGACCGTGAGATCATTGTTAAACTGGGTGATGCCGACGCATTCTCCGTGTCAGCGCTCATCCTAGAAAGGTTTTCATTGATTTCCTTGAGCTTCATTTCCAATGATTTCTTCCTAGCCATTTGCTGGGCCACTTCCTGGGCTCTTTCTAGCGAATTCTGAGGGTCTTTAGCATGCCGCTTGATCAGGTTTGCTGGTGAGATTGACTGTGGTAGCGGTGGCTGTCTTGCCGGCGTTTCAGGCGTTTCAGTAATAGATGCATCGGTTACTTCGGGGGTATAGTCGACGTTCGCGGGCCGTGAGGTGGTCTCCGTCGAAATAGGCCTCTTTGGTTTCCATGTGTACGGTTCTCCTCCAATTTGAGTACGATGACGTGGGGTTTCACCTGACTGGCGCGCTGGGATATCTCTCTCACCGTCTCCATCTGTGTATCAAGCGTCTAGGCTAATCCCATAGGGGGTCCCTGGGGTGACGGAGTGATCAATGGAAGTGTGGCAGTGCCTTTGTTTCCAAAATGGTCATATGAATTGTTCATCCGCACACAGCAAGCTCTGGCAGCCTTGAGCGTATATGGAATTTGGCGGCATGTACATACCAGATAGCACAAACAGTGACTTACAATACGTTACTTACTTGCAGATTATACTACTCATGGCCCTGCTCATCACCATATTCAGCCTGTCAGCCCCTTTTTTTTCTTACTTTTCACTATCTAGCTCCATTCTAGTCTAAGCTAACATGTAATGATGTGACTAGGCTCTTCAGTGTCATCTTTTCCTCGGAGGGATGACCTATACTCCTTTTGATAATGATGATGATACCCACCGACCTGATCTATGGGGCCGGACTCCCTTGTACGCCCCCACCCCCGGTTATTACTTGGACCGTGAATCTATACCATCTGTCTGCCCTTCACCCAGCCCCGAGGAAATACTCAATGAACGTTCATCCCCCTTGCATCAACCACAGACCAGTGAAGTGGGTTTTCTGCTGGTAGTTGAATATGAAGACGGAGGAACGTGGGATGGACAATCTGCAAACTGTATTCAATACCAAATCGACTGGAAGGTTACTCTGAATAACCGGGTTGTAACAAAGGATACGGAACAAAACTTGGTTCTGCCACCCGGTTCTTACTGGGAAATGATAAACGAGAAAGACGGAAGTCTTTTGCGTCGGAAAATAGCCCGTGACCGACGCGTGAGACCAGACGATACTACTATTGTAAAAGATCGTTCCCAACGGGATTACCAAGCGTTTTGAGAGCACTGGTATTGATTGGACAACGGTGGAGAAGCAGCTGCTGGCGTGGGCCCACTTGTACCAAACAGAAACTCCAGCCTCTTCCGTTGGCTCTGAGATGGGACTATCTTAGACGGAGAGGTATGTTTGGCTAGGATTCCAGCGACGCGACCTACAGATGAATATTTTTTCAAAGACAGTAGGAAGAGTTTCTCAAGGAGCACATGCGGACCATTTGAAACTTGGCCCCCTAATGGCCCCATGTCACGCTAGCTATATAGGTAGAGCGCAGCGGTTAGCCAGCGGTTAGCCAGCGGTTAGTCAGCGGTGGGAAGAGATAAATCCACCCTGTTCAGAGGGGATGCACCAGAACATGTATTTGCATGCAAAGTTCTTCTGAAGCCCCTCCCTCTCTCTCGTACGTGCTTGTCACGTTTGGGAGTCGCAATGACTTCTTCCAGCCCTCCTGCGCTGACTACAACCTTTACACCACCAGCAGCATGTACTACCGATACGTGGATGATTGAGAACCTGTCAGGTACAGATTACTACACGACAACTGTAACGACGGGCCTCACTGGCTGGTGGCTTAACCTTGGCCCGACGGACTGGAGTACTTGCTTGCCTTCAGGCTATGCGCAGGCGACTGATTTTTACTACTCTCCTGGTATTTGTCCATCGGGCTATTGGACAGCCTTCCAGTCGGCCTATACTTCTAGTGGTGAGGCTGCTGAAACCCATGCCACCTGCTGTCCAATGTGAGTGCAAGCATCTTGGATCGTTTTTATCGTAGATTAAGGACTTGTATTAACTTTATATTCTCCGTTTAGTAACTACAGCGTCCAGACTCGAAGCGATCTGCTTTGGTTTACAACGAATCAATGCACCTCTCGACACACCGAGCTAAGCGTTTGGACCTACACTCAAGGGGGGATAGTTTCTAGCTTGACGACCACGGCAGACGGTATCAACGCCAAAGGTGTCTCTATTCGCTGGCGTGCCTCGGACCTTGTTACCGCCACTGCGACGAGCGCATCGCAAATCACAACTAGCACAGGAATCCGTGGTCCCACAGCAACACCAACATCAACAGCCCAGGAAACAAATCCATCCAACAGCGGGCTTTCGACTGGAGCCAAAGCAGGCATCGGTGTCGGCGTATCTTTGGGCGCTCTTCTCATATTTGCGGTGATAGTTCTGATATGGATGTTGCGGCGGAAAGGCAAGAAAGAAGACCCTTCTCCCGACGCAACAGAGCCTACACACTACAACAGATATATGCCGCCCATAGAACTTGAAGATACCGGAGCAGCGTACGGATACACGGAAGCCAAGTACAGGGACTCAAGCAGGTCAAGGACACTTCATGAACTGGACTCAAAACACATTGCTGCGGAGCTGCCCGCGCGATGATGTAATTAAAGAGAAAAAGAGAAACGGCCAAAAACCATACCAGCCCATGCAAATTGATACACAAGCGGAAACTGCGGAGGATGCCCGACATGCCAGCCAAATCTCTAGTACAACAAATTCCGCATCGATTGATCGTAGATCAGGGAAGGAGAGTTGCAGGTGCATGACATGAATGATACGTCTGACTTTCGCAAGATCCAAGCCGGAGAGCGCGTGAGACTGTGGAAAGTTGAACAGGAAAGCTCCATCAGCGGTAATGATGTTAACGATGAGAGCGATCATACCGAGCCACTCGGCAGTGATGATTCTCTACCGGCAGATCCTTGTGAATTGATCCGATTTAGTCGCACCGTCTCTGGAGTTGACTTCTTCCGTGGACTCGCAACTGCCGACGAGAGCTTACGCCCAAGTCCCTGGCAAGATAACCCACGCGACCCAACGCTCAGAGTGACAACGATGCAACCGCAGAGTTCAAACCGCAGCCATGATGGCATTTGAACAGCTTATACTGGATTTTGAGAGAAGCTCAATCACAGCAGCTCTAGACAACTATAGCACCATGGCCTGCCTTCATCAACCATTGTTTGATGTGCAGGAACCCGAAAGAGCAGGCGGTGGAGAGCGGGAAAAGAGAGAAAAAAAAGAAAAGGGTGAAATCCAGTCCCTGGCGAAGTGGCATCAGAACTGTCAAATATCCCTCTAAGGAAAAGATATCTCGTCTCCGCGCTCGCACATCTAATGCTGGCCAAATGGGTCTAGATGACGATGACTATTTTTTTGTCCCCGGACGAGGAATCGACCGAGAATGAAGAAGATGACATGGCAATTGAAGGACCGCAATCTCACAGGGCGGACAGAAAAGAGAAGGAAAAAAGGAAAATTAAGGATGATGGCGGTGATCTAGGAGATCATATCTGTAAAGTTCCAAGTCTAACCTCTCCTGACAGCTTTGAAAGTCTGTGTTACGATGGACAACATTGGGAAGGGATGAGATTCAACCGATTCCCACTAGCATGAGAGGGTATGAAAGACAATCTGTGGTTGATGTATACGTTAAAATTTCATGGAGAAGAGTTATAGTGCCTAGATAATGATGCGACGCTATCAAGATCTGGGATGCTAGTAGAGGCGCCTGGCGCGTAAGACAATCGAAAACCGGGACTTTGCTATCGTGTCCCTTGATGATATCAGCCTGCGCGTTCATACCAATATTGGCGCCAAAGCCGAGAACGGAGCATCAAACACGCTGCAGATACTTTCACGTTGCTACAGCATCGTGACCAGTGATTAGACGGAGACCACGTACTGTAGTCGACGTGATAGCGGCTGTCGCTCATATCTGCACACGATCGAAGCCCCCAGGGTCTGTGTCAGCCTATGTGCCTGGTACCAGTGGTCGGCAGACGCCAGTAACGAACAAAAGCGGCAGTAGAGAGCAACAGCTATGGGAAACACAAATCAGAATTTAGGCTACCATGGTCAGTCCTCTACAGCAGTAGCACAGCCTTCATCATGTATGTAAGAGTATATGAAGCTAAAGGCTTTGCGGAGAAAAAGGAAGAAAGGGAGGACGGCGCGCGTGGATCAAGCTAGCTCGCCAGATCTGCTCCATTTCTCTGAGAGCCTTGCCTAGAACATTCAACAGTATCCATGTTTTACTGTATTGTATAATGACCCATTCAGCCCTGAAACCCAATACTTCGTGGGACAAAATACGACTAAGCAGGGGTTGTTTCCTGAGTAACCCGATGCGGATCACGGTGGTTTCGGGTACGAGCCGAGAAACAATGCGTGACTCTCCATAGAGGACGTGAGTCTCCATAGGGTGTTTTCGAAATTGACTGCAGCTGCGCTACATCTCCTCTACTGTCAAACCTGCATGCCGAAAGTCCTCTGCGCTTCCCCCCCTGGCACCGACCGTGTCAACACACCATTCAAGGAAGGTATCGAATCCTTGATCCATGTTATCTTCGTAGGACTGCCAATGGCGCCGAATGAAAGCTTTTAGCTCAGCAAAGAACTCCTCATTGGGATTGAGATCTGGAGAATATGGAGGCAGGTATACTAGCTTCACACCGGCTACATCTGCTCTATTCGGTCAGAGTGATGAAATGATGCGTTGTCCATGACTAGCACAGACATCGGGTCAGGCCATTTCCCACAATGGCGGAGCAGTTGCTCATTGAAATACTCAAAGACGGACGCATCACTCGAGCCTTGGAAAACTCGAGAGAAAACAATCCCATCTTGAGCATATGCAGGTAGTATCTGATATCGCTGATCGCGATGGAATTTGGACACTTGAACCGGTGTCACCCCTAATGGAGACCAACCAGTTCGCCTGAAGCCAATCCTTTTATCACACCCAGATTCATCCACATACACAAGGTGGGACGATCTAAAATCCGAGATAAAGTGGGAGTATTCATCGCGGAGGTCATGATTACGCTCTCTGGTCTTGACCCGGGCATTTTTTTTGCGACCAGCGTTTTGGTGCAAGAGCGCGACTGATGCTGGACTTGGTAGTTCGGATATCAAACTCATCCCACAGAAAAAGTGCCATCTCATCAAGATATAGGTTAGGCTTTTCGAGCAGGTGGTCACAAAGGGCTTCCAGCATAACCGAACTGATACTTCGTGGCCTCACCTTTATTGGGGGGTGCTTTGACGCTACCAAATGTCCGAATATTGGAAGAGATTCTTAGGATGGTACGCTTGTTGCAGCCAGCAGCCTTTGCCATCTGCGACATAGATAACTTCCCACTGCGGAGCATATCATGTATAAGCTCATGCTTCGAAATGGGCTAGGTTGGGCGCCATCTTGGTGTGACCACTCGTGATTTTAAGATTTGCCCGTACCAAGGGACGTAGGCTTCTTAAGTGCGGTATCAAGGTGTCGAGCTTGTATCAAATTACAAGTTAATACACCCCGCTACATATCTGGCTTTAAGCAACGTAATTTTCAATACCATGATAATGCAGCTTTTCGACTTTCTTAAAACTGATGTATAGTGTTTAAGATTCTTATCGATAGCTATCGAATGACAAAGGCATCAAAAGAAACAACGTGGTTGCTGAGATATCAAGTTGTAATTTATCTCATTTACTAAGGTGTTTTGGGGTGTCCAGCTCGGTGGTGTCCAGCTTGGTAGTGAAATACGTTAATTTAGAGACATTAAGTTATTCTGTATGGCGGAGTGATCCCGACGATCATTCCGCTCTGGTGTCTGAGGGGTGACCCTGAGTACATACGAACACCATTCCCGAGCGCACGTGTTCCTCTCAGACCCGTGTGGTGGTTATGGCCGAGAAAATAGGGTGACAGTTAGACCCGTTGGCATCCCTATCCGACAATTTGCGTATAGATCCGGGAATGAGAATAAAAGCAATGGCGAAGCGCCCGTAAAAAAAGCCATACGGCTGTGTACACAGTGCAAGACCGTAAATTGAATTTGAAAGTCGACCAAAGCCACGTCTGGTTAGCCTCGAGGATCAACGAGAAGACAAAAGACCCACCGACCTTTAAGGCTGAGAGACCGGGGTATCCGACCATCCTGCGATCCCAGCCAAGAGGTTGTACAAGTAGAATATGATACCTAAGTACGGAGTAGCGATCCTACTGAATACATGTAGGCGGGATTCCGATAGACCCCTTTACTCGGATTCCTTTAATTCCCCTTGAAAAGTGGCTGCGATGGATAAGATATATCGGAGTTCGTTCAGCACATGTTCGACGGAAGCCCCGGGATTCGTCCACGGGCTGGGCCGCCAAGCTCATGAGTCCCAGCTCAATACCTCGAAATACAATTTCACGTTTCCTTATATTTTATAGTCTACTTAGTCCACTTCTCATTTCGTTTACTGGAACTGGCTTAATCGGACCCGTTATGGTGATACTTACCCGAGGACGATGGAAAAGGCAAGATATGATGTCATGGTCGTTCCAACCAGAGAGTAAGGATCATGAATTTGAGTGCAGGTGCAACGTCAGCTGCATAGAGACTACGTATACTTCTGCTATCGGACTCGGTAGGAAAACATGCACGAATCTGCGCCGATCCCAAGGCAACGAGTAAGGAGGGTGCTTCCAATCGCATGTATTCACGATCTTCATCTCCCGTCCCAAAACCCAAATTATGCAATACCGCGCGGTATTTCAAATGGTCGTATAATTAGAACAGGGGTATATCTCAATACTGTACGAGTAATGACTCGATGCGTGGAACCTTCCCTGGGGTATCTAGTATGGTTTACGAGAGGATGCTCCTCTCCGTCCCTCTGATTCATTGATTTGGATCTCACGAATGTTACCTTGGCAATCGAAGGACCCAAAATTAGCAATAAGCCACCATATTTCCTGCTTAATTCCCCGGGTTCTTGAGTGAACTTGCACGAATGTCTCTCTTATTGAGAAGCTTCACCCTTACTTGATCTTTCACCTCCAACATCCCTCCAAGCCGTCAGGAGTCCTCAATTTTGCACGGGATGGCTTTAGTTCCGGGCTCAGTTTGCTGTTCTGAGACGGTCATCTCAGCGGATGCCTCGACTGTGCCGACAACCCCCGATGACAGTCTGAATGGTGGGACAGATGAGCTCGACGAAGAATCCAACGGCAGCAGAACCACTGTGACAGAAGACAGCGATCCAGAATCTATCACCAGTGTCTCACACGTTCGGAGTATTTGCTGTGTTGGTGCTGGATATGTCGGTACGTCCAAATCTATTCGCAATGACGCTGCCATAGCTCCCGACAGGAGAGATACGCTAACTCTCGAAAAGGTGGACCAACTGCAGCTGTTATCGCGTACAAGAACCCACGTCTTCGAGTCACCGTTGTGGATAAGGACGAACGTCGGATTCGGAGATGGAACTCCCAACATCTTCCCATCTATGAGCCCGGTCTTGCCGAGATAGTTCGCATTTCACGAGATGGACTTCGTGGTGACTCGACTCCGGCCTCTTCTGACGAAGCGACCTCAGAGCCACAGATTTCTACTGAAGGACAACAAGAGAATGCCGAGTCAAACAGCACAGTTGCATCATCGGACAGGAAACCAAACTTGTTCTTTTCCGCCAACGTTGCCAAGTGTATACGCGAGTCGGACATTGTCATAATTGCGGTCAACACTCCCACCAAGATGCGAGGATCAGGTGCAGGTAGTGCAACTGATATGACAGCATTTGAGGCCGTGGCTGCAGACGTCGTGCAACATGCCAGAAATGGTGCGATTATTGTGGAGAAATCGACAGTCCCTTGCAGGACAGCCCAGATGATTCAGGAGATGGTATGTCACACTTACTTCTCTATAACCATAGTTCGGCACTGACAAGACTTTATAGATCTCTGTTCGTCGGCCAAGTGTGCACTTTGAGATTCTGTCGAACCCGGAGTTCCTTGCAGCAGGAACTGCCATCCAAGATCTATTGCACCCCGACCGAGTCATCATCGGTTCTGCAACAACGGAGAAGGGACAAGTCGCCGCCGAGACCTTGGCTCAAGTTTATGCTGGATGGGTGAACCGATCCCGCATCATCACCACAAACATCTGGTCGTCGGAATTAGCCAAACTTGTAGCTAACTCTATGTTGGCTCAGCGGCTTAGCAGTATCAACAGTATCTCGGCCATTTGTGAAGCCACAGGTGCAGAAATCAATGAAGTCTCTGCTTCGATTGGAATGGACTCCCGAGTCGGCGACAAGTTCCTTCGGGCAGGCATTGGATTTGGCGGTAGTTGCTTCAAGAAGGATGTCCTCAGTCTCGTGTATCTTGCCGAGTCCTTGGGATTGAAGGAGGTCGGAGCATACTGGCGCCAAGTGGTGACCATGAATGAGTACCAGCGCAACCGCTTCACCAGTCGTGTCATCAAGTGCCTAAACAACACTCTGGTCGGCAAGAAGATTACCTTGCTCGGCTATGCCTTCAAGAAGAACACCTCAGACACCCGAGAAGCTCCTGCCCTTGAAATTATCAAGACATTGCTCGATGAGAACCCTGGAGAAATTGCAATCTTTGACCCTTGCTGCAACCCTTATGTGGTTGAGAGCGAGATTCGCCAACTCCAGTCACTTGGACCTCCGGCTTTGAGAGACGATGGTGGTGCTGTGAAGGTCTACTCTGATGCGTACGAGGCATGCGCTTCATCAAATGCGATCCTCATTGTCACAGAGTTTGATGAGTTCCGAAACAGCGACCCTGTTTCTTCTCCAGACCAGAAATCCGAATCTGCAGTTTCTGGTCAGAACATTCCCACAATTGCACAGGAAGCGATGATCTCTAAGCTCTCCAAGCCAGAGGAGAGCAAGAATACAGCTTCTTCCCCGTCAATCGAGGATAGGTTGATCTCTCAACCTGATTGCGCTGCTGATTGCCCGGATTGCCAGCGGGAGAACGGACGCGACATTCCAGCGCGCAAACTAAGTGAAGATATTCCCAAGAAGCAGGTTGACTGGGAGAGGATTGCCGAAAACATGCAAACACCCAAATGGTTGTTTGATGGACGGTGCATCATAGAGACCAAGAAGATGACCGAATTGGGTATTCGAGTCGAAAGCATTGGCTCTTCGGGCGATGCCTTTTAAGTTTTGCAACGTCTCTCTGTGAGCTTTACCCAGCGGGTCGGCAGCGTAAGTATCACCGGCGTGGTTGATTTCGTTTTCTGTCATCATGATTATACCAAGTGTTTAAGTGTCCTAGACTGTTCATGTAGATGAGTGAGATATGCAGATGTACCATAGTGGACCTCCATAGTTAATATAGGACTCAAATGGGCCCAGAGCCTTAGAGAGATGGGGTTCTCAGTAATCCAGTTCACTAGAGTATCCTGGCATGGTTGAACTATTTGCCATCCGAAAGGCATGAACCATTAGGACTGTCCAGCGGAAAAACAAGAATAATAGACAGCACCTGCACTATATACGAGAATATATCCAGATAGAGAGAGTGCAAGCAGACCAAAGAGGAGTTAGGAGACACGTTGATAAAGTGGCCTTTTAGAGTCTTTGTCATCACCCTCCTGTTGTGGATTCGCATTCCAAAGAGAGGCGAACTCTCTTGAGACTGACCCAGGCGTCCCGACCTATTGGTCGTTCCTCACCAGCAGTGGATACTGCATCGAGGCTATCAATGTCAGACATCTGAGGAGGCTCCGGAACTCTCTTATGAATGGCGTAGCCAGTAGAGATAAATAGAGGGTGAAAACGACCATGGCGATTACACCAGTCGTTTTATTCAGTTGAAAAGGGCGAAGGCCACAAATATAGTGCTGACGGAAGCAGGAGCGCAGAATATATATTTGCACTACTATCGCATTCCGTTCCGCCAAGATAATAGAGACGACCCAGAGAAAAGGCACCGAGGATGTTGGCAAGCCCAGATCCCGTAACGTTGCCAAAGGGCTAGGGGCTTGTAGTGTTGTAGGATTGCTGCAATAACTACAGCTAACTTGCGATACGTTATCGACATAAATATAATAGTGTAAAGGGAACGAGCAACTGTGGTAGCTCTTCATACCCAGCGCCAGCTGTCAGAGGAGCATAAGGTTCGGCTAAATGCCAAGCCACCGTCCCGCAATGACAGTACGGCCAAGAAAGTTTGTCTGCCCATAGCTAAGGTCGAAGACACCCGCAATCAACGTTAGCTGTTGAATGTGCTACTGTAGTGTGAATTTCTGTTGTTGCCTAGCAAGAAAGTTTGAAAGTAGCGATGGATGAGTCATTGACTTTGGCTGGTCACATGATCACAACCTCGGACTCGGCAGCCACTGATGGGCTCGGTTTTGGAAAGCAACGTCATATAATATACAGTACATCTCGAACCTGGTGTCACAACCTACATACTTCGATAGTTCGGAAAACAATCGTAGAATGTAGGCGGTGACACAAGTTTCGAGATGTACTGTAATACCATGGTGGAGATTCATTCCAAGTCCATCGATACGCGTTTTTATGATGTTTGGAAATTAGGTTCTTTATCTCTTTTCTCCAGGCTTCAATTATAGCGTGGGACCAGTAATTATTGATCCGTTTACACAAATCAACATTCGAAAATTCAAGAATATTAATTGCTATCGCGGTCAATGGCACTATTTAGCATTGCCAACACTCGGGTCAATCATCTAAATCATATAAATTTGGAGGTGTGGAAGGACTTATGGCTTATGCCTCTATATATTAATACCCATTCCCGCGAGGTCCTAGAAGTAAATGAGGAGCCACTTCCCTCCCTTCTCATACAGTCGCAGGCCAGAACTCCTTTCACACCCTGACGTTTATACAATCTACATGATTAACCCGAGGCACACGAAAATGGGCAGAAAGGAGGTAGAAAAAGAGAGGCCAAAGGAGGGCGAAAACAATGCGTGAAATAATATCCTCGCATCGAGGCTTTCGTGTAATGTCCAATACTTCATGGCACTGTATACACATTCATGACCCCTGGTGTATAACAGATCCATTATACGGCTATCCGTCAGTTGCGACTGCCATTCCAATTGATCGTACCTGCGCTATGACCGATCTGTAGACCCCCCTCATTGTGACTATGTGAGAAATCGATGTTATATGTGTTGCCACGTGGGACAGACAATGTCGAGAGTATTTGGGAAACAACGCCAGAGGCAGATTGGTCGGCTTCTAGTAAACGGGATTGCTCTTCGGTCTCTCGAATGGCCAGAGTTCGCTGGCGGTCGTCTTCCTCATCTTCGTCCTCTAGGCTTTCAAGGTCCTTCCTGCGCTGCAAAGCTTCGTCTTGTTGTATTTTTGTGAGCTCGATGTGCTTCTGGATAGCAGTCTCGAGAACTCGTAGTTGTTTCTCAGTCTCTTGCCGTGCAGTTTTGGACGCATCTTCGGACCGTACTAGAATGATTCTTCGATGGATTAGCACATGTTTTCTGAATGGACCTGCATCCTGAATGTCCGGATCTTCTCTCTGTTCCATAAGCCGACTGACAGTCGATCCCTGATGGAAAGCTCCGTGGTATTAGAATGCTTCGTCCATTTCTCAAGCCTCTTTGAAAACTTGTCGCACGCCTGCCCGCATTTGTTCACTGCTTCAGCAATGCCGGTTCTCTCCAGATCCTGTTTTGCTGCGAGATATGTCGGTTCATCAGAAATCTGAAGATCCTCGAGGGTGGAGAGTGGATGCCGTATAGCTTCCAACTCAAATGTCACGTCTTGCATCACATCGTTCGCTTCGTCGAGGCCATCTTCCCCGAAGTTTACTAATGCTGGATAGAGCGAATTCTGTGATCCCAATAGCGCCGACGGAGATACTGAAGGGGTCCATGTGTGTAGAATGAGACGGCAGAGTCCTTCAAGTGACGCAGATGGATATCAAGAGAAATAAGGTGCTAGGTAACTCTATCAAGCTCTGCGGATATCAGGTGAGAACATCGTGACCACAAGATTGCACCTATCCGGGCACAAAGCAAGATGATGACTATTGAATGTCAAAACGTGGCGGACTTCTATTGGCGGCGCTAAGGCTGAACATACATGAACATATTGTATGTGAGTATGGCGGGTTTCTATATATACTCTCCCCTTGACCACAGCATTAAGCGCCGGATATGAGGGACTGAGGGTACTGAGCAGAGTAGTGTGTTTGGCTTGTTTGCAGATACGATACTGCTCTACAGAAGCAAGTCTTATACTGTTATGGACAGCCGTAGTGCCAAGAAAGGACTTCAATGACAGAATAACTGTAATAGGTATAGCATGCTTCGAGGGTTTGAGAAAGATATCTGTAAACGGTGCAAGCGATGTCAATCCCGTCTGGATAATCTAAAGTTCTATTTCCGTACCCTATAGGGCGGCAATACGGAGAGTGATTTAAGGAGAACTACAAGTGAGACAGGGGGCCCGGGATAACCGGGCTGAAACAGGGGCAAAATCGCGACATCTACGGCCAATGAATCTCTGACAACAAGCCTCTTGCGTAAGAGGGCTTGGCACTTCGGGATAACGAAATAGGATACGGTTAGTTTAGCCCTATAGAAGCGCCCCCATCGACATACCATGATTTAGGACGAGAACATTTACAGTAGATTACAGAGCATGAATATTTATACAACGATTTATTGGATATATAAATGTGGTTATAACAATGGAAAACCGGACGCCAACTCTATAAAATCCTTCCAAAACTCCCCTCAATTGATGCGAGGTTAGGTAGGTGGCTGAAGGATGCCGCACGCCAAGCGGGACACATTGCTTCGCCAGGATAAGCACTGTGCCGTTTAGCGTTCAGGATGCTGATTATGGATATGTCAGGATTAGGTATGTCGTAAATGTACAAGCCAGTGTTGAAAGGCTCGCGACTCCAGAATAGTCTACGTCTTTGGTTTGGGCCAGCCATCAATGTCAGCAAAGAAACGCGACCGGTAGATCTCGTCCCCCTGTCTGATCTCATGCCGCACGCCATCCACAACAAGACTCGTGTGGTTGCCGCGGAAGAGTTGCCAGAGAGACTGCACGTATAAGAAGCTGCCATCGGGGGCCAGGCTGAACCCTTTCAGGTCCGACTGGGGCAGCTCTTCGTATTTGCCTTGGCGGTTGATCCCATGGCGATCGTTGGTGGTGCATTCGAAGCCAGGCATATATTTATCGATAACCTCCTCGTAGGCGGCAGTGAACTGCATCGTCGGAATGTCAAAAGCGTGCAGGCCGATGTCGTTGGAGACGAGGAAAACGCGCTCGTTAGGGACGGGCACCAGATCATGCGGTCCTGACCACCAGCTGTACCCGTGGCCCCATTCGGTGTCGATATCGTAGTAATGCGGGAATCGGAATCGGTAAGCTTGATCTTCACGCAGGAGACCAGTCGCGGCATCAAATGGGTAGCCCTGGATGACGCCGTAGGCAGGCACCGGATCGGAGCCATCCGCAGCCGCATCGGTCCCCGCCGCCCACAACATCTGGCCCTGTTCATCCCAAATCAACGCGTGAATGGCGCGTAGGCCCTCGATAGTTTGTAGGATTGGAGGTTCATCGACGAGCGGATTTGCCGTGCTGATGTTGTAGACTTGGATGCCATCCCAGGGTCGCTGGCCGGTGGTGCCCACCGCAAGGCGGTCCCCTGGTAACGGTTCCAGAGTGTGGGCATTCCATAGCATGGGACTGTCTCTGCTGAGGGCGAAGGTGATCTTCTTATCGAGGGAGGGTCGATCGGGGGTGTGGTTGATGACGACGATGAGGTTGCTGTAGATGGCGGCGACGCTGGTACCACCTCGCATCCACTTCATGTCGGTCGCATCGTTCGCATTGCTGTATAGCCCGCTCCGAATACGAGGCGGAAGGTCCTGCGCGACATCCGACCGTTCCCAACTCCATTTCACCACGCCCTGTCGGTCATGGATTCGGAGTACCGGGGGATGGCCGTAATCGCCGGTGATGATATCTTCGAAGCGCCCCTGGGCGGGAATGACCTGTTGATTCTCGGCTCGGAGACGGGGTTGCGGTTCAATGGGAGGTATATCAAAAGCGAGTGGCTCAAACAAGAGCGACACCCATCCCAAAAGGCCCAACATGGTAATGTGGCAGGTGGACCATTTCCCAGAAGAGAACAAGGCAGGGAAAAGGCAGAATATTTTTAGGAAATCACGTATCGGGCGGAGCGGGGCCAAGACTTGGCGTTTGGGGGCTGAAGAGGAACAATTGGAGGAAAAGAGGGAAAAAAGAGGGCATGGACGGAGGGTCCAAGGAGAGACTGCGACCCTGTCTCCACGCAACCCTGGCTCTCTCCAACCCCGTTCTCTTCTCTTCTTTTTTCCAACTCCTCATGCCGGGGGAGAGTACATAAACCATGAAAGTCGTTCATGCTGTCCAGTCGTACTTGAGTCACGGCATTCGTCGTGTTCGCGTCTCCCCTGCTGAGACCCTGGATGCCGTGTGGGACTTTGCCCGCCGCTACTTTTTTACCTTGGCCTTTCTCTCGTTGTTCAGCGCCAAATGCCTGCATCTTTACGCTCACTTGTACTCTCTACCGGCCCCGCGGTTCTTCCTGTGGGGAATTACTTTCTTTTTCCAGGATGTCGCGATCCTCTTACTCTTCCGGATCTTCGCGCAGAAGATCGCGTGGCGACCTGGAGCCGCGCTGGTAGCTTTGGTGGTCATCCCAGCTAGGTAAGTGTCCACGTGCCCCCTGACGGACCCCCGGTCGACGACCTCAGTTCCCTTGGGATGCTAATCAGGAGAGCACAGTTTGATCGTCTCGTTCATGGCCTCGGCCAATGCCTCCTTTTACGTCTTCACCGGCGCCGAAATCCACTGGCGCCAAGCCAAATCCTTCAACGGCGACGCCGCCGCTATCCATACTCTGCTCACCGGGTTGACGGGTTTCCTCATCGTCGAGGGCATCCTGCTGACCGTGTCGCTGTTTGCCGCTCGTACCATCCATGCCATCACAGGAGGAATCCTGCATGTGTGGGCGTGGCCCGTCCGGTGGGTGGCGGCGCGCGTGCGACCACACGTGGAGCCCTTCGTCCACCGAGTCTGGCCTCGCACTCATCATGAATCCCTTCCGGACCCCCAAATCTACGAACAGATCGCCCTGGAAGACAATGCGGACCTCAGCGACGAGGAGGAATCGGACACCCTGTTGAACACCCAGCTCCCCAACCCACTCCCGGAAAACAAGCGGGTGACCGATGGGGTGCCACAACGGGCCCTCGTCCTCACTTTGTTCAGTCTGTTTCTCCTCCTCCGCTTCCTGCGACCCTCCGATCCAGTATACATGTACCTCTCGACAACGTTGCCATTGACCACCATCGTGGAGGGCGCTCACCGAAACTCTCCCGTGGACACCACCGGCATGCCAGACTACTTTGGTCATTTGGAAGGTCTCTCTGCATTGCACCCCCCGCCCCGATGGGGATGGATGCCGAACCCGGTCCCAGAGGGTTTCACGGACTGGGATCCGACAGACCCCTTGGCTCTGCACTACAACCCGCGGGAGGATCCATTGCATATCTCGAACCTGAACAAGCCAGTGCTGGAGGAGATCCACAATGCCCTGGCCAGCGGCGATGTCAAGATCAAGCACGTGGTATTCTTGAAGCTGGAGAGTGCCCGCGCCGATATCTTCCCGCTGAAGAAGGATGAGTTCATGTACAAGCGCATCGCCGAGACGTGGAAGGACAAGAAGATTCCTCCCGAGGTCCAGGACCGCCTGTCAAACCTCACCCGCACGGCCGAGTATCTGACCAACTTCCCCAACGGATTCGACCATGAGGATACCCGCTTCCCTCGCAAGGCCTACGGTGGTGTGAGTGCCAAGAACGCGGTCACCACGTCGACTTACACCCTGAAGAGTCTGGCGGGCAGTCTCTGTGGTCTCTCCCCACTGGTCGCGGACTTCAACCGCGAGTTTGAGCACCACGTCTACCAGCCGTGCTTGGCCCACGTCTTCAACATGTTCAGCAAGCAGCCCGATATCAGCAGTGAGTCCGACGACTTCACCAAGTGGCCGTGGCACCCCATGTTCATGATGTCGGTCACCGAAACCTATGACAACCAGGAGAAGTTGACTCCGGTGTTGGGATTCCATGACAAGCAAACCAAGGAGACCATCACCAAGCCGACTGCCAAGCACTATCCGGTGACATCCAAGGAGGTAAACTACTACGGCTTTGTGGAACAGGAGCTCCGTGAATACATCCGCGATGCCATTGACGACGCCGAGGCCAACCATGAACGTTTGTTCCTCACCCACCTCACCAGTACCACCCACCACCCGTGGGGAGTTCCCAACGATGACTTTGACGAGATCATGGGCTCATCAGCAGGTCCCAACAACGACCTGAACCGATACCTGAACTCGGTTGGGTACGTGGATGATTGGTTGTCCGAGATTATCGACATCCTGGAGGAGAAGGGAATCGCAGATGAGACCCTGTTCGTCATGGCTGGTGACCACGGTCTCTCCCTTCCGAATGACGGTGGTGTCACTCCCTACGACAACCCTCACATCGGCAGTTTCCAAGTTCCCATTGTGCTTGCCCACCCCAAGTTGCCTCCCATTGAGATTGACAGCCCGGTCATCAGCAGCCAGATTGTTCCCAGTATCATCGACTTGCTGATTGAGTCGGCCTCCCTCAGTGAGGACAGCACCAAGGCCGCCCGGGACCTCCGATCCCTCTACGAAGGACAATCCCTGATCCGCCCGCAGATCACCGAGCAAGATGGTCGCCAAGCCTGGCACTTCACAGTCATGAACACTGGCGGTTCATGGCTCTCGGTGCGGTCCGCCGCACGACCAGAATTCCGTCTGGTTATTCCCCTGGTAAA